TACACTTCTTTCCCTTACAATCAAAATAGTCTTCATTTATCTGAAGGCCAAGTGAAATTGGCAATGAATGATAGGAAGCGAAAAAATGAGTCATTCTTAGCTCTACTTTATAGCTATGATAGAAGGATGCATCGCCGCTCACTTGCTCATCACTGATCAACTGAATTTCTTTTCATTATGCATGTACATCTTATTAGTGATACACTGAATAATGAAGCCCCATATATGTATGCATGATGAAGTATGGGGCTGTGTGGAAATTTTCCAAAAATCGGCTCTCGAAGCCGATAGGAAGCGTAAGGTTAATAGTTAACAATAGACAAGTTAACTTTATCTAATCAACTTCATAAGTCGATTCGCTAACGTACGTGAATCAAATTTTCATAAAACATCCATATTGCTAGACAAAGATTGATGTCATTTGACTCCATTACTGACGTGTTCAGACATGTTAAATCTGCTCAGTCGGCATCACGCGACTTGCTCTTCATCCTGTTAACATGTTATTTTAAAGCTAGACACTTAAGTACTTCAATTATGCCTTTGCAGAACTTTGCATTGATGGAGGAAAACAATTATACTAATGATAATAATAATGATGATGATGCCCGCGAATACAGAACGCTGATCACAGGTCAACAGGTACGTGAAGAAGCGTATCATGTCATAAAGAGTTGTATCATCACATTCATGATCATGTTTATTAGAGTCTCAAATAAGCAAAACACGGGTCGTAGACTTCGACTAAGTGATGACCTTGAGTGACGCTTGAAATTCTCCGCTAGTCACTGGCTAATCAGAAGATTAAGCTAAGAGACACCTATTCGGCAAAGTTGTTCACTTAGTTTAGGTGTAGCAAATGGTCAACAAAATAAACAAAAACTCAAAGGCAGCTGAAGGAAAAGAATCCCTCTTAAAGAGACAAAGGCTTAACAAATTACCTTAAAAAACTACTTGTGGAATAAAGAGGATGATTAAAATTCAATTATCATGCGCAAAAATCTTCGTGAATTTTAAAGAGACACTCGAGCTAGTCATTATCTAGGACTCTGAATGTTGGCCATTCTGAGGACGTAATAAATATCCTCAAAAAACGAGCCTAGAACTTTCACCTTTCCTTCTTGATCATCATTGTTGAAGTTCCGTTGTTATGGGTAACGAAATACTCCGCTTTAAACATTTGGTATCTTTGTGCACTTCTAATATAGACTCATTTTATTTTATCGCAAAGTTGTAGGTACTTGTAGAATATTATATGCTAATTATTACAATGTTTGGACAATGTTTGGGAGTTGCTGAGGTGATTAGAAATGTAGATGTAGTCACCAATCGAAATAGACTTACTAACAAATCAAAGAAATACCGCCTCAAATACCGTGGCAAATGAACAATTTGTTTGTTGACAAATTTTTGCTTTCTTGTTTCTTTTTATCCATCTAGTTCACCTTTGTTTACAAAAGTTTTTTCGAAATCTTGTTGCAGTTCACGTAGTAACCAAGTAATGATAGAGTGTGAAGTGAATGTAACGGATCCGGTTACGTTTCGAAGACATAAAACCAAGCTCGTCTAAGCTTCGTTTCTAAAGCAAGTCAGTAACGAAGGTGCACTGATGGCTCTTTGGCGGATTTTTGGAAGAAGGTTATTCAGCAAACGTCGTCTTACTATGGGTGCGATTGTGGCAAGTTTACCTTTTATTGGTTATCTAATGCTGCTTTCGCCTTCAAGAAGACTTTCCTATTCATTTTCGGCCAACGAACATAATTCATTATCTACAGCCTCAGCAACGAAACAAATCTGGAATCAGACGATAATGGCCGAAATTCCAACGACAGGAAGCATTAACTTGACAACAGCACCGATGACGGCGGCAGTTACTACTGACAAGGTACAAGTTATGAATGTTGTTTCAAGACCACCAGGACGCCTTGAAGTCCACATGTGGACTGAGATATGTGGAACGACGGTCGAAATGTTAAGGAACTGGCCTCATTTTCCTTACTTTCCCGACGCACGTTCGTACATCTCAGATTTTCATGATGTTCACGCACGTGGTTCTAAAAATAATGGAGAGAGAGTTTTTGGATTCATTCATCCTGCAGTACACGGTGACTATAAGTTTGCCATATCATCGGATGACACATCTGAGTTATGGTTGAGTCAAAATGAGGACCCTGTTTCCAGTGAGATGATTGCACGTGTTTATTCTCCTCGACAGTCGGCGTGGACCGAAGAAGGGGACTACAAAAAATATCCAGAACAAATTTCTAAAGAATTCACTCTCTTCGCTGGGAAGAAATATTACGTCGAGGCTTTAATGAAGCAAGGTTCTGGCGCCGCTCATCTAGCGGTGTATTGGTCCTACAACAATGCGACATTTGAAATAATAACCTCGAAATATTTATCCACGTATCCTTACACTCACGAATCAATGATTCCCGTTCATGCGGGAAAAAGAGACAATACATCGTTGCAAAAAAAATACAGCCTTTACGACTTCAATCGTCTTCCACTCTTAAACCGGCAAGAGTATGTTGACTTATTTACAAGTTGCTCCTATAATCCCAGTTTTCTGGTCCGCAAGAAGCTGAAGCGGTACGAAGGCGTGTGGAATACAAGACGATCAAACGTTTTTCCCCAAGACAGTACCGACATGTCAAATCGTGGACCAAAACACCAGTGGTCTTTTCCTAATCTGTTGATAGACGGCAATGTAGTCCAATTTGTGGTAGACCGCTTTGTTAACACATTAAAGTTTGAGAGGTAAGAAGTCGGCCGTATTTTACATTTTCACAAAATAGAAAAATTCGACAATTGCACTTAATATAATTGAAGAAATTTTTGAGAAGTTGAACTTGCGTAAACAATTGTTTTTGAATTTTTTTTTTCACACGCTTGTTAAGTATCTTATGAAAACAAAAAACTCGGCATGGCGTCTGCTATTTTGTGCCACAAAATACGTTTTGCCGTGGCAATATAGTCATTGGTTTGATTGATTGATTGGAGAAGATAAAATCACACTTAGATGTTAAATGTGATAAACAGCCTCGGGTAAACAAAGTTTAACACAGTAAAACCTTACTAAGCCGTTTTCCCAACTCTCTCTGCATTGTGCCACATCATATATGTGTGTGAAGAATTTTAACTCTTTACGTGACTTAAGTCGACCATTGTCACGTCGATGTTGGTTCGTGTATTTCTTGTTTTTAATATCCGGGAAGCTCGGCGATTCATGTTTCTAGTATTATATATAAAAAAAAAACAACAACTAATAAAAAAAAAACGAAAAAAAACGAAGTACACTAGATAGATTCCAAATTTTATTCAAGTCACAATTCAAGTCACAATGATTCCCTTTCGTGAAGTAGGATACTTGGGAGCTACGAAAGTAAAAAAGCTGGCTAAACACCGAAGAAGGAATATATTGACCAACTATGAATAATTTTCATAAAGAAATGGCACATCATTAAGCTTCATTGTAAACTGAAATATTTTCTTGCCCTCGCTGTTGCCGATGTGATGTGCTCTCACCGTGATTATTCATTTAGTGAGTGCTTAAAAAATGAGTGACTCAGATGAATTATGGATGGACAATGATTTTGTTCCATTCCAAAGCGGTCAATTTCAAGACTGACATATTTTCACCATTAATCGTAAAAGAAATTAATTGTAAAAAAGATGCCTTAACTTTAATAGAAAGAAATTAACCGTTAGCCGTAATATGGCCAAAATATTTACTGTTAGCCGTAAAAGCCATATCCTCACTGAGACCTCAGTGTTGTGTAGGAGAGAATTTAATTTAAAAGCCTAATTTCCAACTTTGTCAACATTCGGGGAACATTTGAGATCTAATTATTGCTGGAAAAGCGGTTTATCCGTTTGATAGTTTTATCTTCCTTTTGATGAACAGCTCCGCAATCATGTGTAGGAAAAAATTCAGGGATCTGTCAAGAAATCTGTCACAGTCACAGTTTGATTTGGTATGATTTAATGATTTTCATGAATTTTTAAAAATCGTAGACCAGGTCATTATAATTTAAGAACTTTCCACCTTTGTTATAAGTGTGAACACGATCAATGTGTATAGAATGTTTTACTGTTTGAGAGAAAAAGCCATCGGGCGTCAAAAAAAAATTTTATACTTAGTTTGCGATCTTCAGCGGGTTTGCTTGCCTGTCCTGAAATATGCTTTGATTGGTCAGAATACAATTTCAAAAGCCGCTAGAGTTAAATTGAGTGATTTCTTTATTTTTTTTTCTCTGTGGATTTAATAACCAACCGCGGCTGATTAAACTTTGATTATACGTTTCTCAAACTTACTTATAATTAAGGAGTGACTATGAAACCTGCATGATTTGGAACTATGATGTTGCTATTGTGCTTAGTTCAAAAAACAGACGTCTGCGGCTATTAAAGAGCATTTCATTTCATATCATTGCATGATATTTCACCAAAAACTCGCTTTTTCATTTAATGTTTTGTTTGTTCATCTTAAACACTAGATATTTCTGCCTTGAATAGACGAGCATGGTAACGGTGGTTTTGACAAATTAGAGACCTTAGGCAGGACGTGGCATGGGCGGACAATAGCACGTGCGTTTTAAAACTTTGTACATTTCTTAGCCGTTCTCTACAAAATAACAACGTAAAATCACCAAACTTTGCCTGGTCCGAGAACGGAAAACCCTAAGCAAATTATTTAAGTTTCCATGCATTCAAAACTCAAAGCTACTCCCATAAGTTTTGCTGAAGTTGAAGTGTGGTGCTGTAAGTGAGACGATAAACACATCCCACCATTCACTACTTTCTGACGAAAAACATAAAATCCCTTTTTAAATCGACTTCTTCCTCGGCGTTGCTGTCGTAACTGCTTTAAGCTCTCTAATTATCAGCTTTATTTACGATATTTTCATATATAATAAAGATATTTAAGGAGGGAACCCACCTCGCCAAGGCCATCCTTGGTGGAGCCTTCAGCGGACCCCTTTGGAACCCCAAAGTTCAAATTGACAGTCCTGAAATTTCAGGCTGATGTTTCATCCATGCAAATTTCAGGTTTTACTGAAGAGTCTCAATGGGGTAAACTGATGGCCGTAAAACGGCCAAAAATTTAGCAGTCAGGTGTAAAAATCGACAAGTTTAAACCAATAGTCGCGGAAAAAATCAGCCAAAAAAAATATTTGTGGTGAAAACAATGGAATGTGTTTAACCGTTAGCCGTAAAGTGGCCTAATTGATACTGTTACCTGTAAAAGTCATCACCCCAATGAGACCCTATCTATGAATAATTTTAATAAACAAGTTAAGTCATTTAATTACTACTAACAACTAATTTCCATATCTTTACTAAACTATCTTGTCACGTTATGCTTGTCAGGGATTATTACTTGAAGAAAATTCACAAAGTAATTCATAAACCAGACCCCAAGAAAGGTGATCGCTTTTTGTTAAACCTTGAGCTTGGTTCAACGCACAACAATCAATCATATCGGCTATCGGAACACGTGTATCGTACACAGGAGAGTGAAAAATTGTGTCTTCCTGAGGGAATGAAGTGGAATAACAGCGCTATGGTCTACTTCATTCTACCTGTCAAGGATCAAGGCAAATGGGTGCACCATTTCATCAATGAACTCGCTGCTGCCAGTTTATTGACAGGAGATACAAACTTTCACGTTATAATCATCGATTTTGAAAGTAAAGACATCGATATGGTCAAAGCTTTTAACACACCTCTTCTACATAGCAGACATACTATTATTTCACTGACTGGTAAATTCTACAAGACACTTGCTCTTAACAAGGCAGTCGCACAAGTTCCAAATGCTAATGATATAATTTTTCTTTATGATCTACACATTGATGTTCCCCCAGACATCATGGACAGCGTCAGAATGGTAAGTCATTCGTTTGCAATTGGCAGTTATAGCAGTTGAGGAGCTAAAAAGGGGTCTGTGATGCTGGTCTATGTGCAATGCAAGTGCAAGTGCGAGGGAATGTGTGCATTTTCATATAATCTTTTTTCTTAGGTCTGGTAAAAAAAGTTGTTAATGAAACTTGGGTCAGAAAAAAAAGCCTGAGAAAGTGAATATTCCAATCTGAAAAAAGATGACCACTTTCAAGGCAAAACATGTAGCAGAAGAGATTGTCTCACTGAGAGGATAAAACCGAGCTCAGCAACAGTGATATAAACTTGAGAAGCAAGAGAAACATTACGGTTTTGCTTCCCTTGAAAGTCTGGCAGCCTTATTTCTGGTAATTGTTATATTTTACATTTATTATCTCTTCTACTTTCCTTAGAACACCATAGCCGGAAAACTAGCTTATTTTCCTATTGTTGGCCGTCTTGATTGCCAAAGTTCTTCTGTAGACCACAAAGGATTTTGGCAACTAGATGGGTATGGACTTCTTGCTATTTATAAATCAGACTGGGAAAAGTTTGGAGGTGGGTAGTAACTTTAGTTTTTATTGTTATAAACGTGAAAAGACCGTTCTCCTAATGGTACACGACCAAAAAATCAAAAATTGATCATATTAAAAAATAAGATTTAAAAATAAAATCAAAAAATCTATACAGCAAAAACTAAAAATTTCAGGCCATCGTACCTAATATTCCTGGGAACATGACTTCCTTGTCATGTTCATGATTGAAGACGCTTAAAAATATGATTTGGAGAATTATACTATTCTCTCCTCAGGTATGAATGCCGAAGAGTACAAATTCAAATGGGGCGGGGAAGACTGGGACCTACTTGATCGTGTATTAATGTTGCCCATAGAAGTGGAAAGGTTGAGACACCCAGGTCTCTATCATCATTATCACACCAAGACCAAGATGTGGAGTTAGACAGCGCCTTGTTGCCAAAAAAATCAGGAACCTTGATCAAGCTGTGACAAAGGTGAAGGGTTTGGAACCAAAGATTCAATGAACAAAAACATTCGCTTCCCAAACGTTTTAGAACGCCGTCCATTTCCTTGCATTTCCTACGCAAAACATCGATGTTAAATCACCAAAGGAATACCGATAGAAAATCATTCACATTTTTATTTGTAACTCAACTTTAGATTTACCTGTTGATGCGGTCTGGCGGCCTCAGAGATGGAAAACAAATCAAGTCATACGCAAAATTCGGTTTTTGCTAGAAAATGGAAATCTCGTAGTCATTTAAGGGAATGTATGACTTTTTTATCAGGAGAAAACAATAAGACCATAGTTTTCTTACGGCTTAGTATATTGCTCTTTTTTTTAGGAATGTTCTAGATCTGAAAATACCTAAAGCGTTGGAAAGTATATTACAATTTTAAGTATTGGTAGGATACGGTTCGGTCGTTCATATTGGTAGGACTCGACGTTGAAGGAATAAAAAAGAATAGTGCAAGAGACATGTCGTATTTCTCTAATAAAAATAATAAGAGAGAACTTGATGTCAATCAATCGAACTTTAACTATTATTTTTAAATCATTTTGACGCACAAACATGAGCCACATATACAAAAGTCGGACCAATGTCAGTATGTGAGCAGCTGCGCACCTACCCCTCCCCTGACCCAATGACAGTCAACTGATAAAATGATAAGGTCAATGTCAGGTTAAGGGTTGTGGTAGGTGTGCTGTTGCTGAGTTGTTTTGGGGATAGAACCATGTCCCCCTCTAATCAGATGCGTTACTATCAACTCAAAGGAGACTTGTTGTTAGTTGAGCACTTCTTTCGTGTTCATAGGCATGTAAAAGGCTCGCACGGGGAACTTAGAGGCTCTTGCGGGGAACTAAGAAAGAGATAAAGAGACGGCGAGAAGGAAAACAATGAATAAGCACTCGCAATAGCAAAAGTATCGGTTGCATCCCATAACACCCTTAATCATTTGTGCAGGGTTCCATCACAAAAAAATTTTTCTTAGGCTCATCGAACTGCTTGAGTTGATAACGTAACTTGGCCACTGTTAAGAGCTTGAAGGCTGACTTTTCGGGCGCTAGTCCTTCCTCGGAGCGAATGAATACCGTGGTCACGGTATCAACGAGCGCTTTTCATTCAACCAATTTATTCTTGTTTTCTCGTCACCATATTTCCACCAATAGCGCAGCTCCATTTTCTGCATATAAACACACACACACAACCTACAATTCCTTCAATCGCTCTAAAGAAGGGCTAACGCTTGAAACGTCAGTTTTCAAACTCTTAACTGTGGACAATTTACGTTATCAACTTAGTTGATAATACCAAATTACACTGTTATACTATTCCGCAGACGCAGCACTAAAGTTTCTTTGGAAGCCACTCCCATAACGATTTATGTGATTTCAATAATAACCTCGTCTATGTAAATAATTGTAGAACTGAGTGCTCAGCTAATTATTTAAGTAAACAAGGCTACAGGTGTCTAAACGCGACCTAAAAATACTGTTTCTCTTAGAGTTCCTTACTTCGAATGTAATGAGGCGTCATCTATTTTATCACTGATGCGAAATTAAAGATATCTGAAAGAAAGTAGCGCTTCAACACCATTTCCCAAGGGGATGATTTTCCTTCCGAACGATAATTGCTTGATAATTAAGGTCTTATCAACTGAGTTGATGATGTCAATTTGCCACCGTAAAGAGTTTCAAAGCTCTGACAAGGGGCTAACGCTCGAAACCTCAGCTTTCAAACTCTTTTTGGTGCCCAATTTATATTATCAACTTACGTGATAAAATCAAAATCATCTTGTTATACTTCCTCACCGACGCAGCACGACACTTTCTTTAGAATTTACAATAATTCCTTGAGTTTTTCAGATCGCAGAATAGCGGTTGAATGCCCACATAAGAAGGATCTGGACTGTTGTCGCTTCAGGCTAAGTGCGGCGGAACGGATCACAGAGATAATGTGGTGAAGTTAATGTCCAAAAATCATAATGTTAAAGAGCCCACCTCCGGACCAGTGAAAAAAAAAAGTCATCGCTTTTAAAAGTTGTTTCCTTACGCTCACCGACAAAATTCCACACAATTTCAAAGCGAAGTGATGAGCCTTCATTATCAAATGCACATCCGTTTAGGCGCCACCGTGATTCTTTGTTCAGGGATCGTTACTGACCCATAGAGGTCCTTTCTTCTGTAACTTACGTCCGCCCAAAATGAAACCCGCCATGTCTTATCTCTAGTAATCAGGCAATCGTAACAATGGCGTCAACTCTCTTACCAATGAGAGAGCCTAGCTTTATCGCAATGAATGAACCACTTGTTTTCAGCCTGTTATAAGATGCACCTCACAGCAAATTTTCCATGCATTTCAACAACCCCTCGCAGAAGGCACAAACCTGCTGAAGTTGAAGTGTTTTAATCTAATCCAAGATTTGTCGCTGATTGCTCTCCACTAGATAAGGTAAGATACGACGTTAGGCTCATAAGCTCTTTAACCAACATGACCTTGCCGGTTGAATTTTTATTTCAAGCAGCGAGGATGTAATTTGTAGATTGGCCTCTGTATCCAAAGCTGACCTTAAAAGCGTTAGCCCTTTCTCAGGGTTAGCCCTTCGTCAGAGCGAGAGATTTACGTTATCAACCCAGTTGATAATACCAAATTACCTTGTTATACTCTTTCAACGACGCAGTACTACAGTTTCTTTAGAAACTTACCGCCTTTAGCGATGAGGAGTAGTTCTCTTCACTTGACTCTCTGCAGACTCGACCATGTGAGAAGGAATAATAACTATGTGGTTTTTTTTTCCAAGTTTATCGAACGATGTGAAAATTTTCTGGCATCAAATGGATCGATTCGTTCTAACTCTCTTTTCTCAAAACAACCGGTTCAAAAAAGCAGCTATCATGAAGCTTTAACTTCTAAAAAGAGGAAGAGCAAACGTTTCCCGCCGTTTTTCACCCGCTTGAAGTTCTATGATTTATGCAGTTAGCTATTAATATGAATAGGAGCAAGTCGGGCATCAGAGAGTCTCGAGATGTAAAAAAATAATAACAAAAATCGAATTTCCTTATACTTTTCGTGAGTTTCGCAAGAAAAATTAACGGGTTTTGAAGACTTAGTTGTTTATCCAAGATTTTGACAATCAGCAAACGTTTCCCGCCGTTTTTCACCCGCTTGAAGTTCTATGATTTATGCAGATAGCTATTTATATGAATAGAAGCAAGTCGGGCATCAGAGAGTCTCGAGATGTAAAAAAAAAAAAATAACAAAAATCGAAATTCCTTATACTTTTCGTGAGTTTTATAAGAAAAATTGACGGGTTTTGAAAACTTAATTCTTTATCCAAGATCTTGACAATCAACAATTTGAAAACAACTGTATATTTATGGTTAACATATGCACGCGGGAGAGTATCAATTGCATTTTTACAGGTATGATAAATTTTGATGCCAAACATTTGTAAATTACAATTTCCCATAAATTATAGATTCGTTGGTAAAATGCGATTCTTGGAATTTTACTCAAACTCTTGTTTCAATAACCAACAAGAACTCAATCCACAGCCTAAAACTACCAAATTCATTATTATTTAAGTCGTAAATCTGCATATGAAATTATCTTCGCGCGCATACGCTTTAGGCCCGACTCAGACTTTTAACAATGGCTTCTTGATTGTAATGGGCTGCTTCGCACGATTGATTACATCTTACTTTTCATTTCAAGGGGCTAAAATACTCGTTAACTCGCCAAGTCCTCCATTTTAGCCGCAAAATGCACTACGATGCCCGAATGCCCTGTCTCCAAACCTAACTTTAGATTAACTAAACTGATTCATAACTTAATGAAGTCTTTGATAACAAAGACCTGTGCTGTTTGATGGTAGCTTAAAAAAACAAGAAAAGTCTTCTTATCATTCAATAAATACACCATTATTACTTGTTACTACAGTATACCGTTACTCCTTAACTCTTTCGTCTTTCAATGAAAACAGGATTGAAGATGTCTGCAAAAATAATTGTGTTATTTGCCGTTATCTACGTGGTCAACTGTCGCGTGCCATGTAAGTATGATTTCGATATTCTAAAAGAGCGAGACGAGGTATGAAATTAGTAAATTGGTGGTAACTCAGAAAGTGGAATATTCCGTGATTCTTCGCTCAAAGGAGCACCTTCCGTATACGGCTAAAGGGATAATTGAAAGGTAGAGATTTCACAACCTGAGATACAGAAAAAATAATTAGAATACCGTTTTTTAAGTACCTAATTGAGTCAAAGGTTTATTCATGATCAGTTAACTGGGGGGGGGGGGGAATAGAGTTTAGAGGGCTCAGTGTTTATTACCTAAAAGTTGATTTTGTCTTTTCTTTGGTTTTGCAAGACGCTTTAGAAATGTGGTGTGGTACTACTCGTAATTAAAAAGGATATCCTTTTTGGTGGAAAATATGTCAAAGGTTAACCTTTCAACTAAGATGACTCCTTTACGGGTAAGAGTTTGTAACTCAAGGCGAAATACCCCCGCACGAATTTTTTAGGACAGTTTTAACCTGGAAATGGGTGGGGTGGTGTTCTAGCTAGGCTGGACATGGTTACATAAATCCTCTTTTCTGTTAAGAAATAGTAAGATTTCTTTTGTACATTCATAGCAAATCCGCTGAAACGCATGTTTGCTAGCGTGGATAAGCGAGCTTTATCATGTGCCTATGAATGCGTTCCCATCTGTTATGATGACGGTTATGGAAGCTACAACCGTCGATCCGGTTCCTGCAGCAAATCTGGTTACAGCTGCTGTGAATGGGTTGTGCATGGCAAAAGGGAGATTAAGGAGGAAAAGCGAGCACCATCATGTGCCTATGAATGCGTTCCCATCTGTTATGATGACGGTTATGGAAGCTACAACCGTCGATCCGGTTCCTGCAGCAAATCTGGTTATAGCTGCTGCGAATGGGTTGTGCATGGCAAAAGAGATGCTACTTTGGAGTAACTGGATATGTTTCTCCGCTGGTAGAGGTTAGCATTTCATTCATCTCTCATTTCACATCAATCGAAAACATATACGCATCTTGCGTCAGTTTTCTCTGTTTGCTCGTTTTTTGACTGAGTTGAAAAAAACGTGTGGTGAAGTTTCAAGACAAATTTTAATCTTTCCAGAACTTTTAGCGGAATGAAAGACTTGGCAGAATCACGCAAAGTAAACGCGATCAGCGCGTTTCAGCGCGTTCGCACCTTCCTCTCGTTTGTTTTTACCGAAGCTGACAGGCTAATTATGACTCACATTTCCGAAATACTGACCCTCCACCACAACTGCCTTAGAGTATACGTATCACAGTAAATGGTTTGGGGGTAACATGTAATAGTGTAGTTTGATCGTCCGGGTGAGTGTAGTCCTGAGAAGGACTGTTGTCGGTAATGGCGACAACAGGAACAGTTACCCCCTGTCGGGAACTACCTGGAAACTTTCTCCTGAAAGTACCTATACATTACCGAAAGTGAAGTGAACGAAGTTGAAAAAGTTCATCAGCTGCAAAGAATCTTGAAATTAATAACTTGAATTTTGATGATACTTTGAACGGTTTTCTCCCGTTTTGTTCTCAGGCTTGCCACTGATATAATGACGGCTGATCCTGCACAGCAGCACCAACCTGACGGAGATTTTGTAGCTTGCAGCTTAATGTCTTTCGTAGAAACGTCTGTATCTAAACTTTAGAGCAAGTGTTCAATAAAATAGGGCAAATGGATCGCTGTGTCTGTAAATTCTTGCGAGTTACTGGTTTCTTCAGTTGTATATTGTTGTTAAAGCTTTTATTACCTGACAACCAAAAGATAGAGTTTTATTCTAAGTATCAAAGATCAAAGTTCGATGAAAACTATCCATGAGGACTTCGAATGTGATCCTTGTGTTGGAGATGGAAAGAAAAATCACAGAATTTTAAGCACATGTGCTCAGCTATTGTTCTCTTTTCTGATCAAAAGAAATGGTGGACTAGTTCATTGTTCATAATCATGATATTCCAATTTCTGAGCTGCATGGCTCTCAAACATTCAAAAATGCAACACCACTCCTCCCCACCCCGACATAAAATTTCAATTTCTTAAGACATGCTAACACCAACAAAGATGAAAAAAAAAATTAAATATTGAAGTCAATCTATAAAAAATACCTACAGCGAAAAAACCTCAATTTATCAAGACGAAGTTTGTTCTAATTTTGCAAACGGTTAGGTCGGTAAAGTTCCTTGACCTATTACAAGGAAACGAAACGAATGAAAATTACTCCATTATGCTCCGAACATCATCGCATGGCACTGTGGGATTAAGGAAATGCTTATGATAACACGATATAGCGAACGACGAGCGCAAACGACTACACAGAGGGGAGGGGAGAGGAGAGAGGGCAAACTGTCAAAATCAACCACAGATTTCCGTTCATGAGCATACCTCTAACAATACCAGCAGCGTCGCACTTTATTTTTCTACCGCGATGTTGCTCTTGAAGACCAACTCATGCAAATTTTATCGGTTGCATAATTACTCGATGTGAATGATTTATGTTACTAGAATGATGGATAACATTTGCTTAATTTGACACTTAAATGACATTTATTTTTATTCACATTCTTTTCTTGCCATGGAAAATGACTGACTAAGACGCTACCAGGGTACCCACTGACGCATTTTTCTCAAACTGTTGGGTATGCTGTGAGGATGTTCCTTTTATTATAGAACTTAATAGTTTTGAAACTTAGCTGTTTCCCGTTAAGTTTACACGAGCAGTTACTTCCCTCGAAGAAGCAAGCTGTATACAAAGCCATCTCAAAATCAGGACTGGTGCCCACGAAAAAGCTGCTTCCTGGAGGCTTCCTTTTCCCCCTCCATTGGAACTTCGCTCTTACTAAGGCCGGCTGAAAACAAAAGTAGGAAACGAAAATCTGATTGGCTAGCTTCAATGTTCGAATTTAAACTGGGAAGACTGGGTCGAGTACATTAAGTCAAGGCTTACTGATAAATTAAAACTGGCGAGTGAAATTCAACGAATAAAGAAAGTTTTGTTTCAAAGATAACTAAAGTAAGGAACTTACCTCAACAGAAAAATCTTTGGAAATAAGAGGAGGGTGATATGTCAATCTTCCTAATGTCCGCTCCGTAAGAAACTGGAACCAGTTGTGGAAGCCTTTGGTGATCTTAGTATTACTGCCTCTACTATACCCCAGTTCTCCTATTTAAAGAAGAACACGGAAAAGTGAATACCCATAAATGTATTTTTGGTAATATTTTGAGGATTTGTATGGATATCTACAAGGTGGTGATACTCCTAAACAATAGAGTTGAGACCCACAGACTTTACTTTAAAATCTTATTATCTACATATGATGAACAACAATGGATAAAGCTTGGAAAAAATGCCATCAGAGCAAGTTCTACTGCGTCTGAAGTCAAAGGAATGCCCTAAAGAGATAATAATGAGTTTGGTTCCGCAAATTATCTTTGCAGCGCATCTTTAAATCTTGTTACTGTCAAGAACACCACACTAGAAGGCTAAGATTGATACATACCAACAAACGTGTGTTCAAAACCAGAAGATTTTAGGCCCCGTCCTCTCTTAGAGTATTTTTCGAACCACATTTCCTTCAGGACGGGCTTAAATTGATCAATACACTGAAAAAATGTAAAGATCAAAAAATGATTCTTGCATTGTGAGCAAACATGTTATGATGAAAACAGAACTAGCACGACGCGTGCAACTTACGCGCGGCGGACATTTCCAAATTTGAAAGACACGATTTTTGCACGATAACTTCGTGCGCAAAGTAACAGTGCTTACAGATGGAAAGTCGCCTTTCGAGGATTTTTCGTAAAGTATAGTTCTACGGTGTTACCGTATTAGTAGTGGTTTTTGGCCAAATTTATTTCACGACGATTTCTTTTGTAACCACTTACGAACATCAACCAGCGTTATGTGCCATGTAAAATGTAAAATTTCCTCTCCCGTAATAGTTTTCATCACCGACTCCTACTGCTCGTAATTTTAAAACCTAGATAAATTTGAACAAAAGAGACAGCCAGTTTCTCCCAAACCTTCATAGAAACTTTGCCTTTTTTTCTTAGATAGTCGAAAACAATCTGCATTGGTCCTCTATTGGTCTTGATGATGGCGTCGATAAAAACATCTTCCTCTCGTTGTTTGGTAACAGATGGCTTCTCGTGAAGATTTTCGTCTGCTTCGTAGTTGTCTAACAAAGCTTTGTAATACACAAATCAAACAAAACCATTTGACTTCCTTCAAAAAGATACTCACTTTGTCTGAAGGGTAAAGGGTGGTTCTCCGGCGCATAAAACACGCGCACCAACCCATTCCCCCTTCCCCCCCCCAAAAAAATAAATAAACAAGAGAGAGAGAGAGAGAGAGAGAAGATGACAAAAAGTAACCGTCGTAACTAGTTGTACTGAATACTTAGTGGTGTGCCCCCAACTACCGTTAGCTCGTTAAGAACCTTTCTAAAATAACCCTTTCCTGCACCCAAGCTACTATTAATCTCAAAATCCCGTCGGAAGGTACGCCTGTAAGAAATGTGAGATATCGAGAGAAAATGGTCAGACCTACATCTTAGACATCATCTTTTCTCCCTTTTTCTTGGGGAGGGGTTCTCTTTCCGTTGTTTACACTTCTCTTAGACTGTTTTTGTGAGAAGGTCAGTGGAAGTCATCTACCTATAATCAGGGTATTGACCTACCCGTCCTGAATTGGAAAATAATCATTCGGAAATCAGATGTGACATTGACACCTTTCTCCCTGTTACACATGCTCTCAGTAAAAGCTCAAATTTAAGAGTGAAGCGCTGAAAACTCACCTTGAAATTTAACAAAAACATCCGTTTGTACTTTTGCCTTTCCTTGTTTTGTCAAAGTGATTAAAGGTTTTGCCTTTCTTCCAGAATACAGAACTATTTCTTGACCGATTTTCAGATTGCTTCCAGCTGAATTCCAGATGTTTTGACACAGATTATCGAAATCAGTTCGGCTGGGGACGAATTAAATTTGGTTTAATAAAGGAGTTTATAAAATACTCCAAAAAATGTACGACTAGCAAGTATTTACTAGCCTCGTTTCTGCTGCGTCATTCAATGCCTATATGCATGATGACAAGAAGCTAAGACAACCGATTGTACGCGAACAGTTAAAACGCGAATAGAGGACACTGCAGTACAGAAGACCATCCGTGTACCTGACGTAGCAAACCTCTTAACGATCGATTGAAAACCAGCAAAGTTTTTTTGGAATTGAAAGGAATCAGATGTGACTGGAATTACCTGTTAAAACTCGTGGATCCTTGGATGAGACTTATCACCAGAACACAATTCAGCAAAAGAAGACTTGAGCGGTGCATTTTCTCCAGGATAAAAACAAAATCCAATGTTGAGCAGCTACTGCACAGAGTGAAGGAAAATGGCTAATAAATATCATGAAGAATAATGCAAATCTCTCAAGGTTTTCAGTCAGATATAACTTTATGTCAGCAAAGTAAAGAAGGAATACGCAGATTTCCTTTGTTCCCTCCATCTGCTATTAACCTTGCTGAAGAGCGTGTTGCGCCATTCTGTCAAATCACGAGGTTATTTGCTTTGCGAGAGTAGCTTAAAATTGAAACACATTTACTCAGCAAGCTATCAGCGCTTCAGTTCATCAACAAAACACTAAATTGTATTGAAATAGCTGCAACATCTAACTTTGCTCTCGAACGAATTTGCCACAGCATCGCTCGTATTATGCATCGCACACTCAGCACATGTCACGGTCTGACTCAGACATTTGTAAATATTACTGCTTCCACGCATTTATAATTTTTTTAAGGTGATTTTCTGAAAGTGCTTTCTGTACTTAGTAAGATCTTTGGCACTCATGTATGTTACCTTAATAGCTGCACACTCTTACACAGGCGCAGACAGCTTGTTAGAAGTAATTTCTCTAACACTCGTTGTTTGTTTGGTTGATTCTTCTTTAATTTCTTTTCTTCTCAAGTTGTCACAACGGGGACTAACTCCTATCTGACAGGGAAAACTAAAGTCTGCGCTTATGAAGGAGACACTGTGGATGACATTTCTAAGCCGTCAATCTTCTTGTGTCGTCATCGTACCATCTCAACAAGCGAATCACGCTTGACTACGTATTACAGTTCCCACATACTGAGTATGCACCTTCGAGTTGTTTACGCAATTACAAAATCAATTTCGACCTTAATTTTCATACCTTTACGGTTGAGATCGGCCAGAACAGAAACGAGATCGATAATATAAAAATCACAAATAACCTTGGTTCCGAGTATTATTTATGCCTGAAAGGGTATCTTAAGAGAAAATCACCTTTAAAGATTGTTACATAACAACATCTTGGTCACAAGAGTTAAAGAAGGAAGGCGTTTACAAGTACCGCCCCCCAAATTGCTTTTGGTTGCGAAACATGAGGGGTATCTCCTGTTTACACCTTAAATTACCTCTGGGAACAAGAAGGTGTCAAACGCAACCTATTACCAGGGAGATTTACTCTCCATGGACTAACAAATTAACTTAATTAAGAACATGGCTTATCACGAGTTCCACGTCAACCTCACGATCACAACGAGGAAAACGTGAATAAACTCACTAGGAGAACGTGGCCAAACTCAACCTTTAAGATAAGACCACCAAGAAGGAGTAAGAAGTAATCAACCTGCCTTTTTTTATAATTTGCATTAAATGACTTAAAATAATATAATATTGCCATTCCTTTTTTTCGACACCAATACAAGGAAACCCTTACGATATTGTAGATTAACTATAATTGTAATTTTATCATTTAACACAGTATGAAAGGGACTTCCAATGCTTGGTTTTATTTATTACTTTAAGACTTGTGCGCCTGTTAGACTTTGGCTGTTTCAGTGTGCGAATTAAAAATTAAATTTGTCCTAAAACGACTTAAGGCTTTTGTTAACACTGTTTTTGCTATAAAAATTTCGTTCAAAGACCCTTGATTCAGCTAGGATAGCTTCATTTTGCCAAGAAGCTTACGCCAAATTACGCTTCTAGAGCATGACCAGAGAATTGCATTTTGATGCTTCTTAGGTGGTTTCACTTAAGTAAAAAATATTGTATGTTGTATTTCATAGTTACTTTCAGTGTCACTGCGAAACTTTGTATACCAGAACTACATTCTGGCTTGTTCTGTTAAATCACATGAGGGCGCAATGTCGGCAGCAATTGGTGTTTCCGCAGAAGGAACAACGAGCTTCCTCGTAAGGTGTTGCTTTTGTAGCAGAGCTTTCCTCGTCGAGTGTATCGGAAACATTGTGTGTCGGCATTGCTGAACTTTCTTCGATAACCTTTTTACTGAGCTGGAGCTTCAAAATAGAGACCGTACCAGACTGCGTGGCCAGCATCACTGAGTAACCACCATCAACTGGATGAAGGACAAAGTATTTCACTTGCGACTGAAAATCGAAAGAGTTGATCATTTTTCCACTGACAATGTTCCAAAGTTTTATGGTACCATCTCGAGAGCTTGTCACCATCAGGTCTCGTGGAAGAATCTTGAGGTGCATCACAGCATGGATGTGTCCGATGAAGCTTCTCGCGCGGTCCCCCGTCTTTAAGTTCCATAATAAAAGCTGCTCTTTTCCTTCGTGGGAGCCAGCAACAGCAAATAGATTGTCTTCGGTGATTGCTATACATTTGATAGAGGCGTTATGACCTTCTAAAGTATGCAAGCAGTCTCCGTTTTGAATGCTCCAAACCTTGAGTTTGAAGTCCTCGGAGCCTGATACGATGTTCCTGTTGTCAGTCGTTGATGCCAGGCAGCCGACAGGTCCAGTATGTCCCTCAAAGGACCTCTCGCAATTCATTGTTTTCAAGTTCCACAAACGGACAGTTTTATCTTTGGATCCTGAGATGGCAAAATCTTCTCCACTCAAAAGAGATACACATAGCACAGCGTCTGAATGGCCAGCAAGTTGCCCTGCATGGCCTTCACTAATTTGGGTGAGACCTATCGTGTTGTCACTCGATGCTGACACAACAAAGCTATCATCTTTGGATACTTTTATCGATACCACACTGCCCTGGTGAACTTTAAACATTTTCTCGACCTTCAGAGTGCTGCAGTTCCAAATGGTGATCTCTCCATTGTGCATGCCAGTTACCACTCGGGTGGAGTTGTGCAATGCGAAGATGCATGCAATTGAACCAGAGACACTCTTGATACACCTGGTGCTAGAGATATCCCAAAGCTTTAAAGAGTCATTCTTTGAGCCAGAGAGCCCCCAATGCCCGTCTGTTGTAATGGCAACACATTCAGGCAGATTAGCACGATGAAGGATGCGATCACCAGCTGTGGAAATGTCACACGCGTGCTCATTTCCCGCGGCATACCAAAGTTTGACGTTTTTGTCATTTGATCCGGAAATTATTGTTTTGCAATCCGTTGTTATGGAAACGCAGGATATCCAAGATGAGTGCCCAATCAGTGTCTGTTGGCATTCACCTGTGGCTGGATTCCAGACCTTGAGAGAGACAAAGAAAAACGTATCACACTTTACTAAGACATGATCTGTTTATGCATTGTACATGTGAGTTCTTAATGCACAAGACCGTTGGCTTGCTGAGTTGACAGGGGACAATTCTAAGAGCTGAATAAGGAAAACCAGCGAATATCCAAGAGCAGCGCGAGATAAGCCTAAACAAAATTAGATATCGTTCACGGCTTTGAGAAAGAAAAAATCTAGACACTGGACAACACAACACTTATCACAACTCTTATTCAAAGTCCAAAGGAGGAGCAGCTTAAACTCTCTCCATGATGCAGCTTGTGCGGTGGAAAACCTCCAATTTCTCAATGGATGGTGGAACAGTCCCACTCACTTTTAACGTGTCATCCTTAGAAGCAGATACAATAAAACTGTCATCCGAGGCAACTGCCACACGCCAGATAGCGTTTGAGTGACCTTTCAGAGTGACACAACATTGTAAAGTGACTAAGTCCCAGATCTTCAGTGACTCATCCTTTGATCCAGATACAATTCGCCGGCCATCCTTCATACAAGCAAGACATTTCACCAAGCCTGCGATTGGATAGTAAAGCTTTAGGCGTAGTACAATAAGTTCACTTTGGGAGGCCGCTACTCTTTAATTTATGCATACTGCTCGAGTGACATTAAGGCAAGAGTGCAGAAAATCAAATGTTCACAACGGGTTTTGATGTAGATGACCGAGAGCCTAGGTTTCTCTCTAATATCTTCATTGCCGACACGATCAAAGTTGTCCAACTACCCTAAGGACAACACTGTTTCTGTCTTTAGCCTACTTTTTGCCTCATTGGCCACAGGAGTTTTGCCTACGAGATGATCATTTCCAATTGGGATGCCAAAGTCGTACAAGGCAAAGAGGAGAGACGATGAGAAAACTTGATCTATCGATCCTCTAGGCTCAAAGTTGGACACAAGGCTAACAACTGGGTTCTGGAATAGGCCCTTGTTACGGAACTGGAGTTTCATTTGTACAACCCTTCATGCCACTAACGACTATGAGTTTTTCTCCAACTTACCTGAATGGCCTTTAAAGGTAGCACAACTCTTCGTCTTTAGATGCCAGGCTTTGACAGTTTTGTCTTCCGAGCCAGATATGACGCTTTCTCCATCACATGTTAACACCAGGCAGAGAACAGAGCTCATATGACCGTCATACACAGCCTGGCATTCTCCAGAGCTGAGCGACCACACCCTTAGCGTGCTATCATTGGAGCCAGTGATGATTTCACCATTTAGTGATATAGCGATAGCGTTGATTGGTCCTAAATAGAAAAAAAAACAAAAACAAAGCAAACAACTCGAATCATGTTCCTTATCCGAGGCCAGTTCACGTCTGATCTTCCATGAACCGTAGGGAAAGAAATATTGAAAAATAAAACGACACATTTTATACCGAGAAACTCATCAACATTAAAGCATGGCTTATTAATCACTGGGCACAGAAATAACAGCGACGAGGCAAACCTGTTATAAATGTCACGAACTCAAGTTAAGAATATATTTCCTAATTAATTATAGGTAGATGCAAATTTTGTTGGTATCTAATTTCTACTTTGTTCTACTTACCTTCATGGCCGCTTAGGGTTTTCTCCTTCGTTCCAGAGAATGTCTTCCACACTCGAACAATCCCATCATCTCCGCCCGTAACAACATAAGCCCCGTCGAAACCAGTCGCTAAACACGTGACTACCCCTTCATTGTGAAACCGCTGTACAGCTTCCCCCGAATCGATGTCCCATACTCCTATGCTCGCGATGGCAGAGCCAATGACGTACTTATCATCTAAGGATAAAACAAGGCAACTTGGCCCTTTGTCTGCCATTTTTAGTGTGTGAAGGCAATCCAGATTACTGCTGTTCCACACATTGATGAGCGAATCCTCGCCTGAAGTGACAATAAATTTATCGTCCCTTGTAACGGCGATTTCGTTTACTCTTTGCTCGTGCCCGCGCAAATTGGTTTTTAGCGGTCCACCGGCTGAGATTAGGCAGGCGCATTGGGGAATAAAGAGAGGAGACCGCTGTGCATCACACCAGCAGTAACATTGCGTAATAAGATCGGCGATGCGTGGAAATTGCTCTCTGAAGGTGAGGAGTCTTCCTAGAAGCTGAGTCGCCAGGCAATCCACATCCTGCTTGATGTTGCTCCATGCCAGGATGAGCGTGTCATGAACAAACCTTAACATGATAATAAAAACTAAGTTAGGATGGTTTTCATCTAACTGTTAAAACTTCAATCGGGTTCAAATCTTCGTTTAAGAAGTGTTGAAGTAAGCAAGTGATTCATACGCCGCACAACTCATTCCTCCTCTCCCCCTCAGCAATGTTTCTCCCCGTTTTTGTTATTAAGTAACTTTCCATCAGATTTTTTAGCCGAATCCAATCACTTAATTGGTGTAATTTTTGATAAACGCATTTCACTTCAACATATCAAACAGCCTGTACATACAGAACCATCACAAAACTGACGGACCATCCTCAAGGAACCCGACTTTTAACATTCCAATGACTAACAACTCCTTACGTGACTTGGATAACTCCTTCTGCTCAGGTTATTAAAATGTCAGTCTACAGTGGACTACAGTGGATACAGACATGAAAGAGTCATCTCCTCTTAATAACTTTCCATTATTAGTGCTTGTGAGAATAATAAATTTCAAGCAATTATTCCCACCTTACATCCAGGTCAGGCCTCACTTCCAAAGCAACGACGTAATCCTCTAAGACCTCACTCAGAGACTGACCACGCACTTTTCCGTAGATCCACTCAAAATTGAACAACACTTCACTGGCCAATCTGTCACTGAGACCAGAGTAAATGAGATGAATTGGCATTTCGCTCAGCTTCCTCAAGTTAAACACACTCTTACTAAACATGAGAGGCTGACTGGAGACTTGTCTGTCTGCGTCAGGCAGTGTTTTCTTTCTGTGCGTTAGGGTGATGCGCTTCTTACGGCCTCCGCCCCATCTTCCTGAAAAAGAAAGGGAAATAGTTGAAGCGAATGCATGGTTTAATTCTTCATGCTGTGCAATCGTTTGTTTAGATGAAGATAACTTATTCCTCATTCCTTGACAGAAGTCCGTGCTCATTCAGGAGGACGAAGTAAAGTTCATCTAAATTGTTTGTCACCTTCTTTGGTTTGATCCCAAATACTGGCTAGTTCAGTAACATTTAATTAGAATCTAGGCTTGTTTTCTTACATTTGACTGATTTACGTGACCTTGGATATATAAGTGGCACCGAAATCATACCTTCAAAATACTCTGCGAGTAATAAATGTCTGGCCTGCTTCTCGTCGGGTTTTGACAAGTAATGGCTCTGTGCAGCCTCCCAGAACTGTCGATGGTACCAGGCGATAACAGTTTTTCCATCTGCCTGTCGCTCTGTCAAGAATTCTTCGATGTCATGACGTATACGTGCCCACAATAGGTTCGGCAAGCGGACAACACCTTCAACAGGAGGATCCCAATACTGATAAACGTCGTCTATGACGTCATCGTCCAGTGACAACACATCTTCTAGCTCGTTTGCAGTGATACCGTTTCTACCAGCTGTAATGTAACTAAGGGCGCGCGAAGTGAGTGTCTTGCCGTGTTTTCGTTCCAGACGTTGGAACAGAAGTTGAATAGCTTGGCGTACATCACCTCCAAGATCCAGCCCAGTGACATCTGTATAAGAATCCCATCTTGATGCCTCTGTGAATATCAGCTTAAGAAACAAAGGTTGAGGGCATTTGGCGAAACTTGATAAGACCAACTCGAATTGTTCCTGTGTCAAGGTTCTCCCAATTCCTTGGAGCCAGGCTTCTAAAATCTCCTTGCCCATTTCGATAGTGAGGAATGGGACTTCAATGTAACATCTCTCTATTGGAAGACTTCGGCGCAGATTTGATAGAATTTGGTGATAATTTGGTAGTACCGAAATTACAATCTTTATAAACTGGGAGCATTTTTTGGGGAGCCAGTTCATTAAATGAGCATTGTTTGTTGCAGACAACTGGTCTATCGAATCCAAGATAAGAACCAATGGCTTAGCAGCACTGACAGGCAAACGAGTGACAAGACCGTGAAAAAATCGTACTAATTGAGAAAAATCTTCTAAAATATCGCCCTTTGGTGCCTCTAAACTGTATACTTCACATATTTGGAGGCATATGCTTGTTATTGTGAATCGAATCGATGAACTGTCAGGGGAAGTACCGAGAAAACGGAAAACACATACGGTGCCATCTCCGAGCCACTGCCTCGCCGACTTAGCGACAACAGCCATAATGGACGTTTTACCAGAGCCTGACGAACCGTAAATGACCAAAGGCTCGATCTTTTCAAAGTCTTTCAATGACGTTCGTATCTTCTGAAGAACATCCTCCCGACCTCTAAATGCTTCGCACTTGTCTTGGCAAAACCAAGCATGATGCAGAACCTCTTTGTACAAGCTGGACTCCATCGCTTTTTCTCTCACCGCATTTTGTAAGCTCTTATTGATCAATCTCTGAACATCTGATTCAAACTTGTGACAGAAATTGTTTAGGTATTGTTCGTGCATTCTGTCAGAAACATTTATTCCTCCGTTGCTCCAAGGAATTTCAAAGCGGGTGATGTTGTTCTCCCCAAGCCTCTGAAGCAAACGGTCACGTTTCAATTTAATCAAGAGGTCTTGTGCTTCGAGGTCATGTTCCCCTTCGGAAACGTCGGTATACTTTCGGGAATTCTGGTCGGTAAGATTTACTTGGATATCCGAGATGTGGCGTATGTAGCAAAGAGTTTGGTCGTCAGGGCTTGAAGAACCGAGAATACCATGTTCAATTTCTTTCTCGGTCACTAAAATATGATGGTAAAGATTACATCATTAGAAACTAGAGTTTAACGGGACTCGCTGTCTTTTGAAACCGAAAAAAATTGTAGGTTTTGTTGGCTTCAAATTCTATGTTGGCGCATACACTTTCAATGAAATTTGAAAGCTCCAAAACATTAATTTGGCTCGCTTTGTTGCATTACTCTACTTTTAATGCGGTTTGTTTTGGATAACTACAATTTCAATTGGTGACAAATCCAAGTTGGCGTTCATCTTAAAATGTCACGCACAAACAGCATTATAAAATGGGCCGCGGTATATGCCTAATCTTCTGATATCAGTGGTGGCCACATGTTATTTATAAAAAGTGAGATGTCTATATATGATGCGTCCGCACCTGAGCTAAAATACTTGTGAGCTTGTTGCAATGTAATTTTCCTCCTTTCTGTGGCGATCCTTGCTGTCCATTTGAAAATTCTCTGAAACGACTGGAAGATCTTCCACCACTGGTCCCTCTCCTGCCTATTCAGCTCCTCATTCGCCTCACTTAAGTCAGTGTAGTGAGGAAAATGATAAGTGATCGGCTGAAGGACGTATTCTGCTGGGATGGCGTTTGTTTCCTGTAAGTCAAAAGGTAGGAATTGTTCACTCCTTATTAAAAAAAAATTTTTAAAAAAATACAAAAAAGTGTACGGCAATGTTTGTCAATCTTATAAAACTCAAGGATAGCATTTGCCTTTACTAGTCCTTGTTCATGACCGCTATTGTTAACCATCCTTATCCCAATTAAGGATCCATATGGAGGGTCCATACCCTCCCTATCCCCCTGGGTATTTTTACGACTTGTCTGAAACCAAAATTCTTCCAACCACAGGACTGCATTGGACCCCTTAAAAAAATGAATGGATTCACCCTAACGTCCTTTTTAGTCTCAGTGTTCTCTTCCTTGACAGATAATTGTTTCCGGGTTAAACCTTTAAAGGAAACGTGTCTCAGCTCTTACAATTTTACCTTCCAGAACCATTCCAGAAGTAAATCAATATGTTCAGGCTGGTCGTAAGTTTCTCGAGCCACCTCTAGCAGGATCTCAAACTCAGTTGCTTTGATTTTGTGAGGAAATGGTCTATAGCCATATTTGTCGCCTAGAAGACACTGAATTAAATTCATTAGTAGAATTATCCCCTAAAAAAAACAATGGAACCTTTACAGTAAATGTAGACCTATGATAACATGATATCAACATAACTCTTTGGTTCTTTCAAAAATGTAAACTTACCACAAAATTTGGCCCAGGCGTGAGTCTTTGACAGTTCTTGATCTCCTGCATGCACAGCTCATTGGTTTTGTGGTCAGCGGTGGCCTCATCTCGCACGCCCCACCTCATGTCCACAACTTGAAATTCTAATCCTCGTTGCTGACAGAAAGTCCGCAGGCTCGGATACACATCCCTTATGAGGCGATTTCTCTCCTCTGTGGTATCTGAAGATAAACATTAATTATGAGCCGAGTCAGGAGGAAAGTTTTTATCCATATTCAATAGGAACCTTGAACATTTCAATCAGTCATTCTGAATATTTTACACTGAATGTCTGCTTCCGTGGGAAACAGTTAGTTTTGATTTCCTGAAACTCGAAAGTAAAACAAAACTGACCGTTTCCCGAGGGACCAGTATATATGAATATCCAGAAAACAAGCTAAACATGAGCGCTTAGGATGGTATTTCATTTCTCTCCCCTCCCCGTTAGGGAAGGAAGTAGGGAAGAAAGAGAGTGTGTGTCTGCGATCGACCTGGACTGTAAGAGAACCAGGGAACAAGAAGTTCAAAGAAGAGAGCTTTAAAAGTATCACGCCACAATCACACCACCCTCTTCAAACACGTCCCGATCACGTGCAAAACCTGGCCATATTTGTACCCTGAGCGGGATACATCTTTATTTGAGCAGGGTCACGTGATAGCTGATTTAGAACAGGGAAAACTGCGGGTGTATAAAAACTCTCTATGACTTGTTCATAATTTTTCAAGCTCCTATATTTAATCAAAAGGATTACCTGTGAAGGTCGAGCTTGTAAATATTCGGACTATGTTGGATTCCTTTCGCGGTAGATTCGTGACATCTCCAGCGAGGATTCGTCTGATGTTGTCCGCCATGTTTATCTCACATCTACTAGAGGGGAAAGGGGCGTGTGGCAATTACAAGTGACAAGCGATCCTTGTAGAGATCCCCAACTGCCCTTCCTCTTTGGTTTACAGGTTTTTGTAAGCCAAACAAATTTTGGCCTTTCCTCTTGTAGTTTCAGAAGACTTAGATATCGATGTCAAGACTAAAAGTGAAATAAACATTTTACAAAAGAGAAATAACTGGGTAATAAAACTGGCCGGTTCCCTGTCAACTTCTGTATTGAAATAAGTTAATTTCGCAATAAAAGTTACGATCCTTGCGACGTTTTCTGTGCGCAGTTCATTGACGAATGTCACCTGTGGTCCCCATCGTAGTCGTAACACGCGTGACGAGCTAACAGGTGTTGTAAATGACGAAGTGTTTTGTGACACTTATCAAGATTCCCCAACCCCGTAATCATGCTTTATATTTAAGTCGACCATTCGACCTTGCACAAAGCCTTGGGACGGAACGTAACCCCAAGAGCTAAGTTGAGGTTGGAGATTTCAACATCACTTTATTTTCGAGCAGCAATTTTTCGTTCCAGCCCACCGATGCAATGTTAATTTGAACAATTCAATACCTCTGAAATATTGGCATCTAGGCTATAGGCAAAAGGTTCACTTGACAAACATATTCAGGGCGTGAAATTAATTTTTTTTTCCGATAGCCACTTGGCTCCTAAATTCTTCAAAATGGTAGCCAAGTGGAAAAAAGTTGGTCGCCATTTTCAAAGACAAACAAAACCTTTTTTTAAGCTGTCGGCGTTCAAGATAGACCCTCCAAAATTAAATTTGGGAAAAGATCTTTAACGTGCTACAAAGTGGACACTAGGATGGACGATATACAACGTTAAAGCTCACCTAAATCCAAGATGGCGTCTAGTTATCGATCGAGATGCATGTGTTGCGTTTTGGAAACAAACTTAACGAGGAAGTTCGCCGCGGATTTATCTTTGCAAATCTTTTTAATTCACTATATCTCTTGGTAAGGTTATGATGAAACATTCTAGTCGCCAATTTGGCGACTAATTTCCAGGATTTGGTCGCCAAAGTGAAAAATTTAGTCGCATTGGCGCCTGTATTAGGTGCAATTTCACGCCCTGATATTGGAAGCAAACCTGTGAAACATAATTGACGTAAATTTGGAAAAAAAATTACATTTTGGCTATTTTCAACCTAAGAACGAACAAACAGCCTGTACATTTGAAATTCAATAAGGAGAAAATATTAATGATTTATAACCTTGTGCTTAAAACTCTAAGCAGCTTAAAAAACAATCAGAGACCGATCGAAACCAGCATTGTTGTCCTAATCGTTAATTGAGTAAATCTCTAGTTTTCCTTTCTCAAATTTCTGTAATCAGTTACCTCCACTCTGTCTCATTAGAAGGTTACTTTGCTATGTAATAGCAGAGGCTACTCAGGTCATGAGAGATAATTTGCGATTTCAAACGATTACCCAAACAACCGAAAGAAGTCTTATGTCTGAAGATCTTCTTAGTTTCTTCCCCATCAAGAGATGTAATGATCGGATTTTCGATGAGAGTAAGACCGAAAGAACGTTGTTTAAATCAAGGCTCGCTCCGTAAATCGAGTTTACTATCCCTGAAAATGTTCATAGGTTATCAAATCGATCTTAGTTATAGATAATACTTCCGTAATGCAAAAATTCTCACCTGCCCTTCAAAAAATGGCATTTCAGTCTTGATTTACGGTTAAATAACCGGGCTTTATCAGCAGTTTGAAGGCATTATTTTGAACAATCACTATAAACTTACTCAATGAACAGTATGCAAATTGTTCGTAAAAGTTAGTGCAATACTTTGCATAACAAAAAACCTGAAAACCTATTTGCATGTACGTAACGGAAACTTCTGACTCTTAGACGTTCATCTAAAGGAAATATTCATCTCAAATCAATAAAAGTCTTTTTTCTGTCTTCGTAAGCTGAAATTATAATCAACGACGTTAAAATGAAACTGAATTGTATCCAATTTTCTTGAATGTAAGTTGTCAGATGTTAACTGTCTCTTGATCAAGCTTACCGGAAACGAACACTAACTTCCGGTTCCCTTAGCGCCCGCGCCAGTAATGGAAATGTGACCTGGCCTTCGGTCTTCGAAGAATGAAACTAGTCACGGATTAATGCATTTACATTTGGTATCACTGAATGTTATATTTACGTGGCTTTGGCGGTCTTCAAATCTTCCCTTTGGCTACGAATTGAATCGAAGGAAATTTTAGTGAGCCGGGACGTGTCACAATGAATTCAGTTTTGAACGAGGCTCAGTTAAAACGCCTTTCAGAGCACAAATACAGCGCGCAATGCGTATCGATTCTAGACCCTTGCTTCCAAGTTTACTGGCGATGGCTTGTGGAACAACTTCCTCTGTGGCTAGCTCCAAACACCATTACAATCTCAGGATTAGTCATCAATGTAGCCACTTCCCTTATTTTAATGTGGTATTGTCCTCAAGCCAAAGGAGAGGTAAGATATGATGTAAAATAAAAGATAACTTTCCGTTTCAGTTTGTTCAGGCTTTAGATAATCGCGGTGTTTGAAGCGAGTCCTGTTGGTGAATAATACATGTTTTGTTCTGTTTCATTCATTTTAGCTTGAAATTGGATTCAATAAAAACATTCTTTTCCAAACTAGAACTGATAACACAACTTCAGCTTCAAGATCTCAATTGCTCACAGCAATGAATTTACACGAAAGCAATGAATTTGTCGTGTTAAGCTTGTATTTAGCTAAGCTCTGGAACTTTAATAGCGTGCTTTGATAGTAAATGTTTACTGATAGAATGACTGGTTAGTTTGAATTGCCGGCTTAGCATAAATCATTTGTGTGAGACTAATTTATTCGCGGTCCCATCAGTCAATCAAACTTGGAACGTTCACGAATTTCTAAAGAAAACTCTACCAACAAATTGTTCGTATGTGTCATTAAACCGTGATATTGTCTATTAAAGGGAACTAGTAAATGTATTTAATTAAACGCTGTATTTTACGCAGTAATGCATCCAGCTGCGACATTTTAATTTTCATTATCTAGCTTTTTAGTAAGTTATTGTTTTATTTATCCCTCATTAAATTAAACCAATGTATCATCCATGCATTTGCTTAAAACCAGGTGAACTTTTTAAAGTGAAAACATTTTATTAACCTTTCAAAGATGACCTGACCTGACATGTTGTTGTTGTTGTTGTTGTTGTTGTTGTTGATTGATGGGTATCACATAATCAAGTGGAGAGAGAGCAAAGTTTATTTCTCGGTCATGTATCCATGTGTAGAGGAGATCTAAATTGTAGATCAAATTAGACATTGATACATGTAAGCATTTGGTGTCTAGATGGAGCTCAAGTGTAGTTTGACAACTACTTGTGATTTAACCCTTTAAGTCTTGCTAGTGACCTAGACAGAATTTCTCCTTACACTATCAGTACAACGTCAAGCAGACAAGTAATGAGAATAAAGAAGAATATCAGTTAGGTAATTATTGGTTGATTCAATTCCAAATTCTCAAAACTAACATCATATGAATTGTACGGCAGACAGTAAGGAGAAATACTAATGAGATCTTGGGAGTTAAAGGGTTAACTTGCATTTGGATCGCTGAGGTAAATCTCTCATGTAAGGATGCACATGTGTTACACACACATCTGTTACTGAACCTTTTAATGACACAAAAATACCAAGATTTTTAACCTTGACATTGATTACCATCAATATTTGCATATAGCCATATTTATGATGGTTGATATTCTTTATTTCCACAGGCACCATGGTGGGCCTTTTTCTTGAGTGCTGTGGGACTGTTTGCATATCAGTCTCTTGATGCAGTTGATGGTAAACAAGCACGACGTACAAAAAGTGCTTCACCATTGGGAGAATTAGTAGATCATGGCTGTGACTCTGTTTCCATGGTGATAATGATGTTGGCTATCAGTGTTGCAGTAGAGCTTGGGACACACCCTAGCTGGATGTTCTTCATAACATTCATGGCAACCTTCATGTTTTATTGTGCTCACTGGCAAGCATATGTCTCTGGTACTATAAAGTTTGGAACGTAAGTGAATAAAATTTTTACTTCTGTTTCAACTGCAGGAGAAAGTATAAGCTTTTCACACAACTGATTTAAGAGAAACTCCACCCCTAAAGATGTAAACTCCTATAGCAGGCCTGGCTTTTCTTTAAAGGAAATACCAGTGGGTGAAAGGTCTCATAATTGGAAGGTTAACCAAACTAGAGTTACACAGTCATACTCTTGCATGTACATGAAGCAAAGTTAATAATATTTTGGCGTGTTGTAATTTCAGTGTGGATGTAACAGAGATTCAAGTTGCTGGTATGGGTATATTCATGGTGTCTGGAATCTTTGGTGTTCAAGTATGGTCCCAGCAGGTAGGCCTGCTGCTACAATTCTAATATGTCACATGACTAATGTTGGGCATTTATTGACGAGCTGTATACATCTGTATTTTTTGAATGTATGTAGTCATCCAAGGTAATCATGAACTGTATTACGATTGTTGATGAGTGACCAAAACAGAATTTCTTCCCACATATCAAGCAGACATGTTATGAGAATAAAGAAAAATATGAATTAGGGGATTTTAAGGTGATCCAATACCAAATTCTCAAAACTATATTGAGAATTGTAAGGCAGACAGTAAGGAGAAGTACCATTGATATCTTGGAAGTGAAAGGGTTGATGTACACATTTGTGAAAAGGAAATGCCAGGAGATGATAATGAACCGGTGTCATCAACCCAAAATGTGGCCTTTTAGGAACTGAGTTGAAAAGTGGCTTGTTCAGGGCTCTACCTGGCAGACAGTTAGGAAACAGAGCTGACTGCCCTGCAGGAAAATAAATCCCTGCCTGTATGAGTGGATGGCTTCTTCAGTCCATATTTCCCCTTTCTGTATTATTTTTTTATTATATAAACATAGTGTACTTCTTTTTTCTCTTCATGTTGTTGGGTTAAAGAATCAATTGTTGAGTTCCCTGATTTTTGATCATGTGCAGGTTCCTTACTTCAGTGTCACATACAAGGATGTTATCTTCGGGGGTACCCTGTGTGGAACAATTTACAATCTTTCATCAATATTTCTCCAAATATATGAAGGTGGAAAAGGGAAAAATGGATCAACAGTTGCTGTAAGTTTTTTTTAACATCATGCAATTTGCCTTACTGTTGTAGCTGGTAAGTGCTCAGCGAGTAGTGTACTTATAGCATGGAGCATGCATGTAATTTCCAAGAACTGCATTTGCTTGACAAGGGTATAGTTGCTGTATGTATGAACAACAATGCAATTCTGATTCTAAAGTAACTTTCCTGGGTCATCTAGATTTAAATCTTGCCTTTTCAGTTGTGGTAATTAGCAATCAATTGTCCTTTTTCCAAGTTTTTATTGATTCAGAAATGTCATACTATTAAGAAGTCGAAATGTGATGTTAAATGTTTCAGTGGGTAAAAATATTTGTTGAAAGGGAGACTGGAAATTGCTACTGAACTGTACTGTGCACAGAAATCTCAAGGAGTTTTGAAAACCAATGACTGTGGTAACCATAAATAAACATTTTATCTGCACCTACATATAATTAAGAACTTACAATTTATCTGCAAAAGTTGCAAAATCATGTGCCTGTTTTCTAAATTACTTGTCATACAAAGAATCACGTAGTTGTGTTTGTCTTTCAGGGCACTAGTGTTTTATCACCATTGTTTCCTATTGCTGCAATGTTATACATGGCTTATCTTACTGCAACAACCTCCTCCACAAGTGTATTCCATAAGCACCCATGTCTATTCGTCATGGCGTTTGGAATGGCATGTTCCAAGATTACAATCAAACTAGTGGTATGTGCTATTGTGGGGAGTATTGTTGTTACTACTATGTGATTGTGTTGTGTCTCAGTTACTTTTGTTTTATCCAGTATTAGGGGCACAGGCAAAGTTCTTTGTAAGGGGACTTGAGTGGGCAGAGAGAGCTATACACTAGTTTAATGTGTTATTAGCATTTGGGGCATGCCTGAGGGCTTTGTTATTTATGGGTTGTCTGTTATCTGGGACTAATATGGAGGTCATATTATCTTTTCATATATAATTTTTAACAAGCAGGAGATTTCTTGAGAAAAAAATGTTAAAGAAAACTGTCTGAATTTCTTTGAATTTTACATATGTCATTTCTCAGAGACAGAAACAAAGTGAAAAATTAAGAATTATGTTCCTCTCATAATGGGAAAGCTTCATACAAAACATTAATTGCCTTGGAGGATCAAATGGAACAGCTAGGCACCTCAATTCTTTCACTCTCACAAATAATTAGTGTCAGAAACTGTACAAGAGTTTCAATACACAGTGGGAAGACCAATTCCTAACCCATAAAGAAGCGTATTGGCATCAGAGGGCACAACTGTCCTTCAGTTCTTAGATCAGATCTTAGCAAGCAGATTATTACTTTGAAACTGTATGAACATTTTTACCTAGAACCTTTCAGTTGTTCATCTTTTAGATTCCTCATTAACATTTTCTTCACTGTCAATAGGTTGGTTGTATGACACGGAGTCCTGTTGAATTTAAAGATTCCACAATGATTGGAGGAATTCTTCAGATTCTTAATATTCATTATGGCTCCCCAATTGATGAATACGTTCTATTGTGGTGTATGATGGTGAGTCTTCTTGAATTTTTAAATCGAACACAATGTAAATGTTCTATTAAAAAAAAATTGGGAAAATTGCAACCACAAAATAAGTGAAAAGTACAAACTTTTAGAAATGGCGTCATACTTCTGGCCACGCAACAAAAATAGGCGAGGCTTTATACCAGAATCTTAAAACAGGGAAATGGATTTTGCTGTCCTTTACCAAACTCATCCAAAACTGTTTTTGTGATGACGGGTGAGTGTATGATCAGTCCTTCGCTGTGTGCCCCAAGGCTGTGGAATTCTCTTTAGCACGAGGTATCGTTACTTTCCATGGATCAACATGTTTCAAGTGCTCAGTTAGTAAAAAAGAGCGAAATTGAAGACGGCGCGATAGAAGCTGACGCGACCCGGCCCAAAACTCCCTCGTCTTTCATCCCTTCACTGTTACAGAGCTGTTTTACCAACTGAACGCCTGGAACTGGCCATTCACGGATAGAATGCGAGTTCGTCGCGCGCAACCCCTCCCCTCCCATCTTTTCCTCTTTCTACCGTACTCAGGATTTCCTGACAAGTTGCTGGCACCCATTCATACTGGTTGGAGAGAAGCACTTGAAGTGTCTTGTCCATTGTCCATTGTCCATCTTCTCCATTGACTGTGTCTTACCCCTCTATTCTAGGGTCATGTGTTGTTTGAACAGCTACGGTACAACTTTGCTCTTGGTACGGATATCTGTGACTACCTTGACATCAGCTACTTCAGAATAAAACCTATGGATAAGGAGAAGGACAAATAGCGCGCCGTGACCTTCCACTTGTTAAGGGTAACCCCTGCTTTTCCTCCCTTTGATCTTTTTTCTGACCATTTTGTGAGCTGTGTTGAGCGGTATTTAGCGTGAAACTTATGTAAAACCCAGATCAAATGGGATCAAGACTCGGTGTTGGCTGGGCTCTTCCTTCAAATGTTATCAACTGCTGTAACTTCACAGGAAAGCTTGCATTAGGTGAAGGTCGGGACGCGCCGGGCAGTAAGTCGGTGCTACAGATTTCCGTGTGCATTTGATGTTTTGCTCTTATTTTTATGAGAATGAATTTTTTTTTTTTTTTTTTTTTTTTCTGTTTTTTTTTTTTTACTAAGCCAATCCAACTTGTCCTTACAAGCGAAAAAGCCCTTTACGTGGGATGTCTGGTCGTCTTGTCGCCGCGACTTGTCTTTGCTTGAACATGCGTTCCGACCTTGCCACCAAACACCAAAATAGTATTTTGATAAACCAACCGAAAGGACAGATAACGTGTGGAGATAATTACCAAGAACTGAGTTAATATCAACTTTTTTTAAGTTCTAAGGTTTGGTTAAATGAATGAGTTAATATCAACTTTTTAAGTTCTAAGGTTTGGTTAAATAGACTTTTTCACTTCTGGGTTTAGTACGGTAGGTTTCTTAGTTAATTGCGAAGACACAACGGTTTATTGTTCTGCTTTCAGCTTTAGCCAGTTCCTTTTGAAGTAAATTAGATACTTCCCTTCTTAAAAGTTAGGTATAGATGCAATACTATCGTCTTTACGAAAATTCCTTAAACAACACAAGGGGGGAGTATAACAAACTTTGCTTCTTGTCGTCGAAAGTCAGAATGCAGCACATGAACAGTCTGATGTAATTTTGACCTTCTGTAGAACACAATTTTCATTTTTTTTTTCTCTAATTACGTTCCTTTAGGCTTTCTTTGAGTTATTGTTACCAGAAATCTTTAAAGTCAATCTTTGCGCTCCGTATGGCTCTTGGGAGATGAGTACATGCTTAGATTCGCTCATTAGCGAAAAAGATGTTGAAATATTATTATCCTTAACGAATAAGTTATTAAGTAGGGAGTGCGCTTGTACCCATCAGAAGTGTTAAAGCTCAGTATGTCAGAATCCAAAGGAAATCTTTCCATTAAAGAGCGCATTTCGATTGGGTGTCGTAAAACCAAAATCCGTTGAATCAGATCGAAGAATTAAATAAAAGCACCAAAGCGCTAGTTGTGTTTGTTTGAGCATCTTTGAAGGTTGAAAGGATGGCGCAAATTTTAATAAACATACACTAAATTTAGTAAAACAAACCCATTGCAACCCCGAATTAGTCTTGACACTCGATTGAAAATGGCTCTGAATGGCTAGATTACAATTCGAAAGGGTTTCTCGAGATTATTTTTGCGATCTCTCCACTTAAGACCTGTCTGAATCTGAGTTGCGTATGAAGGGAAGATTATTAACGTTATCTTGCGTAACTGTGACATCAAGCCATGTTACATCTTGAAAGAATCGCACCGAATAATGTCCATTTAACCGTAATTTTAAAATTTAGAATGCGAAGAAATTTTGATTTAGGCGTGTGTGATGCCGATTTATATTGTAGCTTATTTTAAATACTGATTTCTCACTGCATATCACGGTGGTAACATTATCACGAGTGTATGGAAAGATTATTTATTTGAATACAAATTCTTCAGTTTTGTTATTGACTCAGTTTTTTGGTAAGTCCTGTATCGGTTTTGTGACAGATTGAGATGGAAAGCACACGCTAAGCTGTTTAATTTGATGAAAGATGGAATAGATTGGAAACGATTTTCACTGAAATACTCAGCATAGTTATGACGTTTGGTTTTGCGAGCCTTCTCGAAAACGCTCGCAAGACAACTAATTGAGCCACTTTACTACCTTCACTTAACAATTGGTCATATGATAAATATTTCCCGCGAGTAAAAAGTGGCAGAAATTTCATGGAACCCAGTTGAGCTAACTAAGTGAATGCCTTATCTTCTACCCTAGTGTAACAAAAAGGATTACCGTTAAACATCTACAACAGTTCAGCGAGATACGCCGGAAATGTTGGTGTGTTCATTAATAGGTAGCACTCGACAAATCCTTTGCAGTCGACGATCGCATGTTTCAAGGGGCATCTTGCTGGAAGAGAAATGGCAGGGTGTCTCTCCATGTGATCGCCGCTTGCAAAGCATACATTAATTACAAGCGGCAAATAAGAACAAATTAGCTCGTTGGGATCATTTGGATTGGATACGAATTGATTCTTCCACACAAATTTCTAAATATATTATTAAAATCATTATTCTCTTGACCATACAAAAAGAAACGTAACCGAAAAGAAAAACGTAGAGCTGAATAGTTCATGACGTTGATAATGAGGATGACGATACTGACAAATTTGAAACTAGCTGTTAACTCAAGAATCAGAAAATTAAGTTATTACGTTTGAAGGAAAAGCGTAACCTGGTCTGATGCTGATGAGAACAAAAATCAAAAGGGAATTTTTCCCCATTTTTATTTCTCCTAAAAATCTCAATCAGTATTTAATCATTCCTGAACATTTTGTCAAAAATTTACTCATGTTTTCATTGGTCTGTGATCTGCTTTATCAATACCACTATCGGTTTCTTTATCGTGATTGACTGCAAGACAGATGTTCCCCGTCCCTGTGAAAATTTGAAACGAGTCGGGGAGAGGTTTGCCGTGGATCTGGCACTAATAATCAATTCTTGACTGTCCCTTGCAGACCTCTCGCGGGCTCACTGGTTTTAAGCTTTCCCGCGGGCAAAGAAACACTGGTGCCGAAGCGTTAACAATGACGAGCACCTGCTTGCAGGCTACAACACTAGTAACTTACGGGTCGTCCATGTATCTAAATGTTTCATTCAGTGCCACAGCTCCCAAAAAAAGGTACTTTGAAGGTAAACAAAAATGATAAAAAAACACGAGGCGTTGAAATACAAATCCCAGACACCATTTTTAACTCGTGAATTGCGCGCATGCGCAAGAGCGAGTTATAGATACGATGTGGGGAATGGCATTCGCTCGCTCGCTCGATTGGTCGATTCCTGTAAACTTTTTTTAGATTTTAGGCTTTTGAGTGCATTTGATAGTTTTTGGCGCGCAATAAACAGACGAAATGGCGACCTTTGTTGCTAAGAATAGTGGTGGGGTGAAAAAAAAAACCAATGATAATCTTAAAAGAGTTTTTTTTTTCGTTTTAGTTTCAACTAGCGGCGCCAGCGACTGGCAGGCATCCAATGATTCACACTGAAATAACAGAACAACCTTCGTTTTTCATAAAATTGTAATTTACAATCCTTGAACTTGAAAACAATCCGAAGATTCATTGAAAATATCACTTACTGCGAAGCGCTCGGATTTTACAGATGTTCAAAAGCTTTTTCTGTTATAGCGTGAGACTGAGGACAAAATTGATCATTACGTTTCATCGCGTGTGTTTTTCCTGTGTGAAGCAACAGAAGATGCCGGCGACTGACGAAATAACAAGTTAACACGAAAATCAAATAACACCTAAACAAACAATTTTAGCTACCGATTTTCAGTGGATTTTTAAAGAACAATTTTCTTTTAAGTTTCAAGACAATTTGAAGATTCAACATACATACAACGTACTAAAATGCGAAAGTTACACACCACAAAATTGATAAATAGGCCTGAAATGAAATTCTATCTTGTTATTGATTATACGTTGCCTAGCACGTGACTTAAATCTACCCAGGCGGAGATCCAAAATGACGGTGGCAGGCTTGGCTTAGTTATATCACTCAAACCTCGTTCCCGTTTGTCTCACTTTATAAAGAGGGAATCGTTAATGTTTTCATTAAGACAGTATTGCCTTGATTTTCTAATACTTACAACGAAAGACAGTAAATTTCACTTTTCACCCACATTTACTTCCAACCTTTTCTTTTGAAACAAAAATGATAGACGTTTAAAACACATGACATCATCCACCTTGTCAAATGTAATAGCATGATCATTTCAATTGTAATGCCTTCTTATCCCAACGTTACTTTGTTTCTTTGCTACATTAGCGAACACTGAACTACTGCTCGTACTCTAGATATGGCAATCAACCACAAAATTCCCTAAACCAGATAACATTAAACATAATCTAAAAAATCATGTGTCAATTCACGAGTTTGCTCACAGAGCACTTTAATTTAGATCACTTTCCGATAAAAAAGAAACATGTTGATTAAAATGCGTCGTCAAATAAATGTCTCTTAACGAACGTCTCAGTGTGAATGAATAAGCTCCTATCTTTTACTATGGATTTGATTGAGGCACTGAGGTAAATTTTTCATGTTATCAACCGCCTGAAGGAGTAGTGATGTTTTGCGTGTCGAACGGTTTTTGGAGCCTCACCAAAAGCCTTTCAGACGTTTCTATTGGTCCATGCTAAGTGGCTAATATTCAATGACAGCGTTGTTTACAAGGTTTTACTGATAATTTGGTTCTCTCGTGAAGTTGAACTGGTTGAGACTACTACGACATTCAAAGTGCGATGGAACAAAAAAATTCTTATGTTTCATCAACCACCAAGACTGCCTCTGAGGGTTACAAGCAAAGCTCTCGTACTGTGCAAAACAAGTCTGGTAAAATATTCATAGATACTGACGTTCAACCCCAATCCGGAGACACGATCTTAGACCTCGGTTGTGGCACAGGAGAGCTGTCTGCATATCTTGCTCAGCTTGTTGGAAACAGTGGAAAGATTGTGGGTGTTGACCCTGACAAAGAACGCCTAGAACTTGCTAAAAAATCACACAGTAATATCGACAATCTTTCCTTTGTCGAGGGGAGCTCTGCAAACTTCCCAGGTATGGGCTCAGAATCCTACGACGTTATCTTCAGCAACTACGTGCTGCACTGGATCCCAGACAAATCCAATGCATTCCGGAATATGTACGCTAGCCTGAAGCGGAATGGTCATGCCAAAATTGCAGCTCAGTACGGCAGCTATTTTTTCCCATTCATGACAAGCGCCTTTAAGGAACTGAATCCAGAAAATGCCGAACATTTACTTGGTATGTTCAATTTTGAAGCGAGGTCAGCGATCGAGCAATATTGTTCAGCAGCCGGGTTTGGCATTGTCAAAAGTTATGATGCTCAGATCGCACAATATGTGTTTGAGAGCACTGAGGCGCTTTTGAAGTGGCTTTGGTCCACTACACATGGTGCTTTTGATCCTTCGCTAGTAACCGAAGATCGCTTACAGAATTACTATCCATATTCAAGTCGAAATGGTCAACCTCCATTTGATTTCAGCGGAATTGAAGAGGAGTCAACTATTTGTCGATTGGTGGCCAACAAACAAGTTTCTTAGAACACCACGAAACGTCCATTTACTTACATTAACATCGATTGTCTGTTTGAGGACGAAAGAATTATGTGCATGTCAGTTAATTTGAGGAGAAAATTACAAAACTGATAGTTCACGAGTGTGAAGTTTCACAATGATTCGCCAGTTTACTTTTACTTAGATACTAGGAATCGCTATCAAAAGTGAGTCCTTTCGACCTCAGAGTTTTATGTCATGAAAAACCTTGGCAGAAATCAACTTTTTCGCAAGTTTTAGCTTGCTGAGTATTGTTATCTTCCAGTAAAACAACAATGACTTTCCAAATTGTTCCGTTGCGTGACATTCCAATAACCGACATTGAAAAGGTTGTTTCTTTGTCATAGGAAGACTCTGTTTTCGAAATAATTAATGCATCGTAAGATCAACGAACAAAGAAAACAAACAAATTAAAAAACTGAAAAACAGCCGCATCTCTCAATATAAGTGCCCCTCAAATGTGTCAGTTTTATTTTTCATGACGTGACTTCGCAAAAACCTATCAATATGTGTAACTAATCAGATCGAAACCAATACGTCCAACATCACTATCACAGAGGAAAAGGAATACATGTTGGATGAAGTATCTCATGAACTACGACACTAAGCAGCTGTGTTAAACATGAAGTTCCTTCAATCTCTTAACAATGTAACCTTCACTAGGCTGACAGTCATTTTGAGTAAGGAAAAACCAAAGGCTAAAAATTCAAGACTGCTACAATTAAAACTAGAATTTGAACTAAAGTTCTGGTGATCGAGGATAAATTGGAACGCAAATTATATGAAGGGATGGGTGAAATTACTATGGGATTTCGACCAGAAATCTAGGGGAAATACAGTTTTATTGGATTTGACGAAGGGTTCGTTTGAAATGGGTTTTGAGTCTTTAGGATTTAATTGTGTTGCCCCAAAGAGAACGAAAACGATCTATTCATAAGATGGTTCAAATATCCGTTACTGCAGGAGAAAACGTACCGAAAGCTTACCTGTAGGTGGGAATGTTCCATAACCCTCTCCAGTGGTATGGCTGTAAACGTACAACAAAAACGTTCTATATATATCATAAGATTAGTGAAAAACAAAACACTTTGCCTCAAAACGTTCAAAAAAATTTGCCTCCCCATGCCTTTTCTGTAAATACAGTTCAGAGCCGCCTTAAGTTTATGGGGGAACTTTAAAGTGGCTCTGGTACCCAAGATGTCCAAAAAATAATGATTTATAGACATAATTTTAGAATATTTTAATACCATTTTCATTGGAGAACACACGAAATAAGTGTGTTCATATCACTCTAACCAAGCACTGGTGTTAAAAAATACCAAAAGTATTTTGAGCCTCCTTAACACAGGGCATGAGTAAGATGACAGCTGCAATGTACCTTATTTCCAAGATATTCACAAGTCTTCATACCAAGATATGCTCCAAAACCGTTGCAAACGAGAACATCCATGATCCACTATTAAAAGAATAAGTGTCTTACACAAATTTCACAGCACAAATAGTTACTAAACACACCAAAAGCCAATGAGACCAAAAAGTGAAGTCAGGCAGAGTCGGCAAACAGCGTAAAACGCGTGAAAACGCGAGTGATCGAGTCCCGCGATTGGTTAACAGGATGGCACGAGTTTAAGGGGACCAATCAATGCTCAGTGGAGTAAAATAAACCCAATGCACTCCCGGATTACATAGGGCACTTACTAGAGAATTGTTCTGAAGCAAGACACACCAAACAATCTGTCACTTCAGTTTATTAGTGCGCCCACAATTTGACCCACACTACATCCTTTTTCATTTGTCCATATTTATTTATCAAAATCGCGTATTAACATGTTTCTCTACCATAAACTAGAAAAATACGTCTTTTAACTTAGTATCGAGTGTTCATGCCTACATTAGGTGAGTGCCTTCAGTTACTTCAACCAATAAATGTTGAGCTAAAATTATCACTCGCTATACACGATCGTAAGTTTTACTAAAACAGGCACCTGGTTTCTTAACGCTAATAGTGCAACATTTGACCACTAATACATAAAAATCCAGAAGGACACTGCTAATAATTAAGCACAGGATCGAAAAAAAATGCTTCTGCCTTGTGAAAAATTTGTCTATCCTTGAATAATTTTCGTTTAACACCAACCACGCATTACAGCTACATTAACTAAGGTTTTGGTTCTTGATGTGAATTAATCAAAAGTACATATTTCTTAGGTTCGGTTGGAGATGTAAAAATATTTGCGGCCCTGTCTCGGTGATAAGAAACTAGAATTTCCTCCTCTTCTTCTTCTTTTCAGGCGTCACACTTTGAAATATAATTTAAGTCTGGCCCTCCTACTACAGAACATAGATATCACATCACTCTCCTCCCATATTGTTTATAAATACGCAATACACAAGCCTTGATCTTCTTTGGTTAACGAGAACCATTTTGATACCTTCACTTAACAATTGGTCATATGATAAATATTTCCCGTGAGTAAAAATTAGCTGAAATTTCATGGAACCCAGTTGAGCTAACTAAATGAATGCCTTGTCTTCTACCCCAGTGTACCAAAAAGCATGACCGTAAAACATTCACAACAGTTCAGCGAGATACGCCGAATTGTTGGTGTGTTCACTGATAGGTAGCATATAATAAATCCGTTCACTGATAGGTAGCACATAACAAATCCGTTGCAGTTGGCGATCGCATGTTTCAAGGGGCATCTTGCTGGAAGAGAAATGGCGCAACACCCTTTTTATCCCGGCTGGGTGTCTCTCCATTTGATCGCCACTTGCAAGGCATACATTAATTACAAGCGGCAAACAAGAACAAATTAGCCCGTTGGGATCGTTCCGATTGAATACGAATTGATTCTTTCACACAAATTTCTCAATATATTGTTAAAATCATTATTCTCTTGACAGGACAAAAAGAAACGTAACCAAAAAGAAAAACGTTGAACTGAAAAGTTCATGACGTTGATAATGAGGATGACGATACTGACAAATTTGAAACTAGCCGTGAACGCACTGTTTGAAAATCATTCTCAAAAATTGGCAAATTACGTTCTTTGAAAATCATTCTCAAGAATTAGCAAATTAATTTATTACGCTTGAAGGAAAAGCGCAACCTGCCCTGATGCTGATGAGAAAAAAAATCCAAAGGGAATTTTCCCCATTTTTATTTATCCTAAAAATCTTGATCAGTATTTAATCATTCTCGAACATTTTGTCAAAAATTCATTCATGTTTTGGTCTGTGATCTGCGTTATTAATACCACTATCGGTTTCTTTATCGTGATTGATACGAAAGCCGCCGATAATCGAAGGCCAAAATTGCCACACCGTCCACGCAGTCCAAGAGCCGAGGAAAAGAAGCCAGAATACTGTCACGTGTGTAGGAAAGGGTATAGTGATGGTTTCCCAACCGAATTTAACGCAGATTAGCACTTCTGTTGCAACAATAGCCGCGACCACCCAAGCCTGCTGTCCAAACCGCTTACAAGTGCTGAAATGAAAAGAGAGCAACGGAGATTTACTAATACCTTAAAGCTTCTTACGACTATTTTTCTACAAGAGATCAGTTAAGTCCTCATCTAGGAGGCCTTTTAATAGCCGACCAGTTTTGCTTTTTAAGCCAGGCAGTAAATTTTTACGTACCATCACTCCAGTCGATCACGCTAGCTATGTTTTATTTTTATTATTAAGTTGGACACCAATTCACTCCCCGCGTTCTTACTTACATAAATTTCTAAAAATAGTAGCCTAAGTGCTGGCCCTCATTATAAAGGCTGTAAGACAGATGCTACCTGTCCCCGGGAAAATTTGAAACGAGTCAGGGAGAGGTTTGTCGGGGATCTGGCACTAATAATCAATTCTTAACTGTCCCTTGCAGACCTCTCGCAAGTTCACGTGCCTTAAGCTTTCCCGCGAGCGAGGAAACACTGGTGCCGAAGCGTTAATAAAGATGAGCACCTGCTTGCAGGCTACAACATTAGTAACTTACGGGTCGTCCATGTATCTAAATGTTTCATTCAGTGCCACAGCTCCCATCCCAAGGTACAGTGCCATACGAACTTGCATGATGAAATGAGGAGGAGGAATCCACAAAATAAACTTCAAGTAAAACAAGTTTAACTCGGCCATAAGGAACTGAAAAATTAATTAAAAGTTTTTTAGCGTATTTGATTGCAGACACGAAACAGAGCAAGTAATCCGAAATTGCATTGATTTGCTTTACTTCGATAGGTGATTGGTCCAGAGAACTCGCGCCACTTTCTGAACCAATCAGATTCCAAACCAAAACCAATCGCAACTTGGTCACCCGCGTTTTCCCGCGCTTCAGGTAGCTTTCTTATTTTTACTTAAAAAACTCATTGGTTCCTGGTGATATTTTCCTTGCTATGCCAGGCTGTTTTGATCGCTTCGGTGTTGGTTTTACTACACTCATTTGAAAAGCGTTCTCAGACCCCAAGAACAGCAGGATTTTTCACATACCACAGCAGCAATTCCACAGACAGCCAGCCATCTTGTAAGGCTTGTGGTGGCTTTCCAATCATAAGATGTCCACGAATAAGGAGTGAATTGAGCAGCAACTCTTTTGAACATGCCACTGAGAAAAAAAATTGTCATAAAAGGAGTGTTCAAAAATTAGAAGATAAAAGCATATAGTTATTTGAGAGTAGAACGGAAGGCGTAAGATTGAAGACAACTCATATCAACTTAATCTCGTCACCTAATTCACGATTTCCACTGTTGATTCATAATGCATACTATACAGTTTTGTGCAGTTCCGAAATCACTCATTCGTCATCAAGTCTACTTACATAAGTTCTTTCGGAAAGCTAGAGAGATTGTTTTTGTAATTCATGTGTTGTTTTCAAGCTGTTATCATGTTCAAAAGTGACAAATCCCTTTTGCCGTTGCGGAAAAAGAAAATTTATTCGCAATTTGCATCGGAGTGGAAATTTTGTTCACTGATAGTGACAGGGGTTCCTATTAGACTGAAGAGATTCATTGGCCAGAGTCTATGTCTATCGAAGTTGCTGTGGGCGCTAGTTCGCGATAAATTTCGCCGACAGTCCATCATCATTCGCGTAGCATTGCACTTCGAGCATCGATCGTTGAAAAGCTGTTTTAAATTGGGTTTGGAGTGTAGCTCTCCTTCCTCTCCCTGACCTCTTTTCTCCTCTTTTTGCTCCTTCCATATCGTCATAAGTAGCTACACATCCACACGTGTTACTTAACCTTCTCGACCTAACTCCTTGTTGGCTCTTTGCCTCGAGCACACGTCAGCAAAACAGTCTCAAATGGCTCTCTCCGATGTGATTAGGTAACAGCCTTCATAGGCGTGACCAACGCCCCGAAAAAAATCTGGTAAAGTGTTTTGGCTTGAGTTCTGATTTTTAATGATTTTATTACTGGCTGATATTCGGTAAATAACGAAGCGCTAAATGCAAATTCCAAACCTTCTCTTTTAAGTCAATATGTGCAGATCACGTTCCGATAAAAAAGAAACGTGTTGATTAAAATGCGTCGTCAAATAAACGTATCTCGAAAAACGTCTCGGCGTGAATAAATAAGCTCCTATTTTGTTCTGTGGTATAAATCAAGAAAATAATAAGTTACATATCCGAAATCAGTGTTTATTAAGCTTTAGGAAAATGTAGACTTTTACAGAGTTGGCGCGCATAATTTTCACGCTACCTCAGTTTGAATGGAAAAGCTAATTTTCCTTCTGTGATACCTCAAACCTTAAGCGTAACACCTGCTGATGAATTATTCTTCCTTCTAGGTGTCCTTAATTTCCTTTTTATTTGGCAGACAGAATTTGATGTTCGATCAAGCGAACAAAACTCTTCAGATGATAAGTTTGTCACTTCCAAACAATATGGTATTTCTGACGACTGAGTCTGCGAATACGGCAGAAATAAATATTTTGTTGGCACAAGATACGACAAAGCCTGGGCCTTGGGCCCGAGCATCATGGGTAATGATGCAGTGGTATATAAGGGGGAGTAAACACGTGGTGTCCATCTAGGCCTCAGAATCAACCGTCCACCTCTGGCTGATGACAAATTTATTTTAGTTTGAAAAATTATTTTCTTCAACTGTGAAGCCTCGTAGGACGGGCTGCCGACTGCTCTAAGTTTGGGCTATCCAGATTTCCTGTCATATGCCAAATGGCCACTATTCAATGACGTCACTGTTTACGAGTTTCTATCGATAACTTGGTTCTCTCGTAAAGTCGAACCGTTTAAGACCACTACGACATTCTGAGCGCCATGGAACGGAAAAATTGTTATGTTTCATCGACTATCAACACTGCCTCTGAGGGTTACAAGCAAAGCTCTCGTACTGTGCAAAACAAGTCTGGTGAAATGTTCATAGAGACCGAAGTTCAACCCCAAGCCGGAGACACGATCTTAGACCTCGGTTGTGGCACAGGAGAGCTGTCTGCATATCTTGCTCAGCTTGTTGGAAACAGTGGAAAGGTTGTGGGTGTTGATCCTGACAAAGAACGCCTTAAACTTGCTAAAAAATCACACAGTAATATCGACAATCTTTCGTTTATCGAGGGGAGCTCTTCAAACTTCCCTGGTATGGGCTCAGAATCCTACGACATTATCTTCAGCAACTATGTGCTGCACTGGATCCCAGACAAATCCAATGCGTTTCGGAATATGTACGCGAGCCTAAAGCGGAATGGTCATGCCAAAATTGCAGCTCAGTACGTCAGCTATCTATTCCCATTCATGACAAGCGCCTTTAAGGAACTGAATCCAGAAAATGCCGAACATTTACTTAACATGTTCAATTTTGAAGCGAGGTCAACGATCGAGCAATATTGTTCAGCAGCCGGGTTTGATATTGTCAAAAGTTATGATGCTCAGATCGCACGATATGTGTTTGAGAGCATCGAAGCGCTTTTGAAGTGGCTTTGGTCCACTACACATGGTGCTTTTGATCCTTCGCTCGTAACCGAAGATCGCTTACAGAATTATTATCCATATTCAAGTCGAAATGGTCAACCTCCATTTGATTTCAGCGGAATTGAAGAGGAGTCAACTATTTGTCGATTGGTGGCCAACAAACAAGTTTCTTAGAACACCACGAAACTTCTGTTTACTTACACTAACATCAATTGTCTGTTTGAGGACGAAAGAATTATGTGCATGTCAGGTAATTTGAGGAGAAAATTACGAAACTATAGTTCACGAGTGTGAAGTTTCACAATAATTCGCTAGTTTGCTTTTACTGAGTTACAAAGAATCGCTATCAAAAGCGAGTCCTTTCGACTTCAGAGCTTCATATCATGAAAAACCTTGGCAGAAATCGACGTTTTCGCAAGTTTTAGCTCGCCGAGTATTTTTTTTATCTTCCAGTAAAACAACAATGACTTTCCAAATTGTTCCGTTGAGTGACATTCCAATTACACGCTCGAGGAACGTTCACTCGGGCTTCATATCGAGCGTTTTACTCGAGCATTCACCACTGGATTCATACTCCAATGCAAGATCACTATCTGTTGTTACATTGTTTTATATAGCTTGTTGATGTGTGTCATTATCATCTGCATTATTTTGTAAAGCTGTGAGGTTGCTATCAATATTGCTAATATCAACTTGTATATCTTTGTACAATGGATTATATACTTTGAGCCAGTTAAGAACTTGCTGTATGAACTCTGGTCGTACTGCTTAAAAATAAACATGTCCTCTAAATTGTAACTGTCTTTTAAGCTTTAGCATTATTATACCAGATCTGTCAGGTGGACGAGGGAGTTGTTTACATGTCTGATCACATTCTACAGGTAAATTGCATATTGCACCTTTAATTTTTTCTGTTTTCCTTTATGCAAAACCACTGATATACTCAAATACTATTCGTTGAGCTATAGTATTTGTTCTATTTTTTCTAGTGTGGATAGTTCTGTGGGTATTTCATTCACATACATATAATTCACTATAGCCTGACATGGTAATTTTCCTTTTATGACTTTTGAATGACAACATGTGTTGCATAAATACTGTTTTCCATCAAATGACTGTTGAATATTGAAATATGTTTGGCAAGGGTACTTCTCGTTTATGCATGTTATTACTGATTTCTTATAAAACAAACAAACAAAACAAACAAACAAAACACTGTCCCTCAAATGTTTTATTTTTCATGACGTGACATCGCAAAAACCCATCAATATGTGTAACTAATCACATCGAAACCAATACGTCCAACATCACTATCACAGAGGAAAAGGAATGCATGTTGAATGGAGTATCTTATGAACTACAACACTAAGGACCTGTGCTACACATGACGTCTCTTCAATCTCTTAAAATTGTAACCTTCACTAGGCTGACAGTCATTTTGAGTAAGGAAAAACCAAAGGCTAAAAATTCAAGACTGCTACAATTAAAACTAGAATTTGGACTAAAGTTCTGGTGATCGAGGATAAATTGGAACGCAAATTATATGAAGGGATGGGTGAAATTACAAGTGGATTTCAACCAGAAATCTGGGGGAAATACAGTTTTATACAATTTGAAGAAGGGTTTGTTTGAAATGGGTTTGTGGCTATAGGATTTAATTGTGTTGCCCCAGAGAGAACGACAGCGATAATATTTAAAAGATGGTTAAAATATCCATTAATGCGTACGGAAAGCTTACCTGTAGGTGGGAATGTTCCATAACCCTCTCCAGTGGTATGGCTGTGAATGTAAAAAGAAACGTCCCACATATATCATAAAATTATTGAAAAACAAAAAGCTTTTCTTCAAAACGTTCGAAAAACATTTGCCCCTCCCCCCCACGCCTTTTCTGTAAATACGGTTCAGAGCCACCTTATTTTATGGGGGAATTCAAAGTGGTTCTGGTACCCAAGATGTCCAAAAAAATAATCATATGTTTTATAGATATGATTTTACAATATTTTTACACCATATTCATTGGAGAACACACGAAATAAGTGCGTTCATATCAATCTACCCAAGCACTGGTGTCAAAAAATACCGAAAGCATTTTGAGCCACCTAATGACAGGGCATGAGTAAGATGACAGCTGCAATGTACCTTATTTCCAAGATATTCACAAGTCTTCATACCAAGATATGCTCCAAAACCGTTGCAAACGAGAACATCCATGATCCACTATTAAAAGAATAAGTGGCTTACATAAATTTCACAGAACAAATAGTTACTAAACACACTCCACACCATACAATGCAAAAACATCTATCCCCTTGATCCAAACCATATGGATCTCCATTTTTATTTGAAGCACTTCAAAAAGGACATTTTAGTGACAAGAGTATAATTATTGGCAGTCTATTTTTGCTAGCTTGACTGTTGGGTTATGGTCTATGGCCAAGTAAGGCATTCTAAGAAGTGAACCTAAAAGACCCCACGTCAGGCAATGCTACCTTACCCCTCCCCTGACCCAATAACAGTCAATTGATAACAATTTAGGGCCAGGGGAGGGATAGGTGAGCAGTTGTTCAGATAATGACATTAATCAAAAGCCTGATGACCCAACCATCAAGCTGCATTGAATTTTTTTTAACCTTTTGATCTGGTAAATGATGATTTACAAAGGCTGAAGGGGGTAAGGATATCAAAACCCACAATTTTGAACACTTTAATGCACACCGTCCAAGTACTTATCAGGGCTTTCTACCAACTGGACTCTTTTAGGAGTGTTCTGTATATTTACCTATAAATTAGTCAAGGGTTTGAGAAGCAACATCACACCTGCTTATCATCATCCCTTGTAATGAAACTGTTGAGTAGTTACAAGGAATCACAGGATTAAAGAAAATTATCATTTGAGGAGTTGAACTTACATGATCCCACCAACATTCACTAAAGTTTGGTAACTGATGCTCCAAGGAATACTCCAAGACTTCAAAGAGAACACTGATGACAGTCAATAACCAATAGTCACGCAGGATGAGTGCCTACAAACACAAAATTGGTCATAAAAATTAAAAAGGGATACACACTTGGCAAGTTGTACAAAAGAGAGACGATTTTATACCAAACAAGCAATTAGTCACTCCTAGGATTCTTTCACTACCAACCAGTAACAGATAAGAGAACCCCCAGCTAGAAATGTCTGTAATCTCAATGCTTCACTTCAACAACTTCACCTTACCTTTGCCCACCATCCAAAGAAATGAGCTGGTAAAAAGACATCACACTTCTCCTGTGGGGCATTAAAGAATGACAGTGCTTAGAGAAGGGTACATTTAGACTCAAAATAATGTTTCCAACATTCTGAGGGTTCTTTACTTTAAGAAAATATTTTTGATTAAATAGAAATTTGCTAACTTGAACCAATTATGTTGCAATCTCTGCTGCTAAACAATTTATTTGATTTTTCAAACACTCAGAACAACTACTTAATTTGGGGTGAAAAAGCAAACCCTGTATACCCCAAAATCAGTATCCATAATTTCCATACTCTTCTCTATTCATTTCCTATGGTGCTGATATTTTTTGATGGTTTAACTCTCAAAGCTTCCTAAGTCAGCAATTACCAGTATTTCCTTTATTCTGACTCATAATCTTAATGAATGATTCAGCAGTATTACTGTGAGGAGAAATTACATGTAGATGCCTGTCGCTCTTAAGTTTAAAGGGTTAAAAATTTAACTTGCACCTACAAGAAAGGTATGGAATGATCCCTTGGGATGTCCAGGAGTGTACAACCTACAGTCTTCCCCATAAGATTGCTCAGGCAATGGTTTCCCCAAATCTTCGTCAAGATACTTCAATAACTGCCTTGCATCATCAGTTGTCTGAAAATAATTTTGCATGCAAAGGTAAGTAAAAAAGAGAACAATGAGGGCCAAAATGAGAATATCAGCAGCATTCATGATTGCAACAAAAAAATCTAAATAATTTTGTTAGTGTAAGTTATTGTCTAATATAAACAGCAGACTTTACCAATTGAAGGGGTGTTAATGACAAATAACATATATTTACCAAAAACCCCATACCTGGAATAAAAGAAAAATTAGAGCCAATTCATAAACAACACTCAGGCAAAGAATGATACGCCAGAAAGCTGAAAATCAAAACAGAGAACTTGAGATTAAGAACATGTTATTTATGGGTTGGTCTGCAGTACATTTGTGGGCAATGGTAATATTTAATGCCTTTTACAACATACTGATGCAACACTAGGGGTCAAACCTATGGTTGCCCCTTAGGAATTTGCCACCACAATGATAGATTTTGTCCCCAACATGAATCAACTTAATCAGCGTGCCTATTTAGGAAATAGAATTAAATAAGGTATAGCAGCAAAGTTTTTAACAGGACAGGCTGGGGAAAATTTGTCAGGTAGGGGAGACTTTGTAAATAAAAAAACCTCCGTAAACCAATGTGCTTCATGGTGTTTTAAGCATCTTTAAAATTAAGCCTGAGTTTTTCAAATCTATCATTAGCAATCTGTGTGATTGTCTTGATGTATTGATCTATTATAATTGAAACCATCTCTACCTGTATGTGGTTTCATCTCAGGTGTTCATCTTTTGAACAAAACAACTATTTTAAAGGTTTATTACATTTTGGCCAATCAATCACATACCTGGGTGAGGTCGTTTGAATGGACCATCTCTAATCTGAGTAACCCCAAACAACAAAAACACAGCTATACAGGCTATAAGTCCTCTGAAACAACATAACATGCAAATATCGTGTTACACCCTTAAGAGCAAAAGTGTCACAAAAAGTAATTAAGTACTAATTCTGGTTGACAGTGGTTTTACTTTTCTATAATTAGTGATTGGTCTAGAAAGCTGATACCACCCTGACAAACAATTACATGTGAATCCACAACTAAAGGCACGACTGTCGTCAGGCACTATGCTTGTTTTTTTAATTTGCCCCTTCATGCCCTGTGATATTTTCCTGTGTTGTCAGTGGCAATTTTGAGTATTTTAATTCTGGATTAACAATACTCAGTCAAAATGTGCTCTAAATTGCAGAATTTGATCACTAATTCTCTCTTCTGGCTGATATATAGTTCCTTATTAACTGGCTGTTAACCCTCTACACCCTAATATGAGTATGCATATTTTCTATACTATTTGCTATACATTTCCTTAGGTGCTGACAAGGGGAATTTGTGTGATAATTCAAATTCTCTTTTGGTTGGAAATCATTTTCTTTATTCCTGTGACTCTAAAGTTTGATTCAGGGCTGATATTGTAAGGAAATCTAAGATGCTAGTCACTCTTAGGGTCAAGGGATTATGAAAATTGAGAGTTCATTAAGAAAAATACATCTTAATTCTCATCACCTGTTTACTTGATAATTTCATACAAACTTTTAGGAGAAAATTACATGTCGATCACCACTGAGAGATACATGTTAGGGTAATGAGACAAAGTCATGTCTAGGCATAGTTTACTGGTTTTATCACATTTAGCCTGCCACAATGACATCCATATAAAACCTGCATTTTACAACCTCCAATTAACCACTTCAACACACATTAGATATGGGTGTTCATTCAATAAATGCAGAGCTCACAAATTAATTTGCAAAAACAATTTTTTGCCCACCTCTCCATTGACTGTGATGCCATGGTCATCACCTTTTTTACTGGGGGGAAGGAGGGGGGGATGGAGGCATAATCCCCCAAAAAATTGTGAAAAAAACGAGTAGCTAAGATGTGGATTCCTTTACCTGAGCACTTGTACAAAGAGTTTGAAGTGAGTAAAAGGGAACAAGGAGTAACAGTGGCTCTGCACAAGAATCTTCATTGTTGGAAAGAGTTTGAAGCAAGTATAAATGTAAAAAGGAGCAAGTTATATCTAAAAAGTTAATTAAATTAATTTTATTGGTAATTAACTAAAGCAGCAGATTACCCACTCAAAATCAGCAGTTTAAATCAGAAGCCTTTAATACATGAGAAATAGTTGTTTTATCCTTAAATATTATCCCTGAATCACACATTAAGGTCATGAGAATGAATAAAATGATCACCCACTGAAGCTCAGGATTGTCAAACAAATTCTCCTTGACAGCACCTCAGAAAATGTTTAGGGAACAGAAAGGAGAATATGCTTACTGATTTTAGGGTGTAAAGGGTTAAACTATACTTGTGGTCACGTCCATTTTTTCTATATAAAATATTCATACCTCTTTGTGTTGTATTCACTGTTTTCCTTAGTTTTCTCAAAAGCTCCAACATAAACCAACACACAAAGCATTATTAGAAGAACTGTCACTGTGTGCGCTCTCCTGAGAAAAATCATAAGCCATAATAATTTTAGAAGTAAGTCCCATCCATTTTCACAGAGCAACTTCATTAAATGTACAAGCATTAATCTCACATGCACTTAATAAGCCACTGATCCTCACTGCACCTGACTGTTCCATAACTGACACCAACTTGGAATAAAGGGTGTAAGTTTCTAGAGAAACAGTAGTGCGGCATTGGTGGGTATTACTAGATAATTTGGTGTTGTGGGCTGATAATGTGAATTGGCCACACTGGTCAGCTTTGAAACTCTTCATGGAGCCCAATTTACATTACCAACTCAGTTGATAAAACCAAATTATATTTTGACACCAGCTTTGATTTTTTTAATCTCATTTGGCTAAAAACCAAGAAGTGTCCATGATTACTTTGTGAACTTCTCATTTCAAGGGCAAGTCTTATGGGGATAAAGTGCACTTGGGTACGTGATAAAAATCTCTCAGGGCTACAAATCATCGCATCATGCATGCATGCATGCATGCACATGTTGCTACCATAGCATTGCTTGACCGGACACATACAAAGAGCAATCATACAGTAGTGTATATACATCGGATACATGTATGAAACCTAAACTGAGATAAAAGTTTTTACTTCAGCGGATGCAAAATACAGGAAAAGTAGTAAACTGATGAAAAAAATAAAGCACTTCTGCTTGAGCTTTATCAATCGAAGCTGCTATGTACATAGAGTAATCAAGACATGATTACCTAATACACCTGCTTGGGGAAGTAAATTTATCACGCAAATAAGGGCGATCGAGCGCAACGAAAACCTCATTAGCTATGGAGACTTCTGCAATATGACCGGCCGCTTGGCTCACCAGAAATAAGTATTGGTTCCATCGTCAGAAAACTGCTGAGTCTGTTTGATGTCCCACTCGCACTTTATGCTGAATGGCCGCCGGTCATCTCCTTTATCGTGTCCATTAGCCCTAACGATGTCCTTATCATGTGCCTGACCATTTTGGTGGCTTGCACCTTCCTTAGGCTTTGTCATCCTCTCTGACTGCGACACTGCTTAGTGGACTGGCCAAGATTTTCGCATTAAACTGATTTCGAAATAAAACGGAGACCTTACGACACCGAAAATGAGCAACAAAAGGTTATGTAGATTTCCAGCATGCACATGCATAAATATCGAAATATTACTGGACGTGGAAAGATTGGGATCTAGACTGAAACACATTCATCCCCAGGAGCTCTGGTCACATGCCCGATACTCGTCATAGTAACCTCTAGTAACCTTGCCATTCGAGAATTTTCAACCTTGCGTGGAATGACGTGAGAGATTCCTATTTAATGTTGATTAAAGTAAAAGAACCTAGCCCGTTGCCGTTGATACGGAGAAAAGAAGACGAAAAAAACCGGGTTTTTTTACAACAACGCTCTGCATACTCAATAATATCCGTTTCGACGGTGTCAGTAAGCTGTTTGTGAACGTTTACTGAGTCCAAGGGCACAAACAGAAAGGTAACAGTTCTCCCTTAGCTTTGCCCGGGTTTCCCCTTACTTCCGACAGAAAATTCCTTGCACCAAAAATCCGGCTGTAAATTCGAGCGCGAGTATGAAAAATGTTTTGGCACGTTGAGGAAATTTTTTATTTTGTCAGGCAAACCATTCAGACAAATTGTTTAGAAACTACCTGATGTAAATTCTGTTCGTTGGTACACTAAGAGGAAATGTGATCTTGTTAGAGAAGATGTTGAAAGAACAAAACAGACCTGCGATACTCATTTTTGGGGAAATCATCATCCTTGCTATTTGAAAACTACAAATTTTACATTTATAAGTCGGAGGATGAATATATATTTTTTATTCCATTTTATTTTTCCATGTTAGTAACTCTATCGCAGTTATAGACTTTTTTACGAATAAAACATTACAATAATTTTAATCGGTAGAATATAATCATGTGATTAAAAGCAACATTTGTCACGGGGGGGGTAGGGGGAACGGAGCGAAGATCAGTCGTTGCTAATAGAGTGTAAAGGGGGCCTGTAGAAAATCGAATACCAGTGAGGCGGGGATCAGGTAAATTTTAATGTGACGCAACTAAAATCATCCGATCCCCCAGGTGAAAACTAATGATTTTAACTTGTCCCTCTTCCTACCATGCATCCCTCGTCGATAAGTAAGAGAAGGTACGACGATCTACTCAAACTAATTACATTTTATAGTCTCATCAGTTGTTGGTGGGACCATCTCTTGGTACTGAAATGAGAAGTCATAAATGAACCACTTCCACGGCTTAAGTGAGATAACATGTTTTGTGAGATAGAAAAAGAGGTAATGGGGGGGTTGAAATAAAGTTTTGCTTTAGTGATCTCAAAATGCAATAATTGATTCCAGTTTATTGCAGTCTTTATTATACTCTCATGATGAAATTACAAAAAAAACCAATCGAGACTTTTAAAGATTCGATAATCACACCTAAGGAGAGACTGGCTATTTTTGATGTAAATATGACTTCTTGCAGCTTGCTGTGTTGGCTGGTCTACCTGTGCATTAAAAAAAAGAACAAAAGTAAGAATTTTAATGTACTTTAAAGAACTTAGCCTCAAGCCCGTCTATAGACAGCTCACCGCCGCAAGATGACAAAAATGGAAAAATCAATTGAATCGCCTGTGTGCTGTCTAGCAGGGACGTTAAAGAACCTCTGCATTCTCTCAAAAAGTAGGAAACCTAATTCCTGATGTTGAAGTCCGGCCTTGTCATCGTTTACACTAGCTGAACTAGGCCAGGCTATCTAAATAACGCAAATGAATAAATAAATAAATAAAGATACTTTCGCTCTATATATGAAGTACCTGAACTCTAAAGACCACCATAGTACATGAACTCCGTGCAGCACACCGTATTAAATCCTGAACCACAAGTTCCAGGGGTAACAAGAAAAAGTCCAACCTCTTCTCCGTTTTGATCGGTGACTGAACCCTGGCAATTAGAGGAGGTGGAACAGTAACTCATCCTTGGACAACCACCACCGCGCTTTTCCTCTCCGAGCATCAAAATATCTGCGGTAAAATGCCGTGAAAGTTTTAGAAGTCTTTCCCCGAGCCAAGTGCCCCTTTCAGACAGCGCTTGAGGGCCACTCATTATTTTTCTCGGGAGGGGGGAAGGGGTAGGGCCGAGGATTTTGAGGAACATATGTTTTTCATGTGGAACAAGGGGGATTAGTTGTTGCCAACAGAGTCTAACAGGGGAACTATGGAATGGTGAGTGCAGTTAAACAGCCATGGAGGGGCTAACCGAGGAACCTAACTGAGGGATCATGTAAAAATCGTCCGCTCCCTCCCTCCCTACCCGGCGATAAATGAAGCCCGCATCTTGTCGTGGTCTCTGTAGCATGAGGCGACTAGAAATATTGCTACTCTCCTGCATCGGATGCAAGTCCATTGCAGGTTAACCTTGTATGGGATTGTAGAAAGACTATCATAGTTTGATCCGTTTTAATCTGAGCATATGATGTCTTTGGAAATAAGACCTACCTCGCTGGGAAAGACCTGCAAAAGGATTTCGTGGTTTGCAAGTTGCAATTGTGACTACCGCCAACAAGAAGCAAAGGATAATAAGTTTTCCAGCCATGTCGTAAGTAAACTGTAAATAAGAAACAAAATGAAGTCTGCATATTTGAAATAGTTTACGGCAAGCTGCACGAATTTAACTAGTTTGTGGTTAAACCTGTTTGCCCCTAACGTTCAGACGTTCGTTTCTTACGAGATTTTGACGTGACTCTTATCGTTTGTTAACTAAATAAAGATTTGTGACGAAATCACAATCAGAGGTGACTTTCAGGCAGATCTGGTGGTAGATTTGAGCTGAGAATCAATGACCGCGCATTCGGAATTTCAACAGCGCAGCTCCGACCCGCGAGCTGAGAGCCTCATACTTAAGAAAATATGGTAATGTGAATATTTCTTGTGAGATGATGTATCGTCCTTCCACAGGAATTTATGAGCATATTACTCCACCTATTTGTCAACCGCTGACTAATACGACTGCGGCGTTCTTCGGCGAAGAAAAAACAAATGGTGGTCGAATTGGCACCCATGTCGGTGGTTTTAAAATGTTTTTATTGCTTTCATGACATAGCATCATGAGAAATGCCTATAATGGATCGCATATGAGGTATTGTGCTATGAAAGAGACCCGTTATTGTATTTTAGGAGGTAAGACTCGTTTTATTTACCCTTTTTTTTTGGTTTTTTGGTTTTTTTGTTTTTTTTTTTAACTAAATAAACTGTTTTTCTCCATTATTCTTTCTGCCCAACCAACAGTTCTTTGACACAACATGAAGATTGAAAACCTGGCATGCACATTTATAATTAATTCAGACTCGTCTTGGGTTGTTAATGACTACAATCCATGATGTACTGCAAAAAAGATTTGCGAGGGAGATTTATTTTAAAGAAAGTAACGACTCGCATTCAGTGGACTAGCGTATCATTGAGTTTATCGAGTCCCACAAGGTTTGAACCAATCACATGAAATGATGGGGTTTAACTGGCGCAGATATAATCGCGGATGATATCTTTAGCAAAAAGATTCGGATGAATGGTGTGCGTTAGTGCTAAATTTATACGAAAACTACCCGTTCTTGAAGTCTCTCAAACTGGTACTGGTTTCAAATTTCCTTACGACGACTTTTGGCCCAGTACTTCTGAGCTACTTCAGAGAAAAAAAAAATATCGCTAAGATGACTTTTGACATAACATCGCATTGGGCCATTTTTAATCCAAAATAATTTAAAACTTAATTAAAACACGATGAACACCACTCCTTAAGCCCAAATACTATTAAAAGGTTCGTAACAAAACGCGGTGACAAATATTAGATTAAAAAAAAAAGAGACTAAAAGTCAGGCACCGATATATTAAAACTTGTACAAATAATAATTATAGAACCACGACTGCTCTTCTGCATTTTGGGAAATTGTCTTCACCTGTAATTTTTCTAAATGACATATTAACTTTCGAATTTTCGATTGGGAAAAAGTCCTACCCATATCGTTTAAAAATTATTTGCATCTCAAAATTTTAGTATTGCAGCTTGTTCGCTTTCTTTTGGTCAATTTAACCAGCAAAGAACCTTCTTGATCAAAGTACCCTTTACTTTGACATATTTTTGAAATTCATGTGAAATTCCTCATTACCTTCGGTACAAGCGATGCGTTTGTTTCAAAAATATAAAATTTGAGCGGATCATTTTCGGTCATTGAGGAATAGAAATGTTTTGTGAATTTTATGTTAGTTTTGTTTGTTTTCTTTTAAAATTGCCTGATCGCTCTTAATAAGTAATGGTGAGGATACCAACCTGAGAACGAGATCGCTGAAGAAGTCGCGCTTCTAAAATTCTGAAAAGTTGTAAAAGAGGAACACTTCTTGTTAAAATGGTTCGACACTTGTAATTCTAATGTATTTATACCACAACCACTTCCCGCAAAAATCTAATCAGCATCTGAATATGCAGAATGTGTACATTTTTCTCGAAATTCTAGATGTTATCTCCGATTTTCTCACTTCAAATGCACTGGGAGCGTACTTTAAATGGAGAAGAATCCGGTCTTGTGTTTTACAGACTATATCTATAAGACTAAAGCTTTATTGGCAATTGATTTAGATAGAATTTTTGGTAAACACTAATTAAGCACGGAAAAACGGTTACAACTCGAAGCACGTACATGCCTCTCGGTCATTTTTCAAACCAAAAACATCCCTGCCTTTATCATAGCTTGCAAATACTCCTTCCAATTAAAATCATGTTCGCGTTGCGCTAAACAATCCTTACAGGAGACTTGTCTTTAACATGAAAACATAAGTGCTTCATCGTGGTCAATAACACCCTTAAATGTTGTTTGACCGCATGCTTGTCATATGCTGTCGTTCTTTTAAACACAAATACGTTTTCTCTCTGCTTAATTTTTGGTCTAGATTGCAAGTAACCGCAAAAACCTTCCGGTGTTTATAGTAACTTCCTCCTATTTCGTCTCTTTCTTTCGACAGTGGTAACCTAAAATTCATCACCGGTTTTGAGCTTTTTCTCAATCCACAAACTACTTATTTTACTTTATCTTAAAGTTGCATTCGTGAGTCAAATGCATTTTGGAAATGCAGTATGGAATATTGGATTATGCCTTTTTGAGCATCACTGCCTAATCTCTGTGAATTTACATCACAATTATTCGTAACACTTCCCTAATCTACTATAGTCTTGATCGTTACGGGCAATTTATACGCAATTTTACAGTTGGTTCCCATGTATGAAATTAAATTTGAAAACTAAAAATCTATCATTTTTTCGTGGGACTGGAAGGAGCATTTCGATTGAAGAGCAAAAGTTTAATAAAACCCCACTGATTTAAAAGTAAAAGTTGAGAATCAACAGTACATCGTTTTATAAGAAAATTCTTAAAGACGAATCGTACAATATAAAAAAAGCGTTTTATTGCTGCGGTTTTCGCGTATTTTTTCATTTCGTTTCAACCGAGGCGATTTTCCATCCAAAGTGTTTACACTGCCCATTGAAAAAAGGATTTTATCTGACCGATGATAACAATAATAAAGATAGTCTCCAATTGAACCAGTGGCTTTTTATCGTGTGAAAATTTCAATTAGTTCTCGCCTGAGCTTACCGTCCGATATTGTGTTTATCAACCCTTTCCTGTATTATTCTGAAGTAAATTAGCAAACGTATGTATCCTGAAGGACTCTTTTTGCACACTCACTAAACAACTCAATGCTCTGAACTGAAATTAACAAACACGAAATGTGTTGCAGTATAAAACCGACTTTTACCTTCATATGTTTCTTTACAGCTGGGGCACGCGCATCATATAACATTAGACAGTCCTATGTTTGCACCAGACGTTTTAGCTTTTAGTGCGAAGAAAAAATTAATCATGACATATTCAAATAAAGTTCTGACTCTATTTAGCAAAATGATGTTTTGCACGAATTTCAGCCTCACAAACTACTGTCGGAAGAATCCTTTTTACTCAAGATTCAATTTGCAGGTGATGTGAGAGGTTTTCGTCATTGTTTTCAATGATGAGATAACTTAATTTCGTCCAAACCTGAGCACAAAATGCGTAAATATCGTGTTTTTTCTTCCTTTTTGCTTAATTTAATTATATATTTTCTAAATACCCGGCAAAATCTTAAAGTGAATTTGAGGGTTCTTATGTTCAGCAAGAAACGTATATCACTCTTATAACAGGAGATTGCAAATTTTTTCCAATTATGGTACTTACTGGGAAAAAAAAAACATTCATGGTACATCTTTTTTTTTTTAACGCCTCGAGCGTTCTCAAGCTTTTCCCGTATTATTTTTTTTTCTTATTTTCGTTTAAATTCTTTTTCAACTCGATGGCGAAATCGTTGGGTATACAAGGTGGAAAATATGGTCGTCAGATTTGGTCAAGACATGTTAAGGAGCTCTTTATTTCATTTGGTATATTATTGTTGGATTAGTCATGAAACAATGCAGCGATATCATTTCTTGATATTTGTATTCCTGAATTTTAGAATTTTTTTTCATGTTTGTCGAACTTGTTTCGATCGCATATGCCCTCAAACAAAACATTTCATTTTGTTTTACTACTTCCTCGGTAGAATAAGTGAATTTATGGTCAAAACTGAAGTCACTCTCCTATTGAGATCGTTATTTTTAAACTACGAATTTAGGTTGTGGTTTAGATGTAATTTGATCCAGGATTTAAATCCTCATTTCCGAGTAGCGAATAACGTGCTTCAGGCTAGGATCCCTTACTTAGGATGTTCGCCCGTACACAAAATACTTAAAAAGGGAGTATTGCTCTTCCTGGACCTCTCAGTTTCGGAGCAGACAAGCAATTTATTTTACTCCAGAACGTTGAAATTAAAGCTGACGTGTATTTCTGGTAAGGCATAAACTATTTTGAACCCCCACATTCGCAAACTGTTTTCTTTGGAAATGAAAATAATATTTGATGGGGCTCAATAATTATCAAATTAGACGTGTTTAAGCTTGTTAAACTAACAGCGCATGCGCTTGCAAAAAACATCCGGAAAGCTAAGTTTACATCAAATATTCACGAAATTACATGTTAACAATACTTGCAATTTGGTCATTGATCGAGAGCGTTTTTAATTGCTGTTTATGGTCCTGATCCTGTTTATAGTAAATTATTCCAAGCAATAACTCGTATTTCTCACCAATTAGTGGATACTGATTTTAAGGTGTCAGTTTTACACGATATATTGATTGCCAAAGTTAATATGCAAAGACCATTTTGCACTTAAATTATTATGTTCGTTGTTCAATTACTCCAGTTGTTCGCAGATTGAGGAAAGTCTTGATGCTTGATTGAATTTACCAGAAAGGTTTGGAATAAACATTGTACCATAAAATGAAGCCAAAAGAAGTTGAAATAGAGATATAATCTCAGAGAGTTAGGACAATCAAGAAAATTTGTATCTAAAGACATGAGTATATTTTTTTTTATACATATTCTCGTAGAACTGAATAAACAGCTGTCTCCAAACTAATAAGTCTGTTTCATCACATAACTTTAAGCCAACTTGTGCGCTTGTTGGACTTACGTACCTAGTGAAGTTTAAGCTGCTATATTAAGAATTCTATCTTGGATCATAGACTGATCATACTTTAAAAAACATAAAAAAAATTGTCCGATATTTGTGTTTCAGAACAAAAAGGTCCACATTTTCGTTTTTGTTACAAGAAAACATGTTAGAGTCAAAAGCATCAAACACTAGGGTTTTCAGCGAATAATCTTAAACCACAATGATATAATAACAGAATTCGCCGAGCTTTTGAAACGTAGAGACAGTTCACAGACCTTGGAACACATTAATGTATCATAGCTGTGTCGAAACGTACCAAAGATGATGAACTGTAAACGACAATGTTTGTATGATTTATCCATAGAATATTTCAAAATTTTCATTTGACGTCGAAGATTTGAAAATGTGTTAAGCGGAATATGTAGTTTTTGAAAAGTTTCTGACAAACCTTCACTGTTTGGTGAAATATGGACCAAGGATTCGATACCACACCCTGTAACTAGCAGCCGTTGAGGTTCCTTGCCAATCTTCTCAGGTGTGGAGATGTGTTTCTGATTTTAAGTACGTGGTGTTGTTCAGTTAGGGCAAATTTCCGCACTTTTATTTTATTAGAATTGCAAATAAGATTAAGTGATAAAAATTTCTTGATTAGCTAGTACAAGTCTATTTTTTCTGGTTCTATACAGGTGAAATATGAAGTGAAGACCACCTAATTGTTTGATGACAAAACCGTAGATAACTTTAAGGAACATATTCCTCTTTTCCTATGTTTAAAAACGTGAAGAGAAATATTCCGTTTTTTTGTCGGAAATGGTTTGCTGCTTTTTCATTATCCTCTATTAATCAAGCAAAGTTTGGCTTTGACATTGAACACGTAGATCAAGAGGGAAAATTAAACAAACTCAGCGTTCTAGATCAGCAGTAATGCGTTTTCGTTCTCACTTTGATTTCCCATCTGCCATAATTCTACCCAAAAGGTTTTAATACATTTTATAAACGCTGAGGAAGAAATTGGTACAAATGGACCATGAAAGGTCTGCACGAACAGTCAGTCACAAGTATGTTTTATGAAATAGGACAATTGTCAGTACGCTACTAATAGGCTTTAATTTGTTTGATTATACAACCGTATGCCCTGTTTCATGAAGAAGCGTATGAAGTAAGATTTGTATTAAGGGAGGCTTATAGAGACGCTTACTCAACATTCAGCGCCAGTTTTAAAGTGCTACCGATGCCATGAATTATTCTATATTTACTGATTCAATCAGAAACTCTAATTTCTCACTTACTGGTGGGCCAAAGAGAACCAGTTCTTTTTCCTTTTATTTGAAGGTGTCAATTTAGCGCCGCATGTTGTTTGTCCAATTAGTAAACAAGCGTCAGAATACAATGGAGTTGTACTCCACTAACTTTAATTGATGTTCATTGAATTAATCCTTTATGTTCAAAGAAGATCCTCATTAAGCAATGTTATTTTCTGTGCATCCGTATTTATGTTTCCTATATATCGTATCTAAATAAGAAAAAGTTTTGCTACACGTTTTATTGAAGCGGAAAAGGATACCTAGGTTTATCCTCATGTGATATATGCAGTTAAGTGTGCATTAACAGTTAAAACCAAGGGCGTTAGTTTGAACGTTCGTTTTTTCACTTGACGTGGAGTTTAATTAATAGAAGTATTTGAGAAAAAGAATCTATCAATCCTGAAAGACCACTGATATCAAAGTTTGTTGGTAATCCATCTTGCCTCGATCGCTCTCCCATAAAATTGTCAGACGGAGACCCACTTGTACATGAATGACATAAATACTTTGATGACATTTTTAAAGCTTATATTTGCTCTTTAAGAACCATCCAAATTTTCCATAACAAACTACGTATTCTATTTACAGAATCCAACAAAAAATCATTTACAAGCAACCAATACCATTTGCAAGCCGTCATTCCATCGTGGGATGGTTTCTCCGCATTGCAGACATGCATTGCAGGCATGCACTGCAAACATGCATTGCTGGCATGCATCAGACATGAATCGCAGACATGCATTGCAGACATGCATTCCTCTATCCTTTACTACTTATCACTAAAACAAGAGAAATCTCCACAAGCAAAAGCGCAGAGCATCGTCTTCGACGCGAAAGTGCTAAATCAAGAGTGTGGATAAGCAAAATTTTGGAGAGCCACTGGTTGTGGTGACATTTTTCTAGCTTTCCAGTTTCTTCTCATCACTTCAAAAGAAAAGTGGCGATATTTGCAATATCTTCTACCCTCAACCAATGAGAAAACTGAGATTAATTCATCTTTATATGTTATTATGTCCACAAAACCATAGATTCTGTCTTTAAGGTCGTTACTGTTGTGTTGTTCACCCCACTCAATTCAAGTTTCCGAGTGCTTAATCTTACTGTATAGCCCTGTATGAGCATTCCTTGTAAGATAAGTATTGTCACGTGACACGGAAGTGTTAGCGGTCTCTTTGCAATCGAGGCAAAGTGGAGTGCAGTTAATATCTAATATTATCGGCCATTTTATGGCCAGCCTGCTAAAATATATGTTCAACGCAACACTTACCGAATTTTAATGATCTCTAAGGACGCCTTTGTGGCGCTCAAAGTAAAATTATGTGAGGAAAAATTTAGAAAGAAAAGTGAATTCCTTATTCAACAAACGATTTTTTTAGACGTAGCATGTGTAGACAGTTAAAGAATTTTGTAGCAATCACTCAACTGATCACAATTTTCACGAAAGGTTGTTCCCCTTTCTTCTACAGGCTTATTTCTTTCTTCGTTCAATAGATTGTCAAAAATAGTCCCAGATTGCATTCACTTCGATGAGCATTAAAATGGTAACATGGATTTGAAAAAGTCCCTATTTGTGAAAATATTTACTGAGGCGTGGGCTGAAACAGAAAGTCTTAAAGTGTTTTCTTCATTAACCACTCATGTCCTGTTACGCACTCCGAGTCACTTCCTTAATTATTTCTCCGCGGGTTTTTCCTTTTATCCTTTCCTCTTCCCGTTCTTGAACGAGATCTGAATAACCTTTTGGACGTGCATTTGATCTTAAACTGTGTGCAGTCGGACACGTGGGTAAATTTCTCGTTTTGGCCAACACAAATGCGAGTACAACCATCAAGGATACCACAAGATGAATTGCTGTTGGTATTCTGTCTTTTCATCTTCTTCATTTGCCTCCTGAGCAGGGAGCCCAACAAAGCCCCACCTTGTCTTCTCTTTCGAGGGCGGCCAATCGTTCGAAGGGTTGTATTCCTGTGGGATGTTTTGGGTTTCAAAGTTCCAGTGTCTGTGGAGGATGAATTTTTGGTGGCTGATGAAGATAAACAAAAATATTAGTGTAAAATGGGTCAATTTATTCCAAGGCAATGCCTTGATATGACTAAAAACATATTTAAAAATTTCTGTGGCATCTTGAGAACGTGTCGGTCACGATGTTTAATTTCATTTTCTCCGTCAAATTTCAGTTAGAGCGCGGGTCTAATAATCTGATTCTTTTTTGAAGACGTAGAAAAAACATCTTCAAAAAACAATGAAACATTAATGAAGTTGTATTTTTGTGTTTAACTAAACATTAATCAAAATATAACACGAGTTTTTTCGAAAAAAAGAAGGAAGATGTGAAAAATGATGTCGTAACCTATAGCTATTCATAAGTTATAAAACATTTCAACTCCCACCCCCTCCCCCACCATTTGCCTCATTCCGTGAATCAGCTGACACATTCTAGCATGACTTAATGACAAATCAAGAGAGGATTAACGTCAGAGACCCATTTAGCAGAGGTGTTCCTAAGAGACTAGAGAGTTTGATTCTGAAAAAAACTTAAGGACGATTATGTTATAGATGTCTAGACTCTTTCTCTGAGACTTATCCTATCACGCTGAATTTAATACAACACTTACTCCCATTTTTCCCAGTTCCTCCCTCCTCGAAAGTATCCCCAGGTATGAAGCGATATACATTGGCGCCATGGCAAAGGCTGCTCACGGCCTCGTCCCAGGTGTTGTCCGTGTGAGGCTTGACATGGGCATTGTTACGACGAGTCTGCTGAAAACGGAACAGACTATATTCAACAAAAGCTTTGGTAATGAGAGGAGCAGGTGGAGTTACATAGCGAGTGTGTGTGTTTAAACCTCAACATAGAAGACCATTTTTATTAGTACTAGTTTTGGCATTCCAAACAGTTTAGACAATAAATCACCCGCCTTTGACACGAAGTGGGAATCTAAAGGAGAAGTATACCCAAGATATATTAGTAAAAGAAAAAACTTGTCATCGAGTAGAATCTCTCCTTCGCAAGCCCCAAGGACCTCAAACAATTTTTCTTGGTAAATCTACTTGTCAAGTCATCTACTCAAGCAAAAGTCTATCTTTTTCGTCTTTTCAAGTCCATGTAAAATACTTTTGTCCAGAACCAACGCGGCAATTGTTGGGGAAAATCTCAACTTGTTTTTATTTACAATACCAAGGGAAATTTATAGGTCACATAAACAAAATAGGCTAAAACATGTCTTAATCGTGGTCTTCGCATTCGCTCACGATTTGCTTCTTTTTTTGGAGGAGGGGGGGGAGGGGGCGCTCATGACTCTATTCCGGTACACATTTGTTCCTAGACAGCTGTAGGCGGATGAAAACAAATTGAGCTCGATTTTGCAGAATTATGAATTGTCCAAAGCTGCAAATCAAAGATCGATTCAATTCGTCGTCGACTTCCGCAAAGGTTTTCACCTTGTTGGGGACTAGACGTAATTTAAGTTAAGATTTCTGGCATTAAAAACTTCAAGGTCAGACACATTTCGCAATTTTTTTTTCGTCTCAGTGTACTCAAGATATTTTGGGAAATTCTTAAATGATTGAGTTCGCTACTGTGTAAAAATAGTACTTCCCCGAAAGTTTCAGTAAAGATTTATCCCGCTCACAACACAAAATTGGCCTCGCAAAATATCCAATCTCCTAGTCTTTTCACAGATCGCTCAATAAGGATTGCACATGGCAAAGTTGTCTTTTGTAAGAAAATTCTAGGGGGTTTGTGCCTAAGCATTGGCACAAACCGATAACGAACAAGAAGGACATAATTTTAAGATATTGTAAGGAGGTATGATTGTGCCAGCAAATTACGCAAAGGAAATGGTGGGTAATTTGAGTAAGGATCTGCATTTGACGTAAAGGACGTCGAGCCCCGCACGTATCAAACGCCCCGCTGACCCTAAATGTCAAGTGGAGAGCAACAATCTAAGATAACTCAAAGCGAGCAGCATTTCATTTAAGTGTACTTGAAAGATTTGAGACCTCACCAAAGGTCTCTGTTTTGACCTTGGAATGTTAGACATGGGTGTTTTCAAGAGATTTAAACGTGGAAAAGTGTATCAAGTACCATTTCTTTTGTGAACTTAAGTAGGTTATCATAAAGTAATCTTAAGCTCAGATGTAAAAGCACTCCATGGAGTCCGTGAGCACAAAACTTGTGTTAAACGTCATAAGAAAATGCAGATGTAATGTCAATCTTACCCAAAATCTAAAAAAGTAATTTTTCTTTCCCATCTTCCTGTTTGTCTTCATCTGTCTGTCTGTCTAAACCAAAGAAGTCACATACTCACTATAACATGATAATTTAAAACCACTTACCGCATAGCTTTCCCTCACAGGCTCAATTCGTCGCTTAGTCTAGAAAATAAAGAAGAAGAAATCTGTTTATTGTGCTTCTCCTGAACTCGGGGACACCTGGGCAAAAAAATTGTGTAAGCCCTGCACGCACTTTGTCGATGCTATTTCTTTGAAGTGTCACTACATGGTTTTCTATCCATTTTGTCTTTTCAACAACCACCAGCCCAGTGAAAACTAAATGCAACTTTTAATTCTTTCTTTGCGTTCTCCAACAACCCACAAATCTGATAGGTGGGATTTGGACATGTTCTTTTGCTTCAAAAACTGACCAAATAAAAGCTACTATGAAAGAAAAGAGATGTCTCCAATGGCTATCCTCAATTGTTAAAATGGGTATTTCCTCCAAATTAATACTTTCATTTGATCAGTCAACAAGGGCGGGAAAGTATATGCGGTATTCTTGGTATGGTAAAAAAGAGACTCACATGTATCTAATGTAAGGACTGTATTGATCACCGGAAGCAGTAAAAATTCTAAAGTACTTTCAACTGATTTTATCCTTGGGTATTTCTAGCATCAAAAAAATACGTTTTCCAACCAGTTACGGTCAGGATATTTTCTGTAGTAGCGGTTTGTAATAAGCTTAACTTTCAGACAAAATAATGCCGCCTTTTTGCTGTAAATTGAATTAATACGAGTAATCCATCCTCAAAATCCCCTAATATCCTTTAATGAAACGCTTATGACAAGCACGAAAAAAACGCTGAAAATGATGAGGATATGAAAATTCATGACCATAGATCCAAGGAGACATTGGCTTAAATTGGAAAAAGTTCTATTTTATCTTATTTTTTTTCACAGTAAACCTTGCCAAAAATAGCTTTTTTTCTAAAGTCGGCTGTTTTCGGATCTCTTTAACTGGATTACGGTATCCTCCAAACTTAATAGACTTGGAAGACTGTCAAGATGTTTTTTTTTTTAAAGAGAATTAGGAACGCTGAACTTTGATCTCACAAGACCTCCACTCTCTAAAGTGGAATAATGTTCTTTTCTTTCTCCTCTTTTTCTTCTTCCCGAGCGTCCTCAACCTGGCATGCTGTTCAACACGTAATTCCAAACTAAATTTCCGGCTAAAATAACTCTGAGAGCATCAAAAGGCACGGTTCCGTTCAGTGATCAAAGTGTGCGCTACTCACGTCAGCATAAAAAAGGAAGTTGTTTTGAGAAGCTGCTTATCACTTACTGTACAAACGATCTATCGCGACCAAAGAAACAATTGGGGTACATTGTGGTTCCAGTTTGACCCAATGAAACTTTTGTCTTCTGCCAAACTATGGAAGACAAAAAGTACCAGCGTATGTACTTGCTTTTGAGATAATTTGTAATCGGTCAATCAAAGAAAAATCGGTTGTTTTTGGTCAAGAACTTATTTGAAACCAAGACGGCTAACGCGATATGATTTCGACCGAACACGCCATGACAGTCTTAACAGCTGTCATCAACCGATTCACAGATAAGGCGATTGCACGAGGAAATAGGAACTCACTCCGAGAAATTTCGGTGCACTAACACCACAGACAGCCATAAAAATTTGTGAAATGATTTTGAGAATATCTCCTAAAACAGCAGTCGATTCCATTAGAACACGAGCAATCGTAAAAGAGTCAATTAACTGAGACATCTAACCCATCTTTGACAAGGCCACGTCAAGACAACCATTTATCGATCTGTCAACGCAATCCGCAAGTTAATTAAGTTCTCAGTTGGGAGCTTTAAAAGTTGTCGAAAAATCACTATTATAAAAGTACTTTGTCTGCACTTTCTTTAGAGTACGTATCTATGTACTGTAGCACTAAATTCACCTAATAATAGCTTATGACAAGGAATGTAGTGAGGCAGTAATTATAGGTCAACATGTCAAGAACGAAGGAATCTGTACAACTTTCCAAACGACAAGTTGATCCCATTATAAATCATTTCTCGGCATCAACTTATTTTCCCATGAACGCGATCGAGAGTTTTCGTCCTGACCTTAACTATAAGGAAACATCTTGGTGTGTAGAAAGAACAAAATAAATTAATTGTTACCTGGAAAGTTCTTTGATGATTTAAGAGACTTGTAAAAAATATTTACAGCCCCATCTTTCGTGTCTAAACTCAGATGTTTTATTCCACGTGACTTTCAAATGAAAGAACATTGTATAGAGTTTAAATTGTCCCCTTTTTTTTCCTTGTTTTGGCTGCCGATGTCGATAAACCTTTCAGCTGTGTAACGTGCTGTCAAAAGTGTTCTGGATCTTTTGCCATTCGAGACATTATTATCAAAGAATCTCCATTAGTTGGGCTGAATCATTTTCTCGTATACAGGAAACTTTAACTTATGGATAAAATCAGTTTTTGTGGTTTCAGCAGAAATGAGCCATTTCCCCGAGTCTCGCAGAATTTCATGGAGGATCGACAAACAAATCTCCTTACTCGTCTGAAAATGAGTTTAAAAAGATCCTAGAAATGGCGTCCTCTTATGTTTGCCTACGCTGCAACTTTCTCCAAAGCCTATACTTATCAAAAATACAATAAACATTTTGTACAACATGGGAAGATGGACCTTCATTACGTGTCATAGTTCCGGCAGCTATGCAAGCTAGTGACCCTGAAGCTTCGTGAACCAGGAGCACAACCTATGTAACAGCAAAAAAAGAAAAAAAAAAAATTTTTAAGTGCAGCCACATTACCTGCAACCCATGCAAGAGTAAACTCCATACTGTACAGTCGTTCAGACTTTCTTGTTTGAGGTCGGGCGTATCCTCGACAAAACAAACTGGAATTCTTGAACATGTTTCTACCTTCAAGCATGCGAAAGCCTACAAAAAGAAAAGACACATGCCAAACTCAAAGCTCTTTTCAGAAATGAACGTTACTAAATCTCCGCTTTATAGTGTAATCAAAACCAAGGCCGTTTTCTACAACTTTGAAGTGTAATTGTACCTTGCTAAGGTCGACAAATGCTTGGAGTTCCAAAATGTTCTTTCTTGAGTTCTGCCCCGATTTACGGCACAGCTCCTGAAGAGTGACTTGCTTGTGATCGTCTTTTCTTCCTTTTGATCCTTTTCTTTTCGATTCCACGGATGAAATGAGGAATAACAACAGCAGTACGAAAGATAAAGTGACAATAGAGCGCCAGAGTGCCATATGGTACAGTTATTAAGACAGCAGGCGTTCACAAGTGGCTCGAATGGTAGGATTGTAAAGATTATGCGGTCAGGGTTCGAACGTAGTTTACAGTTTTCTCCTCAGAACCGAATGCATACGATGTGGACTGATGATGTGACTGCTGTTAATTTATGTAGTTTTCTGAGCCAGCCCAGGGCACTTGTGTCAGCTCGCGATGATGACATTGTCAGATCTTCAAACGATATTAAATATCTGTTTTTCCTACGTTAATGAATATTTCCGGATTCTTGCCAAGAAAATCTTTCCTGCATAAAAACTCCAATACGAGTGTGGTACCGACAAATTTGAGTGTAGAAAGTACTTGTCCATGCTGCGTAGAAACACTAGAGCTTAAAATCGTCATCGTCACGTTTGTATCTTCTTTTGTTGGAAACATATTGAAAAGCACAACGAGCAGAGTGCTGTGTCAAAAGGTTAAAAGCTCGAAAGAAGCACAAATCGTTAGCCTAACACTCTTAGCGCTGAGTCGCTGGAGATGAAAGAAGCTTGCAAACCTTTCATGAAACCTCAGTATCATTTTTGCCGGATACAAGCACGACATCATAGCGGGAGACACGTCCGTTTTATGTGGTTTGAAAATAGTTACCGTCCTTGGCATACTTTATCTTATTTGACAAGCAGATTTCCAAATTACTGGGACAACATAGCTGACCTCAATTTTCATCGAAAGAATTATGAAATGAAAAGGACTTTACGGCATCCTTTGTGATATATTTACGAATTCCAAACGAAAGTCAAATTCTTATTTTAAAAAAATAAACAGTCACAGACAGTGTAAACACATTTGAAAATATATTTTTAGAGTTCAGCGATGATTTGACCTTAAAATATGCAACTCAATCTTTTGTTTCATAAACTTTACATTCGTTGAGATGTCTATTTACAAACACAACCCACAAATTTGATTGAAAATAGTAAATAAGCAACTTTAATGAGTGAATATTAATTTAGGATTGCATTGCAGCAGGGTCGAGAGGACTTTTACCGTTCTAGTGATCTTCAACTCGTTGTTCAGCATAAGCTACCCTCTCTTCATGTAGTTACAGGAAAGCATTCAAACATCACACCATTTGACCGATTATCTTCAGTATCGTGATTAATAGCTCCCTTATCATTGTAACTATGCCCCTGTCACAATGATTAAAAACCAAAACAAACCACGGATTAGTGGTGTACCGTGTAGATGTATTGCAAAGTCGGGCGGTGGTTTAGAAAAGCCTCACGAACAAAAAGGAAGCGTTGGTTTGGGGAGTGTGTGTGTGTTTTTTTTATTCCAGCAGCAACTGAATGAAGTTCTGTTGATGACTTTGATACTTCGCAACTTGGTTTATTTCTTAGTATCAAACGTTTGCAGTTTGCTGCTCTCCATAAATTCCACGTTTGGGCGGTTCTATGCTGCGCTCAGGAGAGAAGACAAGTGTGGTCGCACCGTCCGACATGGAGAGATTTGTTTGCGGAAAAGGCGTGAGAGTGTGCCTGTTTAATTATGGATTATCATACTGTAAAAGCACTTAATCCTCTCTGAGATACTAGGATTAAGGAATCATTGGCGGTTTACTGAAAAGAGGAAAAACTACGATAGCGGTAGAACATAAAATTCCTCGTATGGTTCAGAATTGAACGTACTGTTTAATTTTTCGGATCTACATTACCTTGGACTGAATACCAAACGTTCACTAAATTCCTTACAGCTTCTCAAAGATTTTGCTTCCTATACGAGTGGTTGTGGACTGAAAGCTGTTACATAATGATCTAAACTGAAACTGTTCTTAAGGAGACGATGATGAAAAAAGTACTCAACACGTTTCAATGTGCAACATGCATTGCGAGGACCACCACACGATTTCCCTGTTCATTAGCTTTCATTCAACAGATCGTAACTTTGTCATCAAAATTATATCCTCAATGTGATAAGACCACCGCAGACATAAACTCACCAGAACTGCCTCGAGGTTCGGCTAAATAGCTGTCATTTATTTGAACGTAAGCCAACGTTTTCAGCCTTGACCTTAAAAGATTTTTACTTTGGTGTCTTGCAGACGAAAGCGAAAATGTCATCATGTGAGTTATAAATAGATTTAGAAAGACGGTCAAGTTTTGAGCTCGGTTATCGAATGAAGAAAAGTGTTATTCATCTTTCACGAACGTGGGACTGAGGAAAATCTGAGTCACGTAAAGAAAGCGAAACTCACGACCTCATATTTCACCGCAGTCCGATCATGCTCTACTTCCCCTCGTTAGTCTATTTTTCAATTTTCTACAATAACCCATGTACGAACCACGAATACGGAGATCTTAAAAGCTGCAGAAAGATATGCATTTAATGAGAAAGTGACCACACAAATTTTGCCAACATTCATAATGATGTACTTTTTCTTAACGGTAAATTAAGGACTGTGCTGATTGTTACATGATTAATTTGGCTCGTGAAAGTATCTGTGCTATTCATCGAAAGATCTCTCTCGATTTCTTTGCTTAAGTATAGACATGTAACACGGCTAATTATAATCCGATTAATTCTGTTCTTTGTTCGGTACTCCGGTGTGTTTTTTTAATCTCTTTGCTGATCTACAGTTGGTTGTCGACCCAAGCATTTTGCATTTACACTTAGTTTTACAACCAGCGAAAGCTTCTTTTGTAGTCAACGAAACGTTGATCTAAAAATTATGATGAAAGACTTCCTGAGGGTGTGGTTGATTTTTTTTTTGTTGTTGTTTTCTTAGCACTTGAAGTATCTACTTTACTACGGGAAACTTCGACCTACTTCCTTAATTAATTATAAAGACAATAACTCGCCAATTTTCAAATATATGTCTTCCCCTTGAACGTTGATTTATCTCACTTCAATATTGCATCAGACACACTTAACCTTCTCATTCAACGGAAAAGTTAGAAGTCATTTAAAACAATATTAGCAATGATTACACGAAATTCACAATGGCCATTAATTATCATTTGTGTAAGTTGAATGGTAAGTTTTTTTCCCGAAGCCCAAGGTCAAAAAATTATCCAATTTTTGTATAATTAACGCATTTTTTTCTTAATGAGGAAATATTTAATTTGATTTGTACATGTATGTATAGTATCAGTATAGCTAGGTTACTTCACACACAACCTTGTAAACGTTTTCTCTAATTTTTCATCTATACAATTGGTTAGTGTATTCGGGCCATAAAGAAGTTTCTTTATGGTCATTTTAACCGCAAAAAGACATGGGAAGCGCGAGAACTCACCTCTCTTCCGCCATGGATTAGACGCGCCCAAACTATTATTACTGATCTAAATACGGAATATTGCGGTGTCGTAAACAGTAGTGAAGGTAAAATTCAAATAACAAAACCTATGTTCAGAGTGCAGCCGGGGGGGGGGGGGATCCATGCATCCATGCGTCCTATATTATTGTAAATCAAGCAGCTTATGATGGTAAAGCAACCCGTCGTGCTTTCATAAACCACTGAGTAAAATGCTGTTATGGGAACACACTCCAATCCTGCCTAAAACTTCATTTCTGTATCAGGAATTAAACCTTTTCCGATATAAGAGAAGCGCACCCAAGCCATTGTTTGTAATCAAAACACGGAATATTATGATATTATTTACAACCAAAATAACAAGGTTCAAATAAAGAAACCTTATTCAAGGGCGTGACTTAGGAGTGGGGTACGTCATTAAGGGCCGAGTATGCCCCCAATGGCTGATAAAGAGCTGTTGCAGGCCCCCCCCCCCGAAATATTTTGCTTAGAAATATGTCCGTGTATGTACAGTTAGCAAACTTCTGTGGCAAGACGTATCCTGTTTAAATTTCATTAAGTCTACACGAGTTCTTTTTTATTAATCTTATTAGTTGCTCACGAAAATGCAACTCTCCACAACGAAGATGGGTAAAACATTTGAAATTTTTTGCCACAACTTTTAATTTTTAGGGAGCTCTTAAGAAGCGGTTTCATGGCCTTACAGCAAACGCTTTCAATATGTTCATGATAAATATAAAAAAAATACAAATTGAATTTCAATTCTTGTTGAGTGTTATTCTTAACCAGACTCTGGCCAGTGTATGTTAGCCACCATAATTCTCTTACAGCTATTATTGAATAATATATAGATTTAGCCAAGCCTAAGTAGTCGATCTACTCAGTTTCTGGCCAATCAGCGGGGAGCGCATATCGTTTAATTTTTCTGATGTGATCGCGAAACTTCAGGTCAAACTAGAATTTCTCAACTATCTGTCCTTCTCAGCCAGACAAAATACTTGTCAATTATCATGAAATGTCGCGAATGACATACAAAACAAACTTCAATGTTTTTTCAACTTCGTTTTTTTTCGCTCGCTTCGGAAATGTATTCGATAGCTTTAGTTTGTTTTCCTGACCGCTCGACCTCACCCAGAGTTTAATTTTATCAACCGGCAACACCCACAAACGGAAATCGCGGAAGTAACAAAAACACCCAAAGACATATCACGGAATCTTATCATCCCTCTTGGCGGACTTTCCAAATCAACTCGACAACATAGTCAGTATAGCATTACTGTGGGTCTGTTCTATCAAGGTAATAAATTACCATTATTATGGTGACAATTCAACTGTTTCTTTAATGTTTTTGGAAGCATGATACGTTGGAATAACCCCGAAGTTTAACCTCCTAAACAGAAAAGGGCGTAAGAATTTTCGCTGCTCACTAATCCTGTTTCATCCTGCATAGTTACACGAAAATGTACTTAGTTGCTTCCTAACCCAATTAGATTCGTAAGTAAAGGTTGATAATTTGGCCATGTTTCTTAAGTCTTAAGTCTGGACGATTTATAGAGGTAAATTTCTTTGTACACTTGATTTTTAGATGGACAAGCCACGACATCACTTCTCAGAAAACTTCCGTTCACGTGAGGTATACTTCAGAATCTCATTTGATCAGTAAGAAAAAAAAACTTACAGTGAATGAATAAACCAAGTAGTTACAGCCTGGTTCAAAACGAAGAACATTGACACAGATTACATAAATTACACAAATTGAGGTCAATGTGTTTCATGAAGCAATAACTAAACAGTAATGGGGCTACCACCTTTACGGGAAGTTTGCGCCATCAGGGCAAAGCGGAATTACAGCATTTTGCTTTGTTAATATTAAACTTTTTTTCTGTTTGTTGATTTATTTGTCTACTTATTTTATAGTCTGCCCTTCTCTATGACAGTCTTAGATCTTGCCATCTTACCCTGAACACTGCGTCTGCAATACAATAATATTAACGGGTTGACACGTAGCCGCGTTAAAGGTTACTGAGGATTTTATTTAACGGGGAAGCAAGGCCCTTAGACAACTTGGAAAGCAAGAATAAGACTTAAAGGTCTTTACAACCTATAATTTATTTGATAAGGCTTTGTTTGAGGAAGTAGACCCTCCTTTGAGACTGTGACCGAAATTTAAACTTAATCACAGACGAAAACAGTCTCCATTGCAAAAACAGCACATGGTTCAAATGACATGTGTTGAAAGTTTCAAGTGAGCGAAACTTACAAAGGAAGAAAAGACATTCTGATCTGTTTTTATATGCAAAGAGCAAAAAGGTTTAGTAAATAACCAGACCTACTCACGTACTCAAACTATACAAATGTCCTTATTTTTTCAAAGAATTCGAGATGAAATTTTCTCAGGGGGCTGAAACACGCGGCTAGCTGAAATTTTCCAGAATTGCTACTAACTGTGTTGGAAGAATTCTTGGATGTAGCAAACCCGAAACGCATTTTGAGAGCTTGCACAACTGTTTCTAATTATCTCATACCACTCGTGTTACGATGAGATGGTGCAAACATTGTGTATGGAAAAGAGACTCATTCAACATCTGGCATAACAGTTGGAAATCATGCTTAAGCAGGGCGTGAAATTAATTTTTTTCTCTGCTGGCCACTTGGCTTCTAAATTCTTCAAAGCGATAGCCAATTCAAAAAAAAGTTGGTCGCCATTTTTAAAGACAATCCAAACCCTTTTTACGCAGTCATCTTTCTAGAAATTAAGTTAGGGAAAAGATCTTTAATGTGCTACAAAGTGGACACTAGAATGCATGATATGGAACGTTCAAGCTCACCTAAATCCAAGATGGCGTTTAGTTATCGATCGAGATGCATGTGCTGCGTCTTGTAAACAAACTTAACGGGGAGTTTGCCGCGGATTTATCTTTGCAAAGCTTTTTAATTCACTATTTCTCTGGGTAACGTTATGATGAAACATTCTAGTCGCCAATTTGGCGACTAATTTTCAGGACTTGGTCGCCAAAGTGAAAAATTTAGTCGCATTGGCGCCTGTATTAGGCGCAATTTGACGCCCTGAATATAAGATTGTGAAGTTTGGTTTGAGCCCTGAATGACCTTGGGTGACTTAAATCCATTCAAACAAAGTCTCTCCCCAACTTTCTGCTTTTACTATATTTCCATTCTTTTAGTTTTGTTCTCAGTAAAATTAAAAAAGAATCATTTTTACCAAGGGAGGCACGTTGGGTTAATGTTTATAGGGTCATTTTGAAACTTTCTTAGGCTGGACACTTTTCTCTCACCATGCCTCTCTCCATCCACGAGTATACATGGGCACTGGTGTTCTTTCAAGAAAACTTGATGAACTGCCTGAGGGACCAGGGTGGAGGTTATCTTTTTGGATTGGTGGAGAGACTGGGGTGATGGTTATCAGCAAAGGACTGGTGGAGAGACTGGGGTGGAGTTTATCTCCAATGGACTAGCAACACATACTTATTCACCCCATGCTACAGGAAGTTGAGTCCACAACTTTGCAACTGTTTACTTTTTTAAAATAATTCATAAAACAAGTTTATGACTAATTCAAAGTTCAGAACTAGGATAGTAACTACTGAGATACTAATTGAAATCTAAAAACAAAGTGCAAGTATATATTTATGTATTGGGTCCTGTAGCAAGTGCTAAAACATGTTTCATATTGAATAAATATCAATTGAAAAGGCAATTGCATATTTTTTGTGAAGTTAAAGTAGACATCAAAAGAATTCAAGAGATTTATGGTTATGAACTATAAAAGAAATTTTTTGCCATGACATTTCTTACAAATGAAGCAACACAAGGTAGAAAAACAAATGAAACAAAGAGTTTTTTCTGAAATGCAGTCATGCCAAAAACAAAGTCATGTCATTTGCTGCACTGATTGTAAAGTAAGACTGAATATTCTTTCCAAAGATTCTGATTATCAAAATCAAGACATGCGGCTTGTCAAAGCCTGTAAAAGAAGAGGGAAACCCTGAAAAGCTTACTATTTCCAGATCCTTACATGTACATGTATCTGTGTTTAGAAAATTGATATCTTTGCAAAGCATAAAAACATTTGGATGATCTCATTAATAAAAAATTTCAAAAACATGTATACATGAATAACAAAGTCTTGTGAGACTAGCCAGAGAGCACACTCCGTTTTTTTCCCTTTTAATTCTGTTTCTTAGAACTTGAGTGAGGAGAATTATACACATCATTCATTTCCCTTAATGTCTGATACATGATCAAGGAAGGAACAAAAATCCAGATAGAATTGGCAAAAACAAAGATTGTCCAGAAGTAGAAGACCTTTTCAAAGCTATCAAAAGAAGGGGGCCAGTCCTGAAAAGATAAGGATAAACTTTAGGGACAGGTATTACCTATTGATTTCATTTATGGCTGGAAGTCTTTACTATATATCAAGTGAACCAGATCTGCAAGATTTACTTTGAATTTGAATGGAAAGCTCAGTGTACAGAAAGGAGTTGGATTGAAAGATTGATCTCTCCAGCTGAAAAAGGTAGCCTTTTAAACCAGTGTAATTTTTTTTATTTAGAGAGCCCCCCAGTGCCTTGGCAGAGGGAAAAGGTTTTGCTGCTTAGACCGGACCAGGGCAGAGGATCTTAAAGTAAATACCAGTAACTGAGAAGAATGTGTTGCCTTTTTAGTGATAACTGTTTGCAAATGGTTAAGTACTCACAGATGATTCAAGCCTCCAAATAATAAATGCTCATCTTTTTTTGCATTAAATATTAAATGGTTTGCAACTCACAAGAGAAGGACTAGCCGCTCTCTAAGTTGTGACTTTCGTTATCATGGATGGATGAGAAATGCATAGAAAAATTAGATAATAAAGAACTTTGAATAATCTGAGGTTAAGTAGTGAAAGTGTTCACTTCTCTTCACCTAGTTTAGTTAATATATACAACACACTTTATTTCCTACATTCCCCAACCTAACCGCTCAGAAGACTGTTCACATAGAATGATGTATCTTACCAGTGGAACATTCTTGAAACCATCATACACTTCTGTACCAACATACATAAAAGTACCCATGAGCTGAAAGGTTGATGTGATGATTGACATAAAATGGCGCCACCAAAGGTCTTTGACAATGGCTCTATACCTGCAGAATTAAAGTGAACATTTTTAACAAGGTATTGTAGGTGAATTATTTTATCAATGGTTAGTTGCCTCCACTGTCTCCAATACAATTCTTATGAGGTTTAAGTTCAAGAATTTGGTATTGGATCAGTCAATATTTCCATGATTGATATTTCTTTATTCTCATCACTTTCTGCTTGATTTTGTATGGAGATTGTAAGGAGAAATTCTGTCTTAGTCACTCAAAGGAGTTAAAAGGTCACAAATATGTAACCTTGTGGTTAGTCTGATATTATGGCTGCCTGACTTTATTGTCAATGCAAATCCAAACTGTGCAGACTTGAAAATGAAATTCATTGACTAAATTTTGCATACCATAAAATACAAAGTGGCCCCATTATGGCGATTTCTATATATGACACCATCATCACAGTTGGATCCTTAGTTTTCCAGTAACGGGCATCTAGTTTTCCATACTCGACAACCATCCACTTGGGTCCACGACCAGTGGTGCCAATGACCCTGAGTAAATGAACATCAATCAGCTCTGGTAGTTTAATAACTAGTAGTTACAGTCTTGAAAGTTGTCTCAGATTGCTTACAAAATACTTCGCACACCTCCCTAACCACTCAGATGCAAAACTGTGGCCATTTGCGACTTCATTATCAGCAATTTCTAGCCCTTGAGTTTGCACACTTACTAGGAGTGCCCATAGGTTCATTTTCACTTTGAACTCCTCACTGATTGGCTATAATGATTACTTTAGTTCCAGTCGAAGCCTGATTTCTTTGTGGGAGGGGAGGGGTAGGGTAAAATTTTCCCACAGTTTGAGGTTTTACGGCAGAGCAAAACGGAGCCAAGACAATGATCCTCAGGCGTTCTTCTCTGAAGCTCAAATCTCGTAAAGCTTTATATTTATTAAGTAAATAATTTAAAGTTACCGAATTTGCACAACTTTCGGCAAGGATAAGATCACGATCGAACATAACATTCATTTCGCTCTGACGAAGGGCTTACGCTCGAAACGTCAGCTTTGAAAACTCTTTATGTGGCCAAGTTACGTTATCAACTCAGTTGATAATACTAAATTACCCTGTTATACTCTCCCACCGACGCAGCACCACAGTTTCTATAAAAACTTACCCCCTTTATTCAATCGTTAAGTCAAGGTCCTTAGCTATCTCGTATTTCCTTCCTTGTAAACGCGTGAACAGCAAGTCCAATAGACTTATTTTCTTTTTCAGACACTTAGCTAGCAAATCATTCAAATAAAGTTGTTCTCTTACCCATCCATCCAACAGTGAATTATGCAGCCATTGAACAGAGCCCACCATGCAAGAGTCGTATGTCTACCTCGAGGAAAGCCAGTCCAAAGGAAACATAGCAACAACAGCACCACTGGAATCACATTCACAGGATCTTCAATGTCTTCTACAAAATATTTGACTGTTTCTAAAACATTTGTCGAATTGAAACTCATCTTTCGAACTCTGACGAGCACAAAGAAAGCCCGCCAAGATTTTCTTTGATTGAACTGAGTCTGCGCGTTTTTAATCTAGCGTGACTGGATCGCGTGACTCCGGCGAGAAACTGACAAAACTCACCCTCGAAGCCTTGACTACCAAGCCGACACACGTTAAGAGAAATGCAAATCACTAAATTACCATTAAATTACTTTATTACAAAGTATCAAACGAGGTGTACCTCATTTCTTTATAAATGTAAGAAGCGAAATATGGACTGTTAAGTCGTGTTTTTCATCGTGCAAAACTACAGTCCTACTACATCTCGGGGCGGCTCGAAGGAGGCAACGGAAGGTGTAATAACCCGTGCAGGAACAAGAATGGCCCACAGGCAAACTATGACATAACTCCTTTAACATTTATTTCAGGTTCGCTCAGGAATAATTTCAACAAGACCATGACAAGGCAATATCGCTTCTCTTTTAACGACTCGAACACAATAATCATTAGCAGAACGTTAATTTCACTTTGATGATCAGTTCAGTACAGTACGTCGAAGCGAACCAAACTGAGTTTATTTCACAAAAAATATTCAGACTCATTTCACCCGGACCATCACTTTACTCGATCAATTTTCGGTCCTGGGTTAAACCAATATTAACTTCATTATTTATTTTTTTAAGAGGGGGGGGGGAGGGGTACGCAGGCGGGGGCTGAAGGGTCGTTTGGGACGGATCACAAAATCTTTAACTTGTCTGAAACTGTCTTTTATCTGAAGGAGAATCACAAAATCAGAAAAAGATCCAAACAAAACCTATCACTCCTTTTACTAAACTTACAAATTGTAAAAACTTTAAAATAAAACTAGTTCACAGGAGATGTATAGAAGAAGGGACGTCCTTATATAGAAAACCTCCAACCAGCTATGCAAATATTGGGTTTTGATGACCACAAATAAAATTATACGAATTTCGAATAATTTCCCGTGTCCCCGCCCACAGATAATTTCATTTTCAAGTGCGCTTCATGACCATGCTTGTACACATCTCACTACATTGATTCATTGTTTCTTGGCTAAATTCTTTGCACTAACCTATTCACAACTGACACTGATGTTACAAATAAACAAATACAGGATTGACTAAAACTTGCTTAATCGTTTATAATACTTCCTTGTTTGTTTTTATTAACAACGAATTCTACAAACAAAGGTACCAAGGTCACTTTAAATCTGCCTTATTGACCAATTCTGAGCGCACAAGGTGGCCAAAATCTCGTGCAAGGCATCTTCTCCCCCGAATAAATGCAGATACTTTGTAAATAAAAAGAAAACAAGGCCATTATGTAGCCGTCTTTAGCGAACTAATTGGATCAACAAAGAATGTGTCATATCACCATATGATTACGCAACAAAATTTCAGGTTTTATCAGTTTTCTTCGAGGTTTTCTCAGTTATTTTTGGCGACTTGCGGATACTGCGTTTTGCGACTCAATTGCTGTAAGAACTGCTGGGAAACCTTTTAGTCTTCATAAAAAATTGCCCAGAAATAAAGAAGAAAGTAAGAACGCGTGAACAAAGAGGCAAGATCGGCACATTCCACCCGATCAGCCTAACAGAAAAAACTTTACTTCACCTCGTCAACTACCAGAGTCATCAGAGCCACCCATGCTAAGATTATCGACTGTTGAATTATAATACCTTAGGGGCCCATAAACAAGCTCTCTCATTGATCAATACTTCATATTAAATCTAAAGCCTAAAGACTAAGTCTCAAAAATATTGTTCACTCAGTCTTACTTTGCTAATATTACCCAGCGAGACGTTTTATGGATAGGAAGCTAGCTCAAAGCTACCGCAACCCGACCAATCGTCAAACAGGTCTTCTGTATCCAACCCAAACGATCAGAAAAAAGCACGAATTTTGACAGCTGTCAGTTCGTCGCTATGGAGACTCGTCGCATTACCTTAAATATCAGTTGGCAAAGATTCCCGTAGACTCTTTTTTTCTCGACAACAGAATGTTTGATAATGACTTTCACTCAGGACCTCGAATCTACAGTAACCGTCACCACAAGCAGTCTTTTCCAGGAATACACTCCACCGATTACACCACGTGAAGGACTGTGTCGGTTTTTAGGTCCAAATTATTATTTTCGCAGCCGTTTTCGCTATTGTCACGTAAAACAAGTCATCATCTTGATAAAACTGACGATCGCAAACTTTTATAATATCCATTCTAAATACACAAGTATCACACAGTCTTCTGGGTACTTTTGACTTCACTACTAAACTGTCGATACCAGTCTACTCGGAGAGGTCGCACCAGACCGCAAAGATTCGTATTTGTAAAGTCTGCAATATTTCCGAGAGGACCGCGACTGAAAAACAATTTAAATCGTTACGTACAGTTTTGAAAAGAAATCATGTTAAAATACTTTAAAAAAAACTCATTCCAAGGTTTGACATGAATACACTGGGACAACAAGAGAAATGAACAAGATGTCCGCGTGAATTTTCTATGACCATCGAAAGAGGGATTCATTATTCCACCAGACAAGAAAACTTGAGATACGCCTTGAGATACACAGATAGCAGATGAAATGGTCAAACTTTTAAATCATGGCTGAAAAAGATCAGTGCTGAAGTCGCCTTTTTCAAGAATTTCTCTTCCTTAACCTGATCGTAATTCTTGGGTAAATAACGACTCATTTCTGAAACTAATAGACCCACCAACAAAGCAATAGTAGATAACAGACTGCGATTAATTTACCTGAACGGGCTCTGAGGCATTCCTTTGTCATCGCTAAAGTGGGCATACCTTGACATGTTCAAGCGTTCATTGGTCGTCATTGCCAACCAGAAGATCTTTGAAACAAAATTGCTCAGTTTTAACTTCAAATTGAAATATCCAAATTTATTAATTTGCAATTAGTCCATCTTTAACCGTCTTAATTTCAGACGAGCCATGATGATGTTTCCCAAGGTCTAAGAGGGACCTTGGGAACGAGGTTGTTCTATCTTCACTTTCTCCGAGCAATCCCATGACACGCGCAGATCCATTTCAACAATGGAATCGTACCGAGTCCAGACTCTTCAACAATTCCATAGCTTAGTAATTGTCACCCTTCACCGACAACGAAAATCTCACAACCTACCATCTCCTTTATTCAGCTAAAATCTCTTCAAGCTTTAACCCACACACTTGACCCACACTTTGAATCACATATTAAGGTCAAGGAAATAAAGAAAATGATCACCAGCTTAAGAAGCTCTTGATTGTTAAACAAATTCTCCCTGTCGCCACCTTAAGAAATGTGTAGAGAACAGTGTGCAGAATATGCGTGATGATGTTAGGGTGTAAAGGGTTAATAACGTAAAAGAAATGTGCTGACATTAAGAGCCAGTCATACCTGGTAACATTGACAGAAAAACAAAGCGCCCACCCACATCACGTGGAACAGGGCGTTGGCATAACCCCACGTGATCCAAGGGGCACAACGCGTGCTGTGAGCGATGGTTTTCCAGATCCCATCAGGGTAGGGACCACAAGCTGTAACATAATCTGAAAAAAAAACACAACACCAACAATAATTTCTAGTTGAAAAAAGATGGAACACTATTTTTAAACGCTGAAGGTTGGAAAAAGGCGAACAGGGAATCAATCCTTGAGAGTTTTATGTAACTAAATGACTAAATACTTACAAACGGTTCCTCCATAGATGTACCAGAGAATCATGCCAAACAGGAAACACAGGTATCCAAAAAAGTACAGATGATTACCAACACCTGTTTAAAACCGAAAAAAAAACAAAAAACAAAAAACAAGACTGTTCAGACCAACCTGAAGTTGCCTATTTGATTTTGTTCGTTGCACTAACATTTTTCTCATTTTTTTAATATTTTACACTCAAGTCATAAAGTAATCTTTAAAGCGTGTACCTACCAACACAATTCTCTACCCAGGGGCAGTGATGATCAAACTTGGCTACACAGCGTTCACAAACGGAACAATGTTTTGATCGGACAGGTTTTCGTAACTGTAAAAGTAACAACATAGTCCGTTAAGTAACGAGTGGCACTTCTCAAATATGAAGTGTTTCTAGCATGTGCAATTTTGAGCATGTCGTGCAATATCAATTGTTAATAACACTAACTTCTAACATTTTCTGTAATTTTTGCGTATGTCCGCTGTCTCCTCGTTCCAATCGCCCAAGCTGGGGCTTGAGACGAGGAGACAGCTTACAATCCAGGCTACAGTTCTGCCAAAAGAAACGAACGTTGTGACATCTTACAACTTACAAGACAAGTCGAACAAAACTTTGTAAAGTCGAACGAATTCTTTTCCACGAGTTCTATAATGGTCTAAGGAGGTAAACAGACGACAACAATTAATTATATAAAACAATTTTAAAAGGCTCACAGTTGCTCGATGAAATTGTCTGCTAAAAACTTCTTCCGCTGTTTGGTGCAGCGGAATAAAGGTTGCTATCCATTTAGCAATACCATAATCGCTACGTTCTGCTCTTGCGATCACGATGTGGTTTTCGTCACAATGGTGTTCGAGTGGAAAAAGACTGACTATTTAAACTTTAAATTCTAGGTAACCGACGGTGGAATGACGCGGAGTGTTTATGTTCAAAACATTTTTTGAAAATAATTTCAAGAATGCATGCATTCCATGAAGTATTCTTCAGACCAAAAGAAAAGAGGTTTGCTATATTCTCTCAAAGGGCAGTCTCTTGCCAAGCCTTCTACGGTTACAAGGTTCAGTAGACGCAGCATTCCTCTCATTTCTCTGTATCGCTAATCTTACAAGTCTTTTGTGTCTTTTTATCTCTATCGCTTTCGAAGTTGGTAGGCCTAAAATCACACCTATGTTGACTTACCTGTCGTTGTTCAGATGTGGTTGTGCTGATATACCCTGGATCTGCCTTCCACGACTTGTAGAAACAGTAATACAAACCAACGGTGTTGACGAAGAATGATGCCAAGATAAACGGGCTATTAACATGTATTAAAAGGTTAAGGAAAATGTCCCATATATTCATAAATAAATATTACGCAATTGTTGGTATATAAGAATACATAAAGCCAAATGGATTTAAAAGATAGCGGTACAGTGTAATCATTTGTGATGATGTTTACTGAGAGCGATCTAGTCAAATGTCGAAAGCATTCCAAGATGGCATTGGCCATACTTTACAACGTCCTGTGACTGGTCATAAAAATCGTGCCATCCTCTTATCCAATCAGATTCAAAACTCTTAACACTGGTGACTTTGTTATGTGCGTTTTCTTGCGCTTGGAGCCGATTACGTGTATTATCCTTTGCTCTGATTAGCTTTTGTGCTAACTCTAGTCGTGGTTTTACGAAAATCAACTGAAAAACGCTCTCAATCCCATTTTATTTCTGCTTTAATTGGTTTAAGCATGTCATGTAATTGGTTTTAGAGAGTTGTGATTGGTTAGGAATTTGCGCCAACAACCACTTTGCTCATTGACCCTACCTTTGTAACATCTGTTTTCAGAGTTAATCGCGTTTGATTGTCGTTTGTATCATGTTTTTACCGAATATATATTCATTAAATTGTTTACAATAAATCATTAGTCAAAAGGTTGCCTTAGATACTTTAGAGACTATTTCTCACAGTTAATCAAGCACTTAGAAGCTGTTCTTTTATCTTAAAGAACTCACTTCAAGTGTTTCTTGTAGAAGTTTTTTGTTGTTTCATCAAGTTTAATCAAATGTTTCAGTTATCAGTTTTTAATCGAAACTTTTTTAATATCCTAAATGTTTAACCAGTTAGTTCATTCCAGGTTACCCGCCAGTATCTTAGGTGATTTCCCCAGTTCGCTGGTATCCATTCCTTCTCCTGGGTGTATGGAAACGCTGTGAAAATATCTTTTTCTGATATCATTTCCGTCGACAATTCTTCATTCTGTTGGAACGATTCTTCAACTTTCCGACACCCGGTCCACAGAAAATGGATCACAGGCAGTACAACCATCTTTATCAAACAGCTTGACTTAAAATGGCTCCACCGCTCCCTTACTCAGTTGCTTTGCCGAAAAAAAAAAAAAAAAAAAAAAAAAAAAAAGGAACGAGTCTACGCTGCCGTAGGTAAACAAAATTCGGTCAAAAGGATATAGGGCCAGAAAAACACAAACCATGTGGTATACATGAAGATTTTAGTGGCTAGGTAGACACCCAGGGGTATACGACTTGAAAGGGTGCCCCCCTGGAAAATTCTGTAAACAGAAAATTGGGTTAGCTCAGATGTCGAAAGTAATCTGGGATTGCTATGAATTTCATTTACTTCTCTCTGCGATTGTTCAAGAAATATCGTGCCACCCCTTCGACTCAACCAATCAGATGCAAACGTTAGCCAAAACTTGTTCACACGCTTTCATTGTCTTTTTGTAATATCTTTCCTATCTCTTCTAACTAGCAATTAAACTTTTGTTTTAATTAAAAAAAAAAAAAAAAAGCGTAAAGCGCTGTGATCCGCAAACCGAGACGTTGCTACCACTGACAACAACTGCAACGGAAAATTTCAAGCTGGAAATTCAGGCAACCGTGAAATAAAGACCGACAACAAAAGACGGAGATCAATTTCAGCTCTTGTGATCTATGCAACGTTATTAAATTACAACAGAATTGATTGTGTTAATTGTTATTCGTTAAAGCTTTATCTGAAACAAAATTGACGATGTTAATTGTGAACGATCTTCAATTTCGTTCTGATTAAAGAATATGGTTTAAACAAATTCAACCCTTTTTTCGAACTTGATGATTCGCTAATCGTGAACAATCTTGAATTTCGTTTTGTGTTGAAAGAATATGTTTATGAAAATTTTCTAAAAGGATAGGTTCCAATCGCTTACTTTCAAGAAAATTAAACCTTTGATAGCCATTCTGGTGCAAATTAAATTGTTTAAAATTATGCAGTTTGCTTTTCTGATTTTACAAGTTTTCTAAAATTGAAGAACACAATACCTTTTCTTTACACCTCAAAAACAATAGAATTTAGTATCTCTTATGTGGTTGTTCGTTTTAAAAAGCACATAAATTAAGTGGGCAACAGTGGTTCTGCACTGTGTAGCTGCTTAAACATTTTACACACTATACCAGAACTTTTAGCAATTAGTTTTGAAAAAAACAAGCATTTCCCAGAAAGGATGAAGTCATCGACAAAAAGCCAGAAATAATTAATTGTGCAGTTAATAAAACTAAAGCAATGTTGGAAAGGATATAATACAAATACACAGTTAAAATGTTGTAGTAAAGATAAGCTTTGGTAGCCAGTGTCCAGCCGAATACAACACCACTACCAGCAGAATAGACTAAAGTGAACCAACTGTGAGTAAAAGGTAGTAATAAAATAAAGTATTAGCAAAAATAAGTGCATCACTGCTATGCCTGAAACGGTTCTAAAACAATGTATTTAGATTACTTAGTACTAACTTCAATGGTTCAAACCAAGTTTACGGAATAAAATCCAAAAAAAACATGTTTAAAGTTGATCAGCTGAGTTTTTGGCTTCTAAGGTAACAGTTGTGCCATGTCAGGTACAAATGAAAGCCTTGGTAAATTATCAAATTCATGTTGACAAAAAAGGGTGAATTTCTGTAGCAAGTTATGAAACACTGAAACCCCAAGTATTTGGCAATTATTGCAGTAGTAATCAAAATTTGCTGAGGCAGTTTATCTTCCTTCATTGACTCCCATTTGAAAATTAATTAGAGGGTGATTCATATAAAGGTTAGCTAAATTGAGGTAGCAAACTTGCTGCATATCAGATCCATGCTCAGTGGTCATGTTCCATGACAAGCAGCAAGAGTTCTCAAGACATCAGGTGGGACAAGAAGCACCTTTCCAACAATCCTTGTCACCACAATTCACACCCAAACTGCATATTACAGGATAATCAAAGAAAGAGTCAGCTTCACTGTATATATTAAAGCACAGATCTAACAGTACTTACTGCATTGTATAGTATGCCGTTAATCCTACAGCTAAAAAGAGTGGCAGAGAAATAAACCATGCCGATGAATACTCTAAAATCGCACCAATTGAGAAGATGGTAAAGAATGGCAGTCCTATTTGAACATAACGTTGAACAGCCTGAGAAGAGATTTCAGCAAATACCAGGTTAGCTTTGATCAGTATTTTCAGTTTTATGCAGCCTGAAGTCACTATAAACTAAGCCCTTTATGCCATAGCTTTTTAAGAGAAATAATATTGTTTCTCTTTTGAAAAAAAATTGAGAAAATTTTCAAGAGGGCCTATTCATTTTTACAGTTACATATTTGTCTGAAAAGTCAGCTGTTACTAATTGCAAGATTAGAGGTAAGCATTAATATATAGATTTAGCCAAGCTTAAAAGCAGAGCTAGCATTTTTTTATCCCGGCCAGGACTAGAACCTGGGTCATCTGACTCACAGCCCAGTGCACTGACCACTGGACTACAGAACAAAGCCGTGGTGTTGGCGTGCCTGCAGCACAGTTGACTACGCAAGTCAAAAGTAGCACCTTGTACGGTCGTACATCCAAATTTTTTCGGCTTGATGGGTTACTACTATTTTGTATAATTATGGGGCTATGCTCTGCGAGCTCCACTATTAACTGTACCACACCCACCTTGTCTCTGGTCAAAGATTGTAAAAATACTGGTTTTCCTTCTCCTTTGTCTTTTTGCATTAAATCCATTTGAACCAAAATCCACTTGCTTTTCTTCTGTTTTGCCAAGTCATATGGAGACTGACCCTGTCAATGTGTTTGTTAAAAAAAAATTATAATCAAAACACGTAACAAGAACATCACAAACAAAAGTCATATGAACTCATCCATGTGCAATTTTTGGAAGCAGCACAACATAGCCACAGTTGTGCAATACCAAAGCTGTGAGAAAGGACTCAATACAGGTATTGCATGTCCAGCTGATATTACAGGAATAAGTCTGGTTCAGCTGATTTTATTCATGTCAAAAGAATACCAGTTAATTCTCATTTTTACAGTAATGAATGTGACTAAAAAAGGAAGAACAAAGGCTGTCCACCAAGTTGAAAGTTAGAACTTTTAGAGCATTAGACAGACTGTGTACCTCAGCATTCAAAGCATCCATGCTGGCACCAGCTTTAAGAAGTGTTCGTATCACATTGTGGTTGTTAGACATCACTGCCCAGTGTAAAGCTGAGAACAGAAAATGATTGTCACTAGGTTTAGGTCTTGCTGGTTGCTAATTTTCTGCAAGAGTTGCCATTTTTAAGAGGACAATTGAAATTCCCTTAATTCTTAGGAGTCACATCTGCTAAACAAAGGATAACTTGAATGTGTCATGTACTCAAACCCATGGTACTGTTCCTTTAGTTGGTTCAACTGAAACCCTGGATAGTTACATCTATCAAGTCTGGATAACTTTGCCTATTAACTGACTGCTATAGGGTGAAAAAGTCTTCAAACTGATTTGTAGATTAGTAATTGAACACAACATGAGCCCAATTTTTTAGTTAAATTGCCAAAGCACTGTAAAAACTCATTTAAAATTGATTTTTGTTAAATATCAAGGAATCGATGATGGTTTAAAAGAAAGGGATTAGGCCAGATTTAAAAGAACAACACAACAAACATGTTTATTACGACATGGCAGCTATCCCAGCCAGGCTGCCTTTCAATGCACATACATATAAGACAAGTGCTGGCCAAATACATCATATATCAAGTTTTTTTTTTACTTGAGTAACACAAGCACCTGTGTTTTTATGAAACTTGTCAGCCAGTGCTATTGAGGCATTCATTGTCAAGAGCATCCTTGTCAGCTCCAACCTAGAGAACATTGTGAAATGATTATTATTATCTAAAAATGTAACAAATTTATAAGTCAAACAAAAAGACAAATTAGTTGTTTCTGCATGTTTACATCTTTGAACAGAGTCCTTTCTTATTCAAGCAACTCCTTAGTAAACTTTCTTTTTGTGTACATGCTTGGAAGCCTATAAAATCTAATACACATCATTCTCCAAAGGTTTGACCTCCTCCATTTTCTCTGTCTTGCTTTGAACATCCTAACTCCTCTAAATCTCAAGGAATACAGATTTAAAGTTACACTCACCCAAAGCATCTATAAGATGCCCACATCAAAGGTGACATTCCATTTCTATCCAGCAAATCAACATCCTGCAATAAACAAATTCAATTACAAAATATATTAAATTTCTTTATGACAAAGAAATTTACGCTCACAAAGGGAAAAGGTTAGTTGGAAATAATAATACAAAATAATACATACCATTCCTTTAGAAATCAAATAAGCCACAACTCCCATCTGACTGTTCTGAACAGCTACATGTAAACAACTGCACCCTGTTGTGTAAACAACAACAAATGAGTATCAAAATTCATTGAGCAATAAGATTATGAGGTCAAGAATTCTAACACATGACAGCTTATGAGGGCAAAGCCTGGATCAAGTATCACATGCAGAAATTGAGAGCAAATAATCTAACTCTTTTGGTGAAATTTTGAACTCTGTTGTTTAAAGGAGAAAGGCTCATGTTTTTAAAGAATAATGAAAGGAACATTATTAGGTAGTAGATCTCAAAGATAAAAATAGTATGCGTAAGAATAGTGCTTGCATGTAGTTTTATTTCTTAGTTAATTTCAAAACATGCCCATGTACCTTCTATGTCAAGTGATGATGGATCAGCTCCATGCTTCATTAGAAAGACAACCATCTCAAGGTGGCCTTGCCTGTGATAAAAAATGCAAAAACACTGTTAGGTGGTTCAGTCAAGAGACAAAGAGGTCAGAAATTTTGCACCAATGAAGCAAGATTACCTACCTGACAGCCCAATGTAGTGGTGTGGCATGCAAAATACCACCCTTCCTATCAACAATAGCTCCCTTTTTGACAAAATACCTGTTGTAAATAAATATATCATGGAGTTTTGGACAAACAAATCTTACTAAAAAACTCATAGAATACTAGTCAATTTACCAATTAATCCTTAAATCAGTAACAAGCAGGCTTCAGACTGAGACCAACTTTTAATGCTGACCTGTATTAACAACATAATGAAGATACAAATTGCAAATTGTATCAATTCATGCTTACTCAGCAATTCTTATTCTATTGTTGATTGCAGCCCAATGCAATGCTGAAACATTTTCTTTGTCAGGAGTATTCACATCTACTCCTTCCTTGTCAATCAGCTCAGCACATCTGTCAAAGATGCCATACTGTGTTGCTCGGACCAGGTCAAACTGGCTGTAGTCTGGTTGGTAATATGCTCCACTATGTTGACTGTATGGATCTTCTGGTTGAGTGGGGTATGGCTTACTTTCCATGATGGATTCCTGCACATTTGAAAAGGACATGATTAGTTAAGTATTGTAAAGAAAGTGTTGATGGAGCATTTCATTTGTGACACTTAAAAATGAACAGATCGTAGTCTCCATTTGGCGTGACAAAAAGCTTAGATAATTGTGTGCAACAACAATCTGGTCTGAGAAACAACTTCTTTTCTGAGAGCAAAACTCCAGTAAAACTGTAAGCTTTGAGGGATTGATAACAAGGAAAAATGAGCAAATGTATTTTAGCCCTCTCCCTTTTTGGCTGAAACAAGGGTGGTGGCTTGAACCATGGAACATCAATTGCAACTGGCCAAAAAACAGGTGTACAAAGAACTTTGTTCTTTATAATAACACGTGAACTCCTCCTTGCTCAGAATAACCTAGACATTTTGATAACCTCTGTAATGATTATGCCAGTAACTTTTGCTATCAGTCCACAACATGTCTTAGCCTAAATGAAGTGCACACTTCGAAATCAAGAGAAGTAAATTAAACATCGTTTGAAGTAGCGCAAGCCTAATTTTACAATCTTGATGAGGTTAGTTCTTATTATAATTCCCGCTAAAAAAACTTTCACTCCTAACACCATTTATACCTCGCAAACTTTGTATAAAACGCTTTATTCAATGCCGATTTCATCAGTCGTTAAAACAAAACGATAAATTTCAAAACAAACGCTGAAATTTTAACAAGCTGTATTTAATTTGTATGGAATGATTCACTTTGCTTGGCATCACATCTGTACTGGTCAAAAACAACCTGTAGGTAATATTTTTACGAAAGTAAATCTATATAAGTTTCGATCTTCAGTTAACGGAGAAAACTTGCACAACAATTGCCTTGTGTACTTCTGATTACGACATGGCGTGATTTTGTAAAGAAGGGAGAGGTAATAACTGTTACAATTTGACATGCTGGGGTATCGTGTGTTGCGTCACGCCGTTCCTCCAGCAAAATGGAGATTTGACACAATCCTTCTCAACTCAGTAGACTTTAAAAGTGTATACAGAAATGACTTATGTGTATTTTATGGAAAAAGCCACCAACCGTACCTTTTTTCCTGTTTCGTCTAACCCTAGCTCACGAGAACCATGGAACCCATCCGCCATGTTGCCTGACAATTGAACTTACTCCAAATATGGCATTGTTCACCAAATTTGGGAAAATAGCGGTCGTTTTCAAAGGTCAGAAAAAACGAAACGTCTCCGATTTCGTTCGACCCCAAAGCAAAATAGAACAATCTTTAATTCCTAGAAACATAAATCCACAAAGAAATGGAGGGTTGTAGTCTGAAATACGACGAAGAAGTGCAAAAACAACCACCGAAAGCGTCGATCAGGTAAAGGATAAAGAAACAGTTGATAAAAATTCGAAATTCTGTGGCGTTGATGTTGATCTCCATCTGAACTATGTGATATTTACTTCTATCTCTTGCATCTCTTTGCAGATCAAATAATCCTACCTTTATGAGTCCAACAGACAACATGTTTTCACCATGTACCCGGAAGCTCGTCTCCAAACGAGGACTGCACCATCCCAGCTTGATTTCACTGTAGGTTCTGTTGTAAGCTTTTCAAAAGAGAAGGCTAACGCTGTTTCGTAAACATTTGGAAAACGTTTCCCATAATGGAACTAGCAGAGTGTATGTCCAAGAACTCTAAAAGCACCTTTAAGCTTATTTGTAAATAATAACGGACAGTTTTATTGTTTCATTTAGGAGTCAACGACGACTTGGGAACGCTTTCCAGAATGAGAGCAGCAATCAAGATGGCAAGGAAAATGTACCAAACTGATCGATTTACTCATCGTAATTGGTTGTTTTCTGTGAGAAAAGTCGCGTCTGTTTTATGAATACCAAGTCTTCAGTCGATAAGATTACTTCGATCATAATTATTGTTTTATTTATGAAAGTTGATAAGAGTAAAACCTTAAGGTAATGTATCCAGGCATGTCAATAATTCACAGGTCAACTAGTCAAGATGTAATTGTTTCCCTTCCATTTTTTAAAATTTCCACCAATAGCAAAATTTTGTAACGTACCTGACACCATACGTATTTAAAAAAAAATTGATAAAAGTAATAATAAATGCCATCACTTTACAATCACTGTGGGATTATAAAAAGATACATAATGGCAATTAAAGTTGAAGTGCCAACAAACTCTTTGTGTTGTTAAGTTACAATTACCCATAGTTAAAATCTGATGGAGTTCATATTCACTCAAGAGTATTGGCAGTTAAGCAATGCTGGCAGGTCACCTAGAAAGATTTACTCATAAACTCCATGTTATAGTTATAACCAAGAGGGGGAATGGGCCACACTAGGTTTAAGAGATGGCAGGGATGAGGACATCTGTAGATTTAATTAACACTGTTCCTCAAAAGGAAGTCACACAACAGGAGAGCAAGGCACAGGAAGCTGTGGATTCACCTCCCTTCCTCCCCTCCAGGATAAATAGGGTCTGGCAATGACAGCTAGTCATTCCAATTGCACATGTAACTTTGTCATTTTATCATGGTGTTGTTTAAATTCCCAAGGTCTCAAAATTAGTGATTCTCCCATCTGATTACAATATGCTGTTTTTATACCTGTTCCAAATAAATTGGTTTTACAACCAAAAATATTTTCCTGGTTCTCAGTTTTGTATATGCCTGAGTATGACAAAAATATGTAACCTCCACCACATCAAACTCAGATCAACATTTTCAAGAAATCTGTATGAGATTGTTAACTTACAAACAGGTAAATGATTTTCAAGTGGCAGTTTATTATATTACCCTAGGGGACCACTTTCTCATTACAGTGACTGACACATTACAAAAATGTCATAATTTATGACCCAGAAAAAACTTCTACAACACGTGCTGTCATACTTCACAAGAGTAGCGTGTACAAAAATTGTCTCACCTACTGAGAATACTTTTTTTGGAAGTTAATTTTGGAATACTTCTTAAAAAAAACAAAACAAAACAAAATTATATTGACAAACTAGCAGAGCCCTTGGTACTCCCTGTAAATTAACATACAGTACATATCACTTCTTTTTCTTTTGTCACCAGAAGTTAGAGTTCAAAACTTGGAGAGGGTACCTCAACCTTAATTTAACATTTATGCAGATTTATTAATGGTACCCTAGAGATGTTTGCACATGTTCCACAATTTGTAGAAATTTCAAGTCTACAGTCTCAGTAAAATCAATCCAAAGCTTTTTTTTTTTTTTTACCATAAAACTCAGATTGAATCAGATTATCAGCTTTCTATTATAATTCCACTCCAAAAATATTCGTCATTGAAAGATTATCTACTTTCTTACATAATAATTTAATAATGACAATAATGTTATTACAGTTCTACGCATATTGGACACCAAGAACTGGTTGTTTCAAGAAAAGATGATTGATCTACAGTGCATCTAAAGATGATCAAACCTTTTACCTTTACCAAAAAAATATTGATGAAAAAAAAGCAACCTTTCAAATCGCATTTTGTCATAAAGATGGCTTTATCTGGACATAAAACAACTGAAATCTAAAGAATATCACAATAACAGGTCCGAAAAATGACAAGTTACAGGAAGGAATCTGAAAATATCCAGCTATTGCTTTTTCCCATATTAATCTAATTCTTACATTTTTCTTTTTTTGTTTTGGATGTGTTTGGTAGATTATTGAGAGAGATTTTGGTAATGCCAAGAGGATCTGTTAGTTGAGAGATAGAGTAGAAAAATTGGGGCATTGAGAAGTTTACCCTTTAACTCCCAAGATCTCATTAGTAATTCTCCTTACTGTCTACCATAAAATTCTTGTGATTTTAGTTTGGAGAATTTAGTATTGGATCAACTAATAATCACCTAATTGATATTTTTCTGTTTTCTCATCACTTGTCTGCTTGATACTGTATTGATATTGTAAGGAGAAATTCTGTCTTGGTCACTCACTGGAGTTAAAGGGTTAACAGCAGAGTGCCATTCTCTGTCTATCATTTACAACATTAAAGCTGCAAGAGCCATGTTTTATTACATACAACTTGGAGTTTTTTCAATTCATTGCACATTTAACTACATACTGAGTCTTTCATTTGACCACTTAAGAACTAGAAAAACACGATTGAAGCTACAATCCTCAGGTAGGTTGTATTTAGAGTAAGAATGAATATTGTGATAGAGTAAGTCCTTTGATACATTACTGCACTTAACAACACATAAAAAAGATTAAGGGCAGCATGGGCATCTATAACTAGCACCATTTCTAAACAATGGAAAAGAGTTCACTGGGACATCAACAGGCACATGTCTCCCAGACAACATGTATGTACCAACTGATTTTCCGAAGGTTCTTGAAGAAAAACAATCCACTTCATCCACGATGGTGTTATATTTATCAGCATATGCGATTAATTCACCATCAACATTGTCTGTAATGTCCACACCACTGTCTACCGAAACATGTCGCACAGGAGGAATGTACTTGCATATGCTGTCTGGGGGGACCTCTTCATATGCACTTGCGAAAGTGTGTCTTGTTCTTTTACGCTTTGTCGGCATGCATAATTTTGGGCCCTTTTTCCTTCGTTTTCTCCTTCCAACATTCAGTTCATCCAAGCCAATTGTGACACTTGTTCTTGGTTTGGGTCTATTTGTTTTAGAGTAGTACTTGTGAGCAGGAATAGCAGCTGAAGTGTCTACCCCATCAGCTCTGTCAACTGTGTGTAGGTCAACTGAAATCAAACAATCAATCTCCTCCTGAAAATTCTTTGCCGCTTCGCCTTCCTCAGAGGGTGGCAGCACTTTTGGTGAAGGATCATTATCAACATCAAGGAATGTGTCTGTAAGAAAAAGAAGAAAAAAATAAATTTGTATTGAAAAACACTTAAGTGGCAACTTGAGAGGTAAATTTCCAGGCTCAACAGCAACTAAATTATAAAGACCCCTTGGGTAAGTTATTGTTTGGTCACCTGCAAAATCAAATTTCCAGAATAAGAAGAGTAACTTGATCAACCAGTAATCAAAATATTTGCTTTCAAACATACAGAATCCTCTGTCAACAGAAATAATAATGCAGGGTTTAGACTGTCTCCAGTTGTGTCATAACTAAATATTTGAAGTTTTGCGACTCTCTTGATGAGTATGATGAGCAATTAGAGATTACTAACTGTAATATAATCGGTTTTTGTGAGCTTTCTACTACAGTTTGTTGACCTGTGCTTGTGAACAGAGATAAGTAAAGTGTTGAAATGTTACATCTTCTCTACCAACCTGAACCTCTTAAAACCAGAGCTCAGCACACTCATTTACAATAAGCATAAAAAAACCAAGGTCTGCAAATACATCTAAGCACATGTCATGTAAACATTCAGACAACATTTACCTGTCATTCGTCGTGCCAGTCTCTTCAATCTTTTATCTGTTTCTCTAAAACTGTACTTCTGTTTCTTGTCAACAGTCTTAACCTTAGACTTGAAGGCACCTTCACCTCGTCTGCAAGCCAAATTTGGAAGCAATATTAGGTACTTTTTATAAACAGCTTGGAATTATCAGAAAATCTCATTTGCCCCTTGGGATGGACCAGCAAGTAAAAGTTAAAAGATTTCTGTCTTGGTGGTCCAATTTCTACTGTTTGCCATGAAGCTTGAAATTCGAGCGAAATCGCACCATCCAGAAACCAAAGGAACTCTAATTTATGATCTAATAAGATTCAGCCTGGAAAAACTATTGTCTTGAACTTTTTAAGAAACCCAGTTACACTCTGTTTTCATCTTCCTCCATTTCGACCAATCTTACAAATTAGCCTGTTGTTCTTAATTTTCTGTGTGGCTACCTACATACCACTAGGCAATCTTGTGGCTGAGATGAGCCCTTCAACTAGCCAGGGATCAACTCAAATAACCCACATACAATTGTGCAAAACATGTAAAATGCCAAAATACCTCTCACATGTCACACATTCACAGTTACAGTTTTTGTCACCAAAAAAGTCATCACCATAGTGACAAGTAATCTCTTCTCCAGGCTCAAGGTCTCGTAATACCTTAACACAGGCAGTTTCTCTACCAGTGGACACAAACTGATACCAGAAAAAAAAAAAAAAAAAAAAAAAAAAGATGATGCATTAGACCAAAAAAAGCACAATTTAACTTTTAAAGTGGAGTCACATTGGTGCAAAAATTGAAGTCCTTTGAAAAAGAATTTTACTCAAGGTAGTCTTGTTTCTTAGACTTTCTAACTAACGATAAATAGCTCAGTTTAAAACAAAAATTCTTCAATATACTCCCAGAAGTTCAGTAAAAGTTTTGTAAATTTAAAAGTTTACTGTCATGGTGTTACAGAACATAGTATTATGTTCTTTGGGTTATTCTACAGAGGCACGAAAGAAGCTCACCTTGCAATTGGGACGGCAGTCTGCAATAGAAGAAAACACAAGTTACAGACTTAAACTTGTTGAATTATTTACATGAAATTTACACATAACTCCATTTATCAGTCAGTTGCTCTTACAATTCAAAATACACATGACAACAGCATAGTGAACAAAATAACCTTTGTTGTAAGCAAATACCTTACAGAGAAAGAAAGGGTGTGAATGGTTTTCTCTAGGTGCAGGCCAAAAAAAGAAAGGACACAAAAATGAAGAACCAGTCCTAGCACATTTCCTTGAGTCACTTAAAATGAAATTTAAAATGCAGCACTTAAAATGCACCATATTTCAATTCCAACACTTGTTATGCACATCGTACAAAACAGAGGTCAAGGATAAAAAGCACATCACTGTGCAGTACTTTACTGGTCGTGTAGCTGCAAATAGCTGAGTTTTTCAACACTACTATGACAGATACCATATGCTTCTCACACAAGTTGAATTAATAGCTTAATTTGACTACATTTTAATTTTTACATTTGCCAGGATTTGTAAACTGTCTTATAATTTACAAATATGTTTTTACCATGGTTAATGTAGGCTGCAGGACCAAGCCAAAGCTGTGATAGATTTTTCCTACAGGAGAACATGATACTGAAGTCATTCTCTCCTGGGCGGAGTAACTTCTTTTCCTCCTCCTCATTCATTTCTGCAATGCATCCACACAGATAAGGCAGCTTGTCACCTTTATTCCTGGGGAGAAATTGAAATCTTTTAAGCAACAAGAATGATCACAGCATCAAATATCTCCACAAACAAATTGTACAAGATCATGAATAACAGTCATGAGAATGAAGGAATTGATCAGCAAAGAATAAGGACCCCCAACCTTAACGCTTTTAACTCTTAGCATGATAAGCATTAAATTTCTCCCATGAATATCACCCCTGAATCAAACATTAAGGTCATGAGAATAAAGGAAATGATCACAAACTGATAAAAGGCTCTTTTTGTTAGACAAATTCTCCTTGAAAGTATCATGGGAAATGTTAGACAACAGTATGAAGAACTTGCATATTACTGATTTTAGGGTGTGGTGGGGAAATTCTAACAGCTGCTGTTTCAAGAATAGCATCTACATCCTGACCGTAAAAAATTTTGAGGGATTCATGGAAATGATGTTAACCTTGAGATAATTTGAGCCAGCCATCTCTTTCAAGTATTACACCATGTTTGTCAAATGAAATAAATTTGACGTTTGACATTTATCTTAAACAAAAATCCCACCAAAATATTCATTACTGTAACATAAATTGTATGTGGTTGCTCAAAGCCTGCACAAGACAGCATAAGCCTTATGAACAAAATTCCATGAAAGAGCTTCTGGAATTCTCCAATAACATTTTGTAAACAATTAGAAAAGATTTAATCATAACCTTCTCCTCCTTTACTGAATCTTACTTACCATTCACAAGTAGCCACCACTTTTGCTCCATTATCTTCTCCTGAATAACGACTGCAAGGCACAACTTTGTAACCAGAATTTTTATTGAATATCCCAATGTATCTGAAGACCTACAAGTAAACCATAAGGGAAATTCTGACGAAAAATTTAAAAAAATAGGCAGGATGCAAAGAAATGCTTAAAAAATATTTCTAATGGAGTTAAATAACAATTAATCAAAATGCAAATAGAGAAGAGCATGGAAACTATTTTAGGATTTAAATTTAGTTACAGTAAAATAAATAATGTGGTACAAATGTGAATAAAAAAAATTACTAATGTCATTTAAATTTATTCAGAGAATTCAAAACAATGTAGCTTGAGAATTTCTCAATCTCCAGTGCTTTCTAAACACTCTGAAAGAGCCCTCTTCAGCTTGACAGCAAACATTTGCTGATCATACCATCAAACATGATAACTGAAGATGACAAAAGTTTAAGTTACTTAATGTCTTAATCTGTGTACATGCCAAGGGACTCCTTGATGCAAAAAGACATGGCTTGTACGTCTTATAACAAACAGCCAAGTCAAAACAATTTGTAGTTGAAAAAAACACAAAGAAGGAGAGAAATGGCTGATTCTATGCTTTTCAAATTCATATCAGTTACACTGTTGGTAAAGTGTTCATTGGGTGGCAAATAGATTAATATTGCATGCTGCCATAACATCAATGTACTCTCCATGGCACTGTGCTATTTATCAATCCATTTGGAGAACAAAGATTCAAATAACTGATGCTAAGATTACTTGGACCGCAAGCCTGGAGTTCTACAGAGAAATTTAAGCAAAACAACTTCAAGGTGCAATCTACATCTTACCACTTTTGTTGGACATGTCAGGTGTATACTGTACAAAAATTTATCCCAACATTTGCTCACTATGAAAATTTGGCAGAGGTATTAAAGCTTAGATATCGAATACGATGTACTGCCCTAACAGGAAGTAATTAGCAAATGGTGAAACCGTCGATCTGCATCACAGCGAAATTATTACGTCATTATACTAATCCCAACTACCATTATGGCTACGGAAGTGGGAGGGATGTGGAAAGCGAAATTCTTAAAATTCAGAAAAACATACTTGAGAAAGGGAGAGGACGAATATAAAACTACAAAAATATATATATAAAGACAGTTAAAAAATCTACACTGAGCCTTGAAATAATCTGTAGAACCGATTTCGCATAAATTAATTAGGAACGCACAAAACTTTTGACCAAAGATCGTCGCACAATGACGAACACGCGCTTAGACGGGAAGATTGAATGCGAAGAGCGTATCGCAAGTTTGACAGTTGTTCTTAGTGTCTTACACTCCTTTAAACATCCAAATCTAAAGCGAATTTGACGGTTTTAATATGCTACTTTGATTAAAAGTCTCTTCCACTTACATGTTCTTTGAAAGCCGCAATTTGAGGTTTAGATTTAGTGATGAAGTAACATCTTCCCCAATCCCCGGCGTTGAAGACGATTTCGTTGTAGGCTTGTTCCAAATCCCAATCCTGACGATATCTTTCAAGCGCCTTCTTCACCACTTCTTGATCGACTTTAAGAGGCCGAAATCGTGCTGCCATTTTGTGAGTGGTAAAGCCAAGCATAGAGTCCAACACTAAACTACTTGCAATGTCGTCGCTTTCGGCAAGTTGTCGTGCTTGCGTTGGCGATCCTGTTTTTTGCGATTCGTTGTTCATAACCATCACTTTTTCCTTTCAGATTTACCACTGGATTTACTGACCTAGATATCGTCCAACAAAAACCGGGAAATACAAAGCTTTAACCCGTGAAAGTTGTCTACGAGACGACGAACATTTTCATATTTCCAAGCTTACGCGTAGCGACATTTTTCCGTTATTAATTTACTAGTCACGTGACACGCTTGCGTGCGTTTCACGAGTAGTACCCAACGGGGTGGGCTGGGTGGACAACTCATAGACTGAACGTCACAGAAGGTAACCCAACACCCAGAAAGGGAACAAGATTGGTAGTTTCCTTGAAAAGCTTGCGACGTCTAACCTATTCTGCCTAAAAATAATTTGTCTCTTTGATATCATCATTAATTTGGAGAAGATGATTTTGAATCCTCTTGCTGTGGACCAAACTATGACTGAGATTGTAATTTTATCTACATCAGAGGAACTTCGGAAAAATTTTGAGCAACTCTTTTAGTAATTTTGAACGTTATCTGCGATATATTAAATAATTTTGTAGAATGCTCTACATCTATCTATGGTTATGGACACCATGACAAATTGCATACAATTATGTTGAGGTTATATCAGTTCAGCTCCTGAATGGCACTTAAAACAGGGTTTCGCTTCAGCACAAATTTCGCGACTACGGAAATTTGATTTACTGCAGTGCGGGGAATTCTAAACTTCTATAACCTCTTGCATTTCAAATTACGTATTGATTTACTTTTCTAATTAAGCATTCTAAGATTGAAATGTCGTTTTCTGACATGACCTGTCTTTGTTCCAAGTGTCCGACTTTAGAAATTGGTCCGGCCATCACTGATATAGATATTTAATCAACTTAGTTCCTACGTGTAGCCGTACCCTCCCCCCCAAGGTAAAACGCTAGCTTCCGGGGGTTAGGGCTGGCTGCGGTACACAGGTTAACGAAATATGTGATATACAAAATACCTCTTCTGACTAAAGGTATGTTCCATTTCGTCGTCATTTCGTAACCTACGTCTGCCATGGAGTCGCTTTTGAGGAATCTCGAAAAATATGTCACTTGTTCGATTTGTTTGGATAATTTAACCAAACCGAAGACCATAGCTTGTCTTCACACTTTCTGCTTTAAGTGTTTGGAGGAACATACACTGAAAACCCAAAGACAAGAACAATTTCGATGCCCAGATTGTCAAGCGGAAGTTAACATTCCTGAAGGAAATCGTTTCGATGATTTGCCGACTGATTTTCTGCAAAACAGTTTGTTGAATCTTCTCACTGTACGACAAAGTGGCGATGGAAGTCAGATAAACTGCGCTATTTGTAAGAAAAAGAGTGCTGAGATCAGCTACTGCTTCCGTTGCGACAAATTCCTTTGTCGTGATTGTGTAAACGCACATGAATTGTTTAGAGAAACTGCCTTAAAAGGACACAAAGTCACAGCAGTCAAACAGTTTCAACCTGCAGACTACGAGGCAGTGTTGAAGCGACAATCCTTTTGCTCTCAGCCTTACCACGACAGAGAGTTAATGAAGTTTTTCTGTCTTGAATGTAAAGTTTGTGTTTGTCAAATCTGCATAAACACTGATCACAAGAGTCATGATGTTGATCCGCTTGAAAAAGCAGCGGATGAAACGAAAGTCAACATCGTGGCGGCAGCCGAGTTGTTGAAAGAAAAGAGAGAAGTTTGCAACGATGTGATTCGGGAATACGAGGAAACGGCCTTAAAACTGGATAGTAATATCAAGAGTGCTAAATTTGAAGTCAGCCAAGCAGCAGAACAAATGGTCGCGAGAATTCGACAATGCGAGCGAGAAGCCATTACCACCCTCGAGAATACACGCGTGTCGATCATGGACAAATTAAATTCCCTAACCAAACAAGTACAGTTCTTGGCCAAACAACTCGAACAAGCAGTTGAATTCGCTGATAACCTGGTTCAAAGAAGCTCAAGTTCAGATATCATGCAAAGCAAGCAGAATTTGGAGCAGCGTTTTGAAGATCTAAAAAAAACCCAGTCCCATCAGCACTTCCGGTCAGTTCATTTATCAAGTTTGTCTCAACTATTGCACCTGACAGTTTCAGCCTGGGTTTCGTGACAACCAATGAAACAGATGTACATGGATCCACTGTTGAAGGACTCACTGAAAATTTTCAGGCTGGTTTAGAAGCAGAGTTTCTGGTTTGTCCAAAACTGAAGAGCAATGGGGATCTCACAAGCAAAGCTGAAGGAAAATTTCACGTTGAAGCATTTGTTGAACCTTCTGAAGAAGTGGCTAACTTGACTACTGTACACAAGGAAACTGAAAATGTTAGGGTAAAGTTTGTCCCCAAAATACCAGGCCCCTACAACATCACAGTGAAGATAAATGGAGACAAACTTGTTGAAAATCCATTTACAGTTCAAGTGAAAGAACGACGGATTGACATTCTGGGCGAGTTGCAATTGAAAGGGGAAATTCTCCAAAGCCCACATGGGATCGCTGTGAACAGTAAAGGGCTAATCGCAGTAACTGACGGCGGAAAACATTGTATCCTGATATTCGATAAAGAAGGTAGTTTTGTACGAAAACTTGGCTGTCAAGGAGAGGGTCCTGGACAGTTCTTTAATCCAACTGGAGTCACATACCTGAATGATAACGAAATTCTGGTAGCAGATGAATTGAATCACCGCATTCAACAATTTAATGTACAAACCGGGAACTTTGTGAAAAGCTTTGGAAAATATGGAGAAGGAGACGGCGAGTTTAATCGTCCCGTAAACATTTGTATAAATGATGAAGGAAATATTGCTGTAGTTGACTCTTCAAACAGAAGAGTCCAGGTCTTTACAACAGATGGTAAACCTGTGCCGAAATTTGGAGAAAGCGGCCCTGGTAAGTTCACTGCTCCTACTGCATGCATTTATCATTAACAAAAGTTGATACTATCTGATGGCTTGGGCGGTTGTTTAAAAGTACTCGACAGTACGGGGAAGTTTTTGTATGAGATTGGAGAAAAAGGCAAAGGTGATGGACAGCTGTCATTCCCTTGGGATTTGTGTGTTGAGAAACGTGGCGATCATTCGAATCTCCTGGTGTGTGATAAATGGAATGGTCGCATTCAACAGTTTACAATGGAAGGTCGCTTTACTGGTAAAACTTTCGAGAAGTTAAAACATCCAATTGCAATAGCCGTAACTCCAGATGGTCGCATTTTGGTATGCGATGGCAATGCCAAAAAAATATATGTCCTAATATGAATGATTATATTATGGTTCCGAAAATGGAAAAATGTAAACAGGAATGAGAAGAAAATCTGAAATTCTCACTTTTATGTACCGAACAGCAATTTTTTCTCTGAATTTTTGATATATTAATGAAAAATATTCAATTAACCCATCTGTATTTCTCAAATCATTGATAAGCCGTGGTTAGACCGAACTGTATCAATGAGTAGTGAATTTGCTAGAATGTTTACGAGTTGTTTAAAAAGATCCGTAATGCAACTTATCTTCAAAAATATTGAAAATGAACTCTGGCCGTCATTATGGATGCAAGCAGGTGCGCCCGCGATCCTCTCAACCAAGAGCACCGAAACTCCTTTGGACGAAAATTAAACTTGGCTGTCTTGGTGAGGGTCCTGGACAATTCTTTAATCCAACTGGAGTCACATTCCTGAACTATGACGAAATTCTGGTAGCAAATTAAATGAAATGAATCACCGCATTCAACGATTTAATTTACAGACAGGGAACTTTGTAAAAAGCTTTGGAAAGAATGGATAAGGAGACGGCGAGTTTGATAATCCCGTAGACATTTGTATAAATGATAAAGGGCATATATATATCAATTACGACGTGCCCACCTTGCTAGATTAACTCAGACTACCAGCAATTTCACTTAATTTCCAACATTATTTGTTTGTTAATAAAGAGTTGATCTTTCGTGTAAATGGTACTGGAAAGTGAATCATGTTGTAAAGAGAGGCCTAAGTTCCTCAGATAAAACTTCTCAGTAATTTGTTCGACCAAAAAAACCACGATGTGGCCTCTTGTTGACGGGACAGCCGCGTTCATATATGACCGCCGGAACAGTAGGAATAATTTTTCGCGCGTACAGACATCATTTTTCACGCGCGTAAATCACCCTCCGTTCTTGCCTCGCACTAACTTTCGCTTGTCTGAAAAACGCAAAGAATATTGTCTCTAACGCAAGCTCTCTCTCTCTCTCTCTGTTTCTTTTTAGCCGAGAGGGAGAAGCGCGAGCTTCTCTTGAGGGCGTCACACGAACGTACTGACGCCGTTGGCGTCATTGATAAAAAAAAATTGTTGTCGTTATGTGATCCCGACTGATTTAGTACGCTAAACAAGATTTTGTGCTCAGACATGGTTTGATGCTACTCTGGTTTACAGATTTAATGAATGTAGCCGAAAAAGTTACAATTTATAGACCTAACGTTTCGACACTTCTGTCCAGTGCCTTCATCTAGTGTCTTCGTAAACCAGAGTAGCATCAAACCACGCCTGATTGTCCACCTGGTTGCCATGTGAACTTTAATATATCCCAAGATTTTTCCCTTTTTTGCGTTCAAAACAAAAATGGATTCTCTGAAATCAGAGGGAGTGTCCTAAAACGGACGAAAGCGTTCAAATCAAACAGAAGACTCTAAAAGCACACGATGACCTCTTAAATTGGACAAGTGTCTAAAGTCGAATGATAGCGTCCGAAATCGGATTAGAGCTTCGAAATCGTTCGGAATCGTCCAAAAACAGACGTAAGTGTCCGAAAGCTGACGAAAGAGTTCGAATCCGGGTGGAAGTGCTCAAATTCGGTCCGATCTGTCCAAAATCCGCCGGAAGCGCACGAAATCGGATGGCGCCTTTTAATATTGATATAGCAGATCAATGAGACGGAGACATCTAACTCACGAGACTTTCCGTCGATATTAATACGATTTTTTACTTTGGAAATAAACTCGACCTATTTGCAGAGAAACTGACTTAACTTGTCTGAGCAAAAATTCGAATTTAAAACATTTTGCATGTGTCACACCGCCTCTAAAAAATCGAAGTTCTTATTCTTACTTATGGCAATCTCATTTGCTTTTTCGTCATAGTGTCTAGTTGTTTAAGTAGGTTCTGACTTTTAAACAACAATGTTTTGCAAGTAAAGCAATAATACACTTAGAAGAGCTGACATTGAGCGATTGCAGAAAAGGCCTGGAATAAAACCCAGGCTTGGATGGGATTGGAACCCAAGCTCCCCTGATACCGTTACTAGTTGGGCAGAGCTGGGCACCTTTTAGAGGGACCTTGTTTCCCCGTGGAAGGATCTAATCATAACTTCAATGAAATGAATTTAGGTGGACCTGTGTATGAAAACCAAGTAAAGCAATGATCCTCGCTGGTGAAAAACACCTGTGTTGTTTCTACTACACATGATTACAATTAAAAAAATACTTATAATTGAACACAAAATGCAGTGCCATATGGGAGTACTATTTGATTTTGTAAAAGTTCACTAGTATCATGATCAAGAAGCCCTCACATATCAAAATAACATTGCTTGTTGTTGTTGTAGTTGTTTCATTGTAATCAGTTTTGTGGAATCACAATTATTCATGAACCAGTTTTTCAAAGAAACAAGTTGCTTGCTGACAAACTGCTTTTTAACTAATCTCAAGGCAAGTATTCACACCCACAGTTAAAATTCAAATGGTAAGATGCTCCTGCTGGTATTGGACCATTCCAGGTGTTATCACAGATTTGTAATAAGAGACTTTATTTTACAACAATGTATATAAGACACCAAATTAGCAACTTTTGCTGCTAATTAAGTCAAAATAACCTTTTTTCTATCACCTCCTAATTGGCTTTTGAGGATTCCATCTAGGCCTCCTCAATCATCCTAATCCAAAATGGCAGCAAACAAAATGAAAATCATTACATGTGTAACATTTTTCCAACCCAAACAAAAACATTTACAATGATTGTCAGAAGAAGTTCAAAATGGTAAGTCTTATTTTAATATTTCATGTTACTCTTTTTCCTCTTCATTTCCAGAATCACTATTTGAATTGCTTTTTTCATCCTCACTTCCTGAATTTTGATCACCTTCTTTTTCTTGATCATGCTTCCTATTCAATTTTCTCTGCTCTTGCAACTGTTGGAGTATTTCATCTTTTGTGAGATATCTTTTGTTGCAATGCTTGTGAATGGATTCCCTTGCTTCTCTTCTGCATTTCCTTCTCTTGTAACTCAACGAGACACCAGTGCACTTGGAACAAGGTTTTCCAGCATGACAGACAAACAACTGACACTTTGAAGAAAAAGCTCTATTTTGCATTGGAACTTCATTGTTGTTTAAAGACTTTAGGACTCCAGTTTGATGCAGAATTGGAGACACACTTGAGTCATCATCAGAAAGACTGCACCCCAGACATAATTTAGAAGTGTCTATAAAATCCAATACAAGCTTAGCTTGTTCATGAACAGTTAGCTCTTTGACAATTCTTTCAATATTCAGGGTAGACAAATGGAGCTCACATGAACGAGACTTGACAGAGTAAGATACATTTTTCTCAGGAGATAATTCCATCACAATCTCTTTATAAATCCGCTGGTTTCCAAATTCCCAAGGCTCAGGATGTATAAAGCAAATTCTACAAGGATTGTCCACAACCCTAAACCAACCTGTTGGTAGCATGAATGTATCATCTTTAGCCAACTGTTCAAAATCATTTGTCACGTCATAGTCTGGAGGCTGCACAGTTTGTCCTTGTTTCCGAGTTAAATTCAGCACATAGGCCTTTCTATCAATTCTTTGACCTCTTTTGACTTTCTTGACTCTATCACCCCACAAAAGATTAATGAGTTCCCCGAAAAATTGACAACTTGCAGAGATATCTATTCCCAGGCTGTCTCTCTCTCTTGCAGCATGTTCCACAATTTCATTAAGCAATGTCAGGCAACCTTGTGAATAAGTATAATTCCTCAAGAGCCTAAAATAAGACAGATATTAGATATAGTTAGCCAGAGGCATAGGTGGTAAACCAATAGAAAGTGTGGTCTATTGCTTTTATAGCAATATTGCATTTCGACCAATCAGGGCACCTGTTTTGGTAACCCTATCTTTTTCTATTTTACAGTACCCCCTTTGGCGACTTTTTGTAATGTTTTATTGTTTTTTTTTTTTTAATTTTTTGTGTCTGTTTGCAAGGGTCGTTTTCTCCAGGCAAACATTGCGCTTCCTGGAATCAATGAATCATACTAACGGGCAGTGTTCAAACTATGCTAGCACGAGTTACGGTTCTGTACGTTGCTGCGCAAGTAGTAAGAACGGGTTCATGAAAACTGGCCGTCCGGTTCCTCATATGACTCAGCCGGTTTGGCCACAAACTGGTCTGTGAGGTCTAACAACTGAACTCCGTTCAATATACGGCCAAGACTATCTGACGGGTCACTTGAAGTGATGGAAAGCTTCTCTGATCTACTTTGATGACAATCATACCTAAGAAAACAACAAATGGGTTTGCAGGCCGAGGGTTCTAATTCAAGGGGGATTTCTCTCACCATAACTTCCACTGATGACGGGACCGACCATTGAGGGAAGACGCTCTCTTCCGCTTCAAATTTGAAGCACCGTTTTCCACGTCGACCTCTTCGTGAGCTCTACGTAACTCAGCATTTTGCATTGCTGCTTCGGAGGTAGACATCGTGTTCAAAATGGCGCCCTCCGGCGGAAAAGATCCCTGGGAAAAGTGATAATCGATACCAGTCCCCTCACCCTAAATTCGTCCTCTTTGACGCCATCTTGAAGTGTGAGTTAGTTATTCTTCAAAATGGTGAGTATTGAGTCCTATTTAACTTTATTGGAATCACATAAAGAGGGTTTCTTCCGCTAGATCCATTTATTAAAGTATTATTGACTGGATTCGCTCGCGATTGCAGCACGATGACCAAAGAGAGTGCTAATTTTGTAACAATTTCACGATGTTGTACCGTCTTTGAGTTTATGTTGTTCTAAATTTCCTTACTCTAGCCGTCCCACAAAAGCTTCAAAATTAAGAGAGTTTTGGGCAAGAAAATGAAACAGAACAGGCCTATCCCTCAGTGGGTGAGGCTCAGGACTGGAAATACCATCAGGTGGGTCACTGTTTAACTGTACGAGAGCACTATCCGATCTTTAGAAGCTCTATAAACTTAATGAAAATTTGTATGATAGCGTAGGGAGGAAAACGGAAGATCAGGGCTCAGTTGTATAAAGGGCGGATAACACTATCCGACGGATAAAGTGCCATCCAGCAGCTAACTGTTAACTAAATATACTGCGCTATTCACTGGATAGCGAACAACCGAATAACCAGTGCTGGAACAGTAAAGAAATCTTCCAGGGTGCTTATGGCAATCGATATGAAAGCTACAAAAGATACCTTACCATCACAGAAGAAATTTTGCTGATTGTGTATTAGACGTGTGTCGATATGCATGTGAAGTATCTTTACTAAAGTGGAGCAAGAAACCAAACTACTTACCAATAATGTTATTTAGAATTCTCCCGTGTGTTATGTACTCGGAGTATTTTCCTACTAAATAAAATTTATTGTCTGCCCGGCTGCAAATTCATAAAATGTGACCTATTGAAACATTTTTGCAATTTGAGTTGATAGTAAACAGCTTTTGGTTTTGTAGATGATCACTAACACTTGGAATTTGTAAGACAAGCATTGGTGTAAATGAATCTTAGTAGCTTTTGGTCACTGGAATCAAGGAAGACCCTCTCATTGTGATGATCAGAATTCAGATTATTAACCTCATCCTATAATTGTTTGATTTCAGATACAATGCTAAGAGACGTCACTGGCGTAGAACCAAGTTGGGACTGTAGAAGAAATCACAAATCTTTGTCATACTTCATACCAGAGTTTGTGTTAAAATGGCAACAATCAACATCAACTTTGTGATATCTCTGTACAAAACCCATTAAAGCTTGTTAAACCAACTATTGTAGACTTATGTTGTTACTATATCTAGAAAATAGAATATTGACCCTTTTGAGAGAATCAGTACAATTGGATGAATTGTCTGATGACAAAGTATTATGGTAAGCTATGCATGTCTAATAACTTGAAACAGTCATTTTTCTCTAAGTTCTAATTAAATAGGTCTTTAGAACACTGCATACTTGGGTAAAAAGCAAACAGTCTTGAAAATTGTTAAGTTTTGCATCCTTTAATCAGTAGCCGTGTTGAAGTTCAAACTTCTCACAGAGATAAATCTGGATTCATGTCCATCTTTTCTCTTGTGAAGAGAAATTTTGACTCTACATGTATCCTTTGGAAATATTGTGTGTGATACAAGAGAATCAATGCTGAATTTTTGGAGTGTGAAGGGCTTAAACCATGTTCTGCGGATAGCCAAGGAATGGTTAAGCCTGAGAAACCATAAACTTACTGATTGTGAGAATTCTCCCTCTCACTGCTCTATGTTTTCTGGTTAATAAGTTCAGAGCATTTATTGATGGATCAAAATAACACTCTGTACTTGAAAGCCTATCTATTTCTTGTACCTGTTTGGTGAACAATGTATTTAAATTCAAAAGAGAAAGAACAATTTACTTGCATACTATGGACGTGATACACTAAGAAGGAGCATTAGGGAAGGATAAAGATTGGCCAGAGAAGGATATACACTGTTATCTCCTTTCAACATTTCTTGGAATTTTTCTTCAAGTAAATAAACAGTCATCAGGTGTTTTTCAATGTTTGTTCTTCAAGAGCTGAGTCAAAAACTGGTGCCACACACTTCTCAGTCCCCATGCTTGCGTTAGAAGGGTAAAGTCAGCTTTCAAGCCTCATTGGCCCATTCTGTTCATAGAAATCCCTCTTTCCGTGCCATAATGCAACTTGGAGTATTGCACTTTCACCTTCCACTGAAGGTTTCTACCTGGCATTTTGTCAGTGCTCTTAAGTGTCAAGAAACCAATAGTCTCTGTAGACAATCTCTGATTGAACAATTGCTTGTATAGAGATTACACTAGTGAGCCTGAATATTCTCATTTAAAACTCTGACTGCTCTCACTCTGAAAGGTTATGGTATTTGCTTTGATGGGAAACTAAACTTTGGTGTCAGGGTCACATTATCATAGTCAAAGTCTGTATCCAGAGTGAATGGCTGAACCTCATCAGTATCTTCAACTTCCTGAAAAAGGGAAATGACCTACATAAATACCACTTTGCTAAATGTCTCTCTCTTACTAAAAAAATACCAGGTGTATCCACAGATGATTCATGACAGTGTATAGTTTCTGTTGGGCTTTGACACCTGTTGTGGTTATTCATCCAGCTGAAATACTACAATCAGTATGATATAAATTGAAGCATGATGCAACACCCATGTGCAGGCTCAATGGGGTTTGTTATTACTGGAAATTCAGAAGAATTCCATAAAACTTGATATTAAGAAACAATTATTCAGGAAAATCAGTAAAAAAAATGAACGAATTTCCAGTCGGCAAATGTGAAAAGTGTTAATTATGGGTCTTTCTCCAGGTCAACTGGCAAATTTATTTCATTGAAGTGAATATTTTTTAACATTATTTCTTATTGGTTGAAAAAAAAAGCACCAACTTAAACACACATTACCTCACTTGGGCTTCTTTGATCATTCTTTCTGTCACAATTATTTATTCTTGTGGAAATCTGTAATTGTGTTATTTTAGGTGACACAATTCCATCAGAAGTGTTATCTAAAAATCAGTAAAAGACAGAAGATTAGTAAATTTTAATCATTTCAATCAGCAATTTATTTCTATTAAACAGAGTCATAACATTCTGTTTATTTTCTGTCCCTTTACCTTGCTCCTCATTCATTTTGCTATCATCAACTTCCCCAGGAAGTACTGAAGCATCTCCTGCAGGTAAAGACAACAGTCTGTCAATGGCTTGGACCATATATTGACAATAGAGTGATAAACAGAACTAGAATCTGATAATAACTTTGACAAGAAATGCAACATCCTGATCCCTGCATCTACCTCCTCTTAAACCCATCCCAGAAGGAATTCAGTTTATCACAAAGAACTAATGTCAGTTACCAGAGGTTATCTGGTTTTATAAAACTGACATAAATGAAGGCTCCTCAAAAAATGTGTATATATTATCCATTACCTGGGAGATAATATATTTCTTTAGTTGCTTCAATGCCTAAATCAATGTTAGCTGGCATATCTCTTGCAGCTGAGTTCGTATCTTCTACATGCTTCAAAGAATTTGAGCTAGTCACTGCTGAGGGAGAATAACCAGATGTGAATATGCCATCCTCCAACACGGAGTCAACATTTGAAATGGACTCTTCATCCTCACTCTCCTGATCTTCACATTCAACAAAGTTATCAACCTGCGACAGGAACAAAAAACAAAGACTCAATAATTTTAACTTTATTATTCTGAGCTGTTGCCTACTGGACTACATGTTGGATCTTTCTTTCAAAAACTGCAACTTAAAAATAAGAAGAATTTTGCAAAGTCAGCTCATTATTTTTGTATGGACCAAAAGAGAGTGGACTGTGACACAACAGTTTACTGGTAGCATGGGATTGAAACTGGATTTACATGCTCTGCTGTAGCTCTACCAAGTTATCATGCTAGGATCAGAATGAAGCCAGTGCAGATTGAAATGTGAAGGATGAAAAAACTTATGGTAAACCTATTATTCTGGAAATAACTGATTTGCAAAGTACCAAAATAGCCGGGTCTGCATCTGTAATGATCTAATTCCAAGGACGCACACGAAAAATTGGTGCAGATTTATAGGTAGCATTAAATCAAAGATTATTACAGTAAATTTTAAATGTCATCTTCCAAGCTCCAAGTTAATTACAAATAGACTCAGCTCTATATGAGGGTAACATATATCAACCAATGTAACACACATCAACCAATGAAACACACAATTACCTGGAGGATTTTTCCACCTGATGACTCAGGTGTTCTCATGAGAAATGGAACCGATGTTGAACCAGGCCCTAGTACCTGCAGGATCAAAATCAAGAGTAACTGTTTAATTGAGTATCAATAAAAGTTTTCTTATCAGGTCTCTGTTCAGATGGGTCATTGAGAAAAAATGAAAAACTTTAAAAACCGTGTAAATTGTTTCCAGAAATAGCAGATCTTCAAAGAGACTTGTCCATATCAGTACCCCTGTCCCTGAAGCTGAGACAAGTGCCTCATTCCCCCAAAACCCCATTAATTCAAAAGAGCGTTTGTCTTTCAGAACTGATTATTTCCCATTTTGGGAAGTATGAACTTACTTCCTCGGGTATGCTGTCACTCTCTGTCCACTGGCCTTTTGTTTCCATTGAGTTGTGGTCGTCGACATTACGCTTTGCCATCTTGTTGTGACCGGACGCACCATTTTGGAGATCGTGGGTATTCCCTTGAGAACTGCCAATTTTTGATCCAGAAATATCATCTGTAAAAGGTACATTCGTTCAAGGAAATAATTTTAATTGAGCCAGCACCTGATGAAGGCAACTTAAAAACTGTATCAAGCAAATTAACTCAGAAGTTGATGAGCTTGTTTGATCTCTAGAAAGGATCTATTTGTTTCTCTAACAGCTAGGCTGTACCTATTTCAAGCTGTCACAGTTTGAATTAGAACTTTTTTGTCACTCACCCTTATTTAGGAACATAAAACTCTGCACAAATTCGTCGTAAGACTGCTCTTCCTTTCCAAATATCTCATCAAGTGCTTCCTTGGCATACTGATCAAGATCTGGAGAAGACTCGTCGCTCTTAACGACTCCTTCACCTTTCGCCATGATTGTTTTTTCAGTCTCCAAAGAGCCGAATGGAGACTGAGCACTAGGATCCGTGTAACCAAGCACCGAAATTGAAAACATACCCGAACGGCGGGAAGATGGTGAGAAAATTATCCTCCTTTAAGCCCATTTTTTCCAAGAAATGTTAATTTTAGCACTTCCTCAGGATAATTTGACTGTTCCAGTACCCTGCGTAGGACTAAGATAGGTTCTGACGTTTGCAATGCGAAATAATTCGATCATGTACATTGCATATAGATTGCATTTTTTGTAGACAATTCGCTTGATTATTAGTTGACAAGCTGAAATGCAATGCATTGCTAAGCTTTAGTATTATATTATACATTATGCTCCAACTAATTGAGATGCTGAATGTGACCTGCTGCCGATTCAGACGGCCCAGCTCATGCAGTTAATGTTATAAATCCTACATGTCAGCAACATGTCAGCTGTAACAAATCAAAGTGGCGTAACCCCTTTCTCTCCTAAAATTCAGTGAGATTCAGTATCTTAACTGTCGCTTTTATCTCCATAAATTTGCGACAATGTTCGTGAGATTTTTTGCCCCAATATGATATATATATATTTTTTAATTTTTGTCGATTTTCCCCGGTCTGCTTGACATTGTTCACATTTATCTGCATTTGAGGAGAAGTTATTCTTTGATCACATATTAGAGTAAGGGAATTGAGTTTAAATCTTCATTGTCTAATATTTATGATGAACTTGCATAAATTTAAGTTGATTTTCCAGTAGTGACTCTTAATTTTCTGACTCTCAAACACCCATAAATTGGTGACCAAATCAGTGAATTGCTTTTTAACTGTTTTATTGAATCCTTTATACAAAAAGCCTCCTAAACCGCCTGCTAAGGGAAAGAAGAGTGCAAAACTCTCAAAAGCAGAGAAGGAGAAGTTGAAGAAAGAAGAAGCAGAGAGGAAAGCCAGAGAAGAGGGTAAGAGATGTACTTCAGTAATTAACAGAGAGTCCTTGGCATTTTAGGGTAAAATTTCCACTTTAAAATTTCCATTTTAGGGTAAAAAATCCCACCGACACAGCACCACAGTTTCTTTAGAAACTTACCCCTTTATAATTATCACTAAGTGTGCTGAAAAGGAAATGGCCCAAATGGGACCCTCATGCATTCCGGCCCTGAGCTATACTGTAATTCCCATGGGAAATCCTTAAATTTTAAGCCAAAGTTATTAATATAGTGGCCAATCCTAGAGAACTGTTGTAATTGCTTAGACCTTCACTACAGTTTGCAGTTTACAATCAAGACAACAAAATACCATTTCTATTTTAAGAGGAGGCACGGCTTCAAGCTGAACAAGAACAAAGAGAACGAGAAGAAAGAGAAAGACAAGAAAGAGAGGAAAGAGAAAGACTAAGACAACAGGTTAGACTAGAAAATGGAAAATTAATTCTCCACTTATGTACGAATTAAGGAAGAGTGCATTGGACCTCTTCAGGAGTTTAATGATTCACTGAGGTGAACAAATTTCAATGCAACTCATCACCATTGATGGTGTTTGAATTATAATACAAACTCGATGAAATAGGAACATACTAAATGAATGGTAAAACTAAAAGTAATGTTAAAGTAAGAATTATGAACCAAATAATTGAGAACCTGAGGAATTTCTATGATTTTGCAGCTCTGAAATAATTTTTTTTCTTCACTGAATGGTCTTGTTACAGGAGAGTGCAAGACACCAGGCAGAGGTGGATGAACTCAAAGAGAAGATTGAAAACAATTCGCAACAGTTGAAAAGCTTACAAGAAAATGAGCGTGCAAAGGCAAAGGTTGGTGGAAATAAAAAAAAATTGTTGCTTGAAAAGCAAAGAGGGAGTGTAATCAGTGTTAAAAAATAATACAATAGTGAGCTTGTTGCTCATTCAAATTAATCATTAAAATTATTCAGGACCACCCTCAACTCTCCTTGAAAAAAAAAGGTTATTTTTTGTTCCTTCTATCCTTTCTCTCTCTTTTGTAATCAAACTCCATCTTTCTTTAGCTTCCTTCAGCTTTCCCTTATTCACTTTCATACTCTCACCTCTACCCCTTTTCCCATTATTCTTTGTACTCCAACCCATTTTTATTTCAATCTTCCCTCCTCCTCACTCACATTTCATTCATCTTGAACTACTCTCCTTCCACCTTCAAGTTAACTAAATGTTACTTCTTTTTTTTTTCTTCTGTGCTTAATTTATGGATATTGTATAAAAACAGCTACCTGCGTGTAGATATAAGTTTTTTTTTTGCCTTAACAGTGGGAGAGGTACATGCTGTGTGATGGAAACCCTGATCCTCTGAATACCCGTGATCTGAATACTTTTGTGAACCTGTGGAGAGATGATAAAGAATACAAACCCTTTCCAGTTGTACTCAGTGAGGGTGAAAACACTTTAAAGGTAAAATAGATCAGAATTTCTGCAATGATGTATTAAAACTACAATTCAGTTGTGTGTATTACTCAGGAGAAGAAACTGTTGGCCAGTTGTTCTCAATGATTTATCGGCACTGATCAGTTTGCTGAAAAAAGTTTATAAGAAAATTAAATGGATACATATCATTATTTTACAGCTTATAGAAGAACTTGAGGGTTTTCTATCAAATTCAGAAGATGAGGGTTTTACAGAGGATGATGTTCAAAGGCTTAAACAGGTTGATACTGTTTTTGATATCATTCTACTTTCAGTATTATAACATAGCTAGTAAATTTGTCTGACCAAATTCAATTGCGCAAGCGTGCTTCATATTCCTATTGTGCACACTCATGATGTCAGCAAACAAATCCCTCTAAAAAAAATTTTCATCAGGTTGAAAATGTTATAAAACAATTGGTTCATATGTCAGCTGTGCATTCATCGAGATATGAAGCACTTGGGAAGTTTGGAGAGCACTCAAGAACATCTAGCAACTCCAGCATCTTTCGTGCTCTCCAAACTTCCCATGTGCTTCAAATCTCGATGAACGCACACTGATGTAAAAACTAATTGTTAATTGTATTATCATTGCAATTCATTAAATATAAACAAAAGTCACATAGACTATACATGCTTGTTCATGATTGTCTGTGATCAAGGAGTGGCCTAGGGGCTAAAGATGCACAGAGTGTCAAAGTGTACCTGCCAACAAGGTGGACTGAATAATACAAGAGTTTTGTTGATAACCTGATTTTAGTCAGACTCCTGAAGGAGATAGTTCCTGAAGAGTTCCACAAAGTCTTGACACAACTATAAATTTCAGCTGTTAAGGTTACTATTCCATAGCTCTCACTTAGAAATTAGTAACACCAGATTAGCAGATAAACAGCCAATATTTAATTTTTGAGAAGAAGGTGGACAGTAGGTCCTGCATGGACACACACTCTTCCTTTCCCTTCTGATGAGAGAGAGGCACATGTAAATATAAGTGACCTGGACTGTGTGAAAACAAGGCTCGTTGATATGTTTCCTTTTTTCTTCACTGTACTCAAGACATTTAGCTTCCAATATTTGATGATGGTATAAATTGTACTCTTTTACAGTCAGTGATTAAACTTCAAGAATTGATAAGCTATAAGTTGGATGAGGCAACCATGAATCTTCTGCAGGTGACTAATTACAGCAGCTGTGTCTTTTAGAAATGATCAGCCTTAAAATTCCTTTTGCTATTTAATTAGACCATCAAAGAGACAGGTAATGAGAATTCAGAAAATCAAGATTAGCAAACAAAGAAATGTTTTGTCCTTAATTAAGAGAAGTGTCTAACAGATACAAAAAGTTGACAGGTGAAAAGTTTGTCAGTTTTATAGGAACTGAGAAGGAGTGTTCTGAACCACTCATCACAAGAGTAAATGAAACCACATGTAAACATTCTAATAATTGTTAAATATAACAAATTAAAATTCTACACAGTTTATGTCCATTAACTCAACAGTAACAATATGATCTATCCTAGAATGCTTCTGATGATGTAGATCCTGATACTCAAAATTTACAGTATATGAGTGCATCAGAAAACATAACGGTTTGTGTCTGGGGAAACATAGCCAAGAATCCAAGGTTTGGTGCATTTTTTTTTTTTTGTAGTAGACCAAAACTTGTAAGCCTTTATAGATTTTTTCCAACAGTCTGATCATTTAATTAACTGATTCTTTTGTCTAAATCAAGTGTTAATTTATTATTTTAATTAATACTTATAACTGATTACAGAATGAGCGATTATGGTAAACTATCTATTTTCTACCCAGTAATCATGTGCAAAGTTTCTAGTGATAAATAGTTAATACTGATAAGATATATATATTTTTTGCTTTATTTTGCTCCAGAGTGAAGTCATTTTCATTTGAGAAAATGGGATTTACAATGGACATTCCAAGAGTTATTTCCATTGGCAGTATGGCTGTTCGTGTCATGTACACTAAGTATGATCATCTATCACCGTTGTCCAAATCTTTCCATCCAAAGCTAAAGGTTAAGCCTCCAGAAGTTGTCGTAGATGAAGTTGTTCCTGCAGAAGAAGCTGATGGAGAAGGGGTGATGTTCTTTTTTTTGTTTTGTTTTGTTTTGGACAGTTCTAATAAAATGATTTTAGCTATAACTAAGCCTAAAAGCAAGGTTTCAGATTTAAACCAAAGATCCAACTAATTATCAGTGAAGTTGTATATATTTAGTATTCTGATTATAACTGACCAATCATTCCTTGACCCTATAACCCCTCAGAGAGACTAGCTTCCAATTTGTCTTTACAATATCACCCCAGGATCCAACATTAAGGTCACAAGAATAAGGGAAATGATCAACAAATTAAGAAGCTCCTGATCATTGAGCAAATTCTTCTTATCAGCACCTTAGGAAATGTCAAGGGGACAGTATCGAGAATATGCATACTGATGTTAGGATGAACAAGGTTACATTATGTTGAATTTTTTAAATCACAGTACAGGACAGTGTGTCCTTTGTTCTAATTGCATTATTTGTGATGCAACAGGCAGGTGAAGGGAATGAAGGAGCAGATAAGGAAGGAGTAGATGACACACTTGAGGCCATGCCACCTAAATCTGCATCACAAGCGAGCCGATCTAGTAAAGCAAGTAGGAAAAAGGTGAGCAAAAAATTAAAGATAACCATTACATTTCAATCAAATGTGAAGTCTTGAGGTTACACTATGTTTTTATTTGTTAATGACAGCCTAGGTCAGTTCAACATGAATTTAAAACTGCTTCAACAAAAAGTTATTACATATTATTTAAAATTAGTTAGGTGTTGTGAGATCTTGCAACTAATGAGGTTAACTATTTTTTTATATATAATTACATCCCCTCAGATATCCATTAAACAGATTTAATCAGCTTATATGAAAAATCAGCCTTTGCTAAATATATTAAATGAAACTAAAAATTGTGTAAAATTAAGGTGTGAATAGAGGGTCTCTTACTTTCTTTGATTTCTTAGTATTTTGATGGAGTGAAATAATCTTTATTGTTTGTGATTTTCTGTATGTGTTCAACAGAGTGGAAGAGCCAGTAGTGGTAAAAGCAGTCGAAGTCGTAAAGCCAGTGCAAAGAGTGTAAGAAGTCAGGTCAGTGAAAATGAGACTCAGCAGGACAAAGAGGGTGAAACTAAAGAGGGAGAGCAAGATGGTATGATATACATTTTGTTTCCACAACTCATTATATACCGTATTATTTTAGAAAGCACTTCTGTATTGTTAATTTAATTTTTTTGCATTTACAAGACTTAGTTCAATGCTTAGTTGTGAGAGGTTCTAACTGAGTGCAGTGTTTATCTAAAAATCTTGATATTTTAGACAAGATCTGCATTTCCAGAAAGAGGGCTAAGTTATGGTTGCCACTTATCACTATTTTAGCCCACACATGCATCCTTCATTTGGGGGCCATGCTATATGCAATAGATGGGACAATCCCAAGGTCAAATTGAAATGATCTTTGTTAAATTATGCAACAAATTCTTACTTTTTTTGGTAGATGAGGTATTTGTTGAATGAAAATTTTATGTAGTACATGATTTTCTTGTTAGGTGAAGGAGGGGAAGAAAATCGTGCATCTACTGATCAAACATTGGATGAGGCTGCTGGGGCAGGTTTGGAAGGTGGAATAGAGGAAGAAGAGGAAGAAGATGATGATGTTGTAGACCTAAGAGCATTCAGTGCCATTGGCCCTGTCATGATTATTGAACTGTTAGATCTTCCACCACAGCCAAAACTTGCGAATGGGTGGATTATGCAGCAGAGTAAGGGCTCTTACAATTATTTCTTTATTGCGTAGTTAATTAAATTTTAACCAAGAAAATACACAGTGTATGTAGGCCAACTCTCTATCCCTACTTACTTGTATTTTAGATAGAAGTGATACCCAAACACAAATTATTGTCTTCAAAATCAAAGTTACTGAAGTGCAGCTTGAGGTGTATTGCATTTCTCTTAGTAGTTTACAAAGTTAGAAAATCTTTTGCCTTTTGTCATGTTAGTTGTATCATCAGAACTCAAAAGAGTCAATTATCAAGTTGAAGGGCAGACTCCAGCAGATACAAACTCGACAACAAGTACCCCTGCTCCACCAAACTCTGCATCGGCCACACAGCTGCAAGCAACCAACCCTCCAGTGATGATCACCTGCAAGTGAGTTTGACAGTACTTCTGTATGAACTTCCAGTAATGTCATAACCAAAAAGGCTCCTTACTCCCCTTTGGCAGTGTAGAAGAGGGTAACATTGGCTGGAGTAAATAGGTGTTTTGTATTTTTCCTATGTGTTAGGCTTCCAGGAGATGTTATGTATTTTGAGCAACCTCAGCTGGCACTGTGGGACTCCATGAAGAACAACTGGAGGCTTGATGCATTTGCAGACTCCCAATATAATGAAGGTTTGCAATGATGATACAAACATTATAATAACATAAACTTGCCCTCTATAATTATTCATTTTTGACAACAACACTCTAGGGTAATAAGTCAATACTGGTTTAATTAAGTACCAGTAACAACTGGCAGAAGTGGATTCACAGCAGTCACTTTTGAATTTATAATAATAAAAGAATAAAAGAAATTTAAACAAACCTACAAGTCATTAACAACCAGGGTAATATCATATAAAGTCTTAGAGAAAAAAAATTGAACAAATGCAAGAATGAAAGAGAGCTAAGCTACTGGACTGTGGGTCAATGAGGCTTGCAAAGAAAAACTTAGGATGTTCATGTATCATCTTTATCTTTTGACAGAGGAAAGGACAGTCGTATTCAAGATGTCTACCTTTGGGCCCATTGCTACTTTTCAGGTATGATTAAATTTGTGAATGATCATTTTTAGGAGTAGTTTCAGCATATAGGCTTAGATGGTTCTTTTTTGTAAGCTCATTAGTCAGAGCAAATTTCCTCAACTAGATTTCAAATAAGAAAGAAGAGAAAAAGTTTCTTGATTTTCATGAGGAAGATTTAAATGAAGACTGAATAATTTGTATACTCTTTATTGATATCCAAAATTCTCTACCTTATAAATTTGTGATGATTATGTTCTATTTTTGTTATTTTTACAGGATCTTTATCTGAACATGCCATTTCAGTCATGGGAGCTACGTCCTCATGCCACAAACAGTTGCCTGTTTACACTCATTGCTGCCATCATTGAACTGGAAATTGAAATTAAGGTTAGCACATACTAGTAACAGGTATTTTTAAAGAAAAGAAAAATGGTACCAACATAGTAACTTACAATAGTCTCTGCCTCAATCTGTTGTAAATCTTTTAATTTTGATTTAAAACACAAGGTGTTCATCAGGCCCAGAATATTTTTAGGATTTCATCCCTGACTGTGAAGCTAGTTTATTTATTTCAATTTGAACTGCTTTCAATTTTTTTCAGGATTCTTTGTGTTCACTGACACAGCCAAATGATGTCTCAGAGCTTTCTCATTTGAAGGGAAAGTGGATGAAGCCACATAAGTTGATTGAGGTATTTTTTATTAGAACCATAGTAACAATGTGATACATTACTTTTAGCATAGCATGAAGAGAGTATGGCAGGTACCATAAACCTTGGGATTCCTAACTTACAGTACATCTAGTGTTGTTTAACAATCCTCTTTATGGCTTGAAACTTAATATTCTGTACTCTTCAGCTCCCATACTAATTCCCATCAAGTTCCCAATTTCTTGGGGAATTTCCCTCTATCCACATCCCTCTACTTCAGTCACTGTCCAGTGAATGTTGTGTTAATTAATTGTTTGAAAGAGCTCTAGATTATTGGACTGACCAAATCTGTATACAGGCCATGCAAAAGGCAGGAGTGAATGTCTTTCCTGCAGTTGATGCAGAGAAGTATGTCAGCTTAAATTCCAAGGTACCTATATGTTGTGGATAATTGCTTCTGGTGTCATTTACAGTGCTGTAGTAAAAGCTCTTTCCTGCAGAAGAGTTTTTACTTAATGCAACATCTAGCATTATTTTTTTTTACTTGTTCATGGCATTTGATTGATGAGATGCAGACGCTCTGTTTTGCAAAAAAAGGGTCATATTCTTTAGTAAGAACCTAATGCAGCACTTCTTATTTTAAAAATAGCAGCTGAGAATTTATTTTTTGATGTTTTTAAAATGCAATGTGGATTCAAAAGAGGATAAAAGCTATGGTTGCAGTGAGGACACAAAAATTGTATCTTTTAATGTGTAGTTCTGTGTTTAAAAGCATGAAACATCCTTCAATTATAGGAAGACTGGCTGGAGAACAACATTTACCAGGAAATGGCATTGACAGCATCAGCATTTGCTTATACATGGAGTAAATGGAATGCTGATTGTGGCAAAGATAAAATTATCATACAAGCTGTTGAGCAGCTGAAAGATGAACAGCCTCTAGAGGTAGTTCGAATCTTTTTTCAGACTTCAACTCATCTTCACATTTTCCTGAACAAATTTTTTTTAAGGTGGCTCCAAAAAAATTAATAGTCCTGAAGCCTGTTTCTCAAAATTCCAGGTAACTTAGTGGGCCCTTAAAGCTGTTCTATCTTCATTTTAGATGTGGGTTTCAGAATTTTTGGGAATTATACAATAGAATTTTCAGCTAAAGACACAAAATTGACTGGTTAGGGTGCCAGAACCTGCTCCTCTATTCGTTAAATTTTGATATTCAGATATGGCTTTGGCTGTTAAGTTACCGGGACTTTCAAGAAACTAGCCTCAGAATTTCTTATGTTCTTCTTCATAGCAGCTGGAAGTTAATCTTGAAAAATAGTTTTCCTAAGATAGCATCTAGAACTTCAGTAGTACGGTGAGAATTTCTGATCTTGATTTACAACCCATTGTGAGCTCCTCAATCAAGAACAACTTTTAGAATCTCTGGTTTGCCATTATCCCCAAATTATATATATAAATGATGAAACTTTGTTCCTTGCCTTCGGCTGCCAATGCTTTTTGCAGTATTTGTTATGAATAATATCCTTCTTCAGTCTATGACACAGTTTTATTTGTTTTTTGTAAAATAGGAGGATTGGTCATTGTTTAACATAGGAACACATAGCTCCTGTAAGCTAAGGATGAAAGAAGAAGACAGTGAGCTTTCTCATGACATTGCTGAAAATACTCAGGTGTGTTTGTCAGTTTTGTTGATGTCTATATATATTTTTTTTAAACAAATTTTTGGTGCATGTTTGCTGGACAAGTTATGCACACGTCAACATTGATCCAACAAGATGCACTCTCATGCACTGGAATAGCTCTCTCTAACTTCGATCATTTTGACCATTTTTTGTAGCTTCATTCTGATCTTTACCATATGGTGCTGGATGGAGCTTCAGAAGAGGCACAACAGAGGGTGAAAGCCTCTCACTTTTTATTTATTGACTGTGTATATCAGCTGTTAAATGCAACAAAAATCATCACATACTCTTAAAAATATTCATAATTATGCTGGGATGCATGGATTTCAATTTATTTGGTAATACCATTGTATGTTCCTTACTATGTTGCACAGTTCCCTACCAGTATTTGAGGCATTTCAGTGTGCGTCTAAATTATTTCATTGCTTGGTGCCTATGCATTACATTTACAAGGAAGTACTTATTTGTGTTAGTTTTGTACATATTTTCATCCTGAAACCATAGAAATGTAGAGAGCCTTTCTTGTTGGTGATGTTTTGGATTACATCTGTGTTGATGGAAATAGCAGATGATACTTCATTTTTTCACAAACTATATGATTAATCAGGACAAAGGAACTATGTTGTAATTTTTCAATATTTTATTCTTAAACCTGCTTCCTGGAAATATTTGTATATAGGTATAACATTTTTTATTTCAACAAGAGTACTTTCTATAATAACTTGGTAAAATGAAATCATGTTGGCAATAAATAAACAACACTCATCATAGAGCTTGCAGGTCAGAAATAATATGTAGCATCATAAAATCATATAGATAACATCCTCTAAAAATTCCCATCCTATTATTTAAAAAGGATAATAATGCAAGGGAACAAAATGTTCTCTGGCGGGTCGAATAATATTCAAGTACAAAATTCCACATCCTTTGACATAAAAATTTCCGGCGTGTTGAAATCTATACTTGCGCCAACATGCTTTGAAGAGACCTTCGAACACTTGAAAAGTCCTGTTGTTGCTGAAGGCAAGAATACAAGAAGGGCCTGTTAGAAGTTGTTGATCAACTGGAAAAAAGAGCTTCATTTGCTTCCATTAATACTTAGCTTAATTTGATATTTAATCCCTGACTTTTCCCTAATTAAGTTACACTCTTCAGCGTCAAAGACAGTTTAAATCACCATACCGTATCCATTAGAATCTTTTTTTGCAGGACGTTAATCTCCTTGCGAAGTTGCTCCTGGACACTAACGTGTTGGGCTTGGTGATTTCTCTGCATTTGTTGTAAGTTCTTAGAATGTTCTTCATGAAGCTGGCGTACCCGTTTGAGTCTTTGACTCTGCACAATGCGTTGTTGTTGAAACAGCTTTTGTTGCTGTTTGTACAGATTCTATATAAATGAAATAAGCATATTAGTTGTAACTCCTGCTTGGCTGACTAAATGACCAATTTTTAACGATCTGGGGACTTGATGAATGGGTGCAGCGGTAGAATGACGGTCTGACTGACTGAAAAACCGACCAACTAACTGAAGAAAATTAGCTAAATATTCATAAAATTTTACAGGCTAAAATGTAAGCCTGTCAAACTTTGCTAGTCAATTGTTCAATACCTCCAATTTCTCTTCTGCTTCTCTTGTTTTTTGCAAATCTGTTTCCCACTGGTTGAGCACGTTCATGACCTGTTTGCTGAATTCATCATAATGAGTGCCTCTAATGAAAAAGTTAAAATAGTCTAAAAAATGACCTTGGCAACTAGGCACACAAATGTTTACCCAATCTTCATTTTCGCGACCTACAGTAAATAGAAAGCTATGGAGATGTGATAATGATATATATGTAAATTTTTTTTACCTTTCGTGTTGCTGTGACCGCCACACCTCGTCAAACTTTCGAGTGCTTGCCTTCATTGAGGCTTGCGTGAAGGTTTGAATTCTCTTACGTTTGGCTGTCAACGTCTTTGTTATGTCAGCTAAAAGCAAAACTCCAAGAGCTTTATGTCAACGCTTTTGCTTAACTAGTTCATTTCAGTACCTGAGTGTAGTGAAAAAAATTGTTTCTAACCTCCAAAACTGTTCAGCATTCCTTGCATCTCAAGATCACTTCCGCTGTAAGAGAAGAAACAACGACAGAAACAGTAATAGAAATAAAGACCTTGTGTAACATGCCAATCAACCTCCACCTCGCCCCTACATTATGGATTGTAAACTGTAGTACTGTAATGAACTGTTTTAGCACCATTGCTAAAAAAAGAGACATAAATGACAGGCCCTAGAGATAGACTAGGTACCGTTTAGATCGTACCTAAACGTAATGAGAGCGTGGGTTTATATGCATAAAATGGAGCTATGCTATCGGTGGGAACATGCTGAAGAGAAGACAAGAATAGATTAGTTGAATGAAAAGCACACGTACCGCGGAGATTAAAGTCGGCCGTTAGTGTCCTAAATCCAAAATCGGCCACTAGGCCAGAATCGGCCAATAAGGGTTTAATAGTTATCAACTCAAACAATAACACTAAATTATCCTGTTATACTCTCTCACCGACGCAGCACCACAGTTTCTTTAGAAACTTGCCCTCTTTCAACGTAATGAGAGTTTAGAAGAGTTAGACGATTTCAGGTTTCTTTTTACTGATGGCATAAACGTACCCCTTGTCATATTCATCATCTTCGGGTTCAGAATCTTGGAACTCCGAAGCAGGAGTAACAGCCTCTCTCTTTTTCGCCTTGACCACCTGTGCTGGTTTTTGTTGCTGTTGCTCAGGTTTCGCTGTAACAAACGAGATTAACTGTTGCTAAAGAAAGCAAGGGCGAGGGGTGGCTCTCTGGATAAAGAGATGGGCTCCCGCTCGGAACTCGTATGAATTGCTTTTCTAATTTTCAGTAGCTAAATCCAAGAGCTTCTTCATACCAAATCGACCAAAATTCTAAACGTGAGCTTACCAAATTTATAGAGCAATATTCATCCAAGAACCAAGAGGAATCCAAATTCAAGCTCGCATGGTTTCAAGTCATAAAAGTTCAACATTGAAAACTCACTCCAGAGTGGAGCCCACACAATCCAAAATAACAAGAGAAGATTCCTTTTTCCAAAGTAGGCCACAGACCTTACTAACTGCTTAAGCAACTTTTTGTTGTTGCACAGGGTTTCACTCTGATGGTGACGGAAGATCAAACGTCAATTACTAAAAGAAGTGGGACGAATTTTATGATTTTTCTCTATCAGGGGGAGGGCTCCATGTTGAGAATCATATGAATGGTTTTCCCAATATTTACGTCGGCTGTGTCAAAGAGCACCCATCTGACAAATGTGTCCGTTTAAATTGCAATCACGTTGATCACAACTCTTTATATAAATGAAATCTTGGTACAGTAACATTCAATCAAGAAATTACAGGGATCGCCATAAGGAAAAATATTTAGTCAAGACAAGTCAGCTTTGAAAATCATTTCGGTACTAAGTGTTTAATTTTTTAAATAAAAAAATCTTTTTTTGTACTAAATGCATATCGAGATAGAATGGTTTTCTAAAAATTCCAAACCAAAGCTTACCTTCAGAGAATTTGAACTCGTCTTCATTTTCGTAAAACTCCTTTAAATTTTCTGTGCACTTTATAGCGCTAGTCTTTCCTTTCTTTGGATTGGAGGGCATAATAAACTTGTACACGAGAACACTTGGAAAAAAAAAAGCACCATATTAGACTATATGAATGAGAAATGAACGGAAATATCCTATATGTTTACTACTTAGCGTCAAAGTCTTTAATTTTTAGCTAAGAATATCATAATGGGCTTAAATGTCAATGACGGAAATATATATGCTCGTACGAAGGCAAGGTTGTGATTATGCAGCAGGAAAGTTTTTCCAAACTCACTGTCACTGTGCAACCTAAAGAAAACAAGATTTTCGGTGGCTTTCTTGTGATTATTCTGAGGGTGAGATTATCCTCAAGTACTGCAAAATTTAATTACAGAAGGAAAGAGAAACGCTTACTGTACCTGAATAAATTCTGTCTCCCTGAGTGCCGATACTGACATTTCCCGCGCTTTTCACCCGGCGCTAGAGCGCGCACCAAAGTGGCGGGAAATGGTTGGACGCAGACCTCCGCAACCATCAGTGAACTGGGCTACCGACCGAAGCTTTGAAACGAGAGAGTTTCTTTTCCCAAGACTTCATCGGAAAATACTCGCTAAGTAAGAGGGTGATATTACAGTAAGGAATGGAAAATGATTAAAAGCCTGAGATCCGGAAGTGTTAATATCAACGCAGGCTAAAATTTAGGCCCAGTTGTACGGGATTTTGAAGGGAAAATTTCCCTTATCGGTTTAAAATTGAAGAGAGATATAGTGAGTTTCAAGTAGCTTCGAAACAAGTTACTTTTTCGTGCTAGGAAATAGACGTGATAACAATAGAGTTTCAACTCTTGTCTCCTGAGGCATATTTAGTCTCTTAATTGCAATCTCTCCCCCACGCGTTACGAAGTGGAGAAAATAACGCTTGAATGCGAATGAATCATTCATATCAAGAGAGTATAAACTGTTCGTAATCTCTTGTTCATACGAAACAATTTTTATCAAAGTTGACCATATGAGGGAAGAAAAGGCTTTGTTAATATTGTACCTCACCACGACTAGCAGTCTTTTGTTACAATATTTAATCATTAAAATGATAATAATTTGTGGAACCTAACTGTAAATACTTCGCTCATAAAGCGAGTTGCCACGGTAACATAAAATAATTGTTTCACACCGGATTCTTAAAGGAGATGTACAGTGGTTTGAGTCAAAACTTAACCTTTCTTCCCCATGGTGTAGTATTGTGTTTAAATCTCCCTACAACTTTATTTAAACTGTATAATATCCTCTCTAATTTCCGAAAACAAAGCTCCTAACTTGAAATCAAGTGAATTTCTTAAATAATGCCCTCGTAAACTCTATCATCAAGGCCCGCGCAGGAGATATTTGAGTAGGGACTAAAGACGAACGCATAAGTTTCAGCTTAAACGGCAGTGGGGATAGGGGCATTCTTAGCAGGACGAGTTTTTTTTTTTTTTGAAGTGGGGGGCTAAAGTTCCCCCCTCAGCCCCTCCCTCTGCGCGGTCTCTGATCAAGACCAACTATCTTTCACTATTAGCTAATTCAAAGTGAGGATTGCGAGGAACAAATAAATAAAATGGCGTTTGGCACGGTCATATAGTATTTATTTCATCATCAGCTAAATAGTTTTGATAATAAACGTTCACCAACGTGACAAGACTGGGGCGAATACATCCCTCTGACAAATCATTCGATCTCAGTTAGGCTATAGATAAGCTGTACACTCGCTTATTTCGTTCGTGTCAAATTACAAGATGTCACCGAGGTTTAATATCTAGGCCAAGCCTTTTCTCCCCAATCGGATCCATACTGTAGAAAGAGCTCCATGTGACATATCCCCTTTTTTCGCAATCGTTCAATCAAAAGCACGAAGCTACAGGTCCCACAACTCTAAAGGGTCACAACTGGTATATTTAGATCCCTGAGAAATTTCTTCACCGCCTCAGTGTATTCCTTGTTGTGGACGTAAAAGTGAGAAACATGCGGTGAACTCTCGAAACATTGCTGACTCACAATCATGTTCAGTTCATTCTTCCAGTAATCTGCGCATGCTTGGCACGTGTCCACATCAGCGACTTTATCGTCCTTAGAGAACAAAAACAAGGCCGGTGAACGGACGGGGTTGTTGTGGAACAAGTGTGAATGCGCCAAGTAAACTTTGGTCGTGTATCTTGCAAAGATCGCCAAGTACGCCTCAATGGACGATTTCATCAACCAACGAACGAAGGGATTTTCGGAGGCTGCGTTGGAAACACCGTAAGGAATCCCGTGGAAGTCCACCGGGCTGTCGAGCACTTGTCCGCGGATTCTTTCCTTCACCGACGAGAACCTATCTTGCTTTACCATTAAGTTAAGAACGTGGCTATAAACATAGCCTCCAACTGAAAAGCCATGGACTACCACAGGCCTATGTTTGTTTTCGTCAGATATTAGCTTGTTCAACACTTTGGTGGCTACTTGTTCCGCTTTCTTAGGCCGGAGAATCTGCAACGAAAGGGTTTATAAATCAAACTGGTTTAGTTTAGAGCTAATTCTTCCTTGATTCTGTGGCTTTGTTATCTACTGCGAAATCGTGCCCAAAATCTTAAATATGGCACTGCGGAAAGATTCATTATCAAGAAAGTGCTTATCGAGACAGAATACAGAGACCTAGCTTCTTAAATCGATGCCTAGTTGCTTCCCCCGCGAGCCTAAGCGAGAAGCCCCTCCTCTATCTTTCCCTCGCGCGCGGCATTGACGCGTTCACATCTCAAGCAAGGCGCGCAGTACATGATTGCTCTTTGCGCAAGCCTATTTAATCTGTACCCTATATTACTAAAGAACTCCATTATGTGGGCTTCAACTGAATAACATTACTGACATCTAGCTATACGTTTTTCTGTTCCAAAAACCAATTATTTTAGGGTGTCATTTTCGTAGGAGCCAATTTTCTGTGCCCAAAGAAATGACTCATAGTATTGTAACGGAACAATGCCAGTATCTGAACACCTATGCACCGACCCCTCTCCTAACCCAAAATTATCCCTAACTTATTATCAGTTCACTGTTGTTGGGTTAAGGGAGGGGTAGGGTGGGCAGTTGCTGAAATACTGACATTGATCCATTGTGACATAGCTCACCTACAAAATATTTTTCTTACCTCCATGACCTCAAGTTTTACAGTAATGACATCAGCTCCGTATTGATGATACAGCTCACCATATTTATGGAGATGACGGCTTTTGGCCAAAAGCCATCCAAACAGGACCACCACAGGCCTGGTGTCTCCTCCTTGCCTATACTTCTCTGGGCATGGATGGACCTCTAAACTTTGTCTAAGGGCACTGCAGTGAAAAGGCCTGAATGCAAAGAGCCATAAGGTCTTTGATACAGTTGACTGCCATAAAAAAGGGTAAAATAGTGATTATGGATACCATTACAGTTTACATACAAGATAAGGGTGACGTAAAATGATAACCAATACCAGCTTGGGTACCACTCTTAAAGCAGAAACCGATATTTAGTGATCCCCTTGAAGCAATGAATGTCAAAGTGGAAACTATCTTGTGCTTTAAGGTTCATTTCCCAATAAGGGCATGAGTAGGATTCTCTAGTGGGGAAGGGGAAAGGAGGGCAGAGGGGGGGGGGGAGAGAAAGGAAGAGATGTGTTTTAGTTTCCATGGAGAAGGGAAGTGCCCAAAGTTTTTCTTCTCATTTCCAGCATATTTGTTAATAACCAAAGATTAAGACTAACCACTCTCTTATGTTAAACGTAGACTGTTAGCTGTCCTTCCTGGCCATCTGAATGGGCTAGAATAGGTTAATGGTCTAAGTTACTTTTTTTATCATCACAGGCAAGTTACTGCCCCCAAACCCCACACCCCCCCCCATCCCCTTTAAAATATTGTTTAGCATCCCCTGAGAGGTAATCTGCTGCATATCATGCAAACCAACCTAAAAATTTCATTTGGTTATAGAGTAACAAAGGATGCTGGCACAAGTACATATTAATCACAATAGAAGTACAAGTCCAATTCTGTCTAGTAGAAGTAACAGGTTTTGTTGCCCTGTATCTGCAAATGATCCCCCCTTCCAAGCAAAACTGAGTTGCTATTTTGAGATGACACCTCACTAGCCATGCTTTATTGTTTCATTGAGGTGATTACATTTTACGGCAGGTGGGTACCTAAAGAGTCACTTCTGCAATTAAATTTTAAATGATTGATTTTTAGGGGAGTTGGGGTTCACTAACACAGAATAAAAAGGCTTTATACTTCAGCAATCAAAGAGAGAGATGCAAATTCTTATCTAAAAAACTATGGAGTGTAAGTGGTATCATTGAAAATGATTACCTTACTTTTCCTTAAGACCATAAACACAAGTTATAAATGCATTAACACTACAAGACCCCCTTCAACAGGTTGCTAAATTGGTGACTAAGCTGTAAATTTAGTTTCAAAAATTCTGCTTGTGTGCTATTTAACAAATAAATTCTATGTTGCTGTGCATCTGCTCAGTGATGTCAAAATGTGGCAAGAACAAGAAAGTGGCACAAGAGGCACACCTGAGTGTGCCAATGAAGTTATTGACACATATTGGCATCTTCAGTCATTTATTACTGTACAGCTCCATGGTAACATGGAGTCTATTTGTTTTATGTAACAGAAAATAATAACGCAAATGGCAATGTCATAGTTGTTTCTATCCTTCAGTTAATCATAACCATTACAATTTCCTTAAACGTGATTGGTGCATTAGCTGCTTTATTTTTCACTAATAATTCTATAGAGCTGTAATTGGACAGTGTAATCAGACAGGTGGCTGTAATCGGACATCTGTAAGTGGACAGTTGAAGAAGCTAATCATACTAAGTCCACTCAGCCCAATCCACCAATCACAGAATTAATCACAATAACCATAACAACAACCACTTATCCTAAAAAATAATTGAGGAATTTCCAAAATGGAGAAATTTTTTTACTAGAGACATCTACGTGAGATATTTGACCTAAATGTATTTGTTGTTTTTGGAAATTGTAACGGCTATGATAACGGGATTTCTTCTCATCCAATTCTGTCTGTAATCATACTCGTGATTGGCGAATTGGACTCCTGCTTCACTTCATTCAATTTTGTTAATCACTCATATGATTACAGACCGAATTGTACTCCACTCGGTCCTATTACCATTGTAAATTATAAGAAAAAAGCAATCTCAGTTTGTGTTCTCTTTTATTGACAAAGCCATCACAACTGATGGTTTTCCTGGTTCTCTTTCCCTATCTGCTGGACTGTGTGATGAATTATCATGGAGAACTCATTAATTTATTATCGCTGAATGAATCAATGCATAATTTTCAAAGATTTATTTAAAAATATTTCCAAACATCCACGGCCAATAAATAACTATAAAGGTTTTTTTTAATGGATTTAAGATGAGATTTTGAAGAGCATTCTCATCAATACTCCACGTGTTCGGAGCACAGAACACATAACTTTTTACATGCATAAATTTATGACGTTCGGCAGAATTCCTAGGGAAAACCTTGAATCTGAAATAATTTCTGGCTCACTCACAAGTCGATGGGAGAAATATTTGCGTTCAAAATGATGAACATAAGTAAAAAATCAAAACACTGACATCACGTCTTGCACGCAACATCGATCGAGAAGGTAAATAAATGAAAATTCGCGGTAATATTAAGTTCCAATTGCAAACAGTATGTAGTAAAATATCCAAACAAGAGGACTTTGAACTTGTCAATCAATTCGCTTTCGACATCGCGAGCCAGTGCACAGTAGGTCTTCCCCTTCAATTAATTCGAACAAGATAGTGCTGGAGCTTGCATCGCACTGGATGAATATTGAACTGCAAAAAACCTCTGCGCTTACCTTAACGTTATTCCTGCAAGTCCTGATCATGATTCTCCACGTGGTGAGCTTATTCTACTCTAATTATTCACGCGCTGCATAGATACGAAGCATTTTGAAGTAATTACTTTAACACTCTTTCTCATCTGTGATTGGTTGTAACACACGATCGCAATTGTTATTTATTCAAAGGTCACGCGTTCGGCGAGTGCTTGCGAAATTTGTCCCAATAAGTTTTGCAAGGGTACAATACAACCCAAATATAGATAAATCAATCAGAAAATTAAAATGAAACAACATATGCAAATCGCACGAATCTTGGTAGAATACGCGTCAGGGAAAACTTGTTACACTTGGTACGAGGCCGCGGATCCAGCTTCTTTCTGTGATTGGTCAATTTATCGGCTTCGAGCTTCGAGCGGAAAATCTAGGTCTGTAAATAACAGTGGAGACCTCGAACGAGGTTAGTTGGAGGGATTCAATTACTTTCTGTGTTTTCTATAATAAACGGACCATACGCTGAAGTACACGTTTGAGTTTAATTGCAAGATTATTACTACTTTTGTAGACATAGGAAAATCAAACATATGCACTTCGGTGAAGAAACGAATATAAGAGATCCTCGCAGCTATGAACACTACTGAGCTAGTAGTTGAAACAAGACCTGAAAAAAATTCAGGCCCGTACGGCATTTGCACCCATGACCTCTGCGATACCGGTGCAAAGGTTGTGGGTGCAAATCCCGTACGGGCCTGAATTATTTTCAGGTCTTACAACCATACTAGCTCAGTAGTGCTCATAGCTGCGAGGATCTATTATATTCGTTATCAAAACTTTATTTAATTCTAATTTCTGTTAGACTTGGTTTCATTTTTTTTTCCTTTCAAAATCTTATTTGAAATATATTTATGTTGAATTTATTTGTATTTTCATTGATTCTTTTCGTAAATTTTAAACATAGTAAGTTTTACACAAGCCAGTTGTCAAAAAGTTTTCGGTGACAAGATAAACAATTGTGTTTCGTGACTTGTCACTGTTCTATGAAAAGCAGTAATAAGCAAGCAAGCTGAAATAATTTGGAAGCATCCCAAGTATCGTATTGAAATGAAGAACAAAAATATAAAATTGTGCAATACTCATGAAATTTTGTTAGTAGTTTCTAAATGTATCCCATGATGCTATCGAAGTGGCCGCACCCCTTGAGAATAGAGCGGATGACGTCAGGGCACGAGCGAAGGAGCACATGGTACAGAACACAGACGGCTTGTAACCCGGACCAGTGAGGAAATTATGCCAAGCGCTTCATCGCAATCTTCCATGCAGATCACAGCGCAAATGGAGAACAACGACCTGACCAAGAGTGTCTTGAGCTTGTTGGAGAAGAAAGTTCGTAATTTGGAAAAGCGCAAGGTGAGGTTTCGGTCGAATCGCTCGACAATCGTATCGGTCTTTTCTACCACGCCATTATGAAGATATTTGTGTTTTTTAAACCTCCAAAGAGATATCCGTTTCTGTTCTTAGGGAAAGCTTGATGGCTACAAGAAGCTGGTCGACGCTGGACAATCATTGAACGATGATCAAAAGGTGCGTTCATCAAAAGCGAATTTTAGTTCTTTGGGTATCGTAGCGATGAGCCGAGTAAGACAGAACAGTTGTCCAATTTCGATTGAAGTTGCCAGGTGTGCTCTTGGGTAAATTAGGAAGTCTTTCACTGCAAGATCAAGTTTCTTTTCAAGATTTAATGAATTGTTCACTACACACGAGATGGGCAGAAATCTCCAGAAAACGTAGATATTTGACGATTTGGAGTTACAGTAATAGGGAAATCTTGTCTGGTATGTGTAATATTTACACACTATCTGACAATTCTCCACGCGGTTTACGAAATGATGACTTCACATAAAGGTAAAATGCATTACCCCGGCTTTAAGTTGACATGTTTTGGTCAGTGAATCACAGGTTATTCTCCAGATCACAAGTGAAGCATGAACTGATTTACTGATCAGGAAAGTATTTTGACGGAGACAATTGTTCATGGAACAAATTCAAAACGAAATATTTTGGTCTTTCTCCTTTTTGGTTTTCCTAGTTTGGTCAGAAAAGTCATGTTATTTCTTGGCTCTGTAAAAAAATCATGATTAATTTATTTTATTAGATTAGGATATTAACTTCTTGCAGGAATAATGTTTTGGAAATTTAGACAATGACAACTGATATTTTTTATTTATTTATTTGTTTATTTATTTTTATTTATTTATTAATTTTTATTTATTTATTAATTTTTAATGGTTGGGTTCAACCCATTTACCTTGAAATGCTGATGTCTCTAAACTGAATCTTTATCCGACTGATGTGGTTAGAACCACTGAAAGCCTTGGGAAAAGCAATTACAATACTGCCTCGTGTTGACAAGTCAAGCCATGATAACGTGATGGGTAATTTCTATTGCATTGCATAGCACCCTTCATTCCCAGGAACTTTAGAAAGGAGGCATTGTAATAAATGAGTTAGTATGTGCACTATGACAAGTCAATTTAGCGAGCTTTTTTTTTTACTGT